GCAGTGATCACCTGATTCCAGTTGCTGAAGCTTTAAACAAAGCATTAATAGTTGCGAAAGTTGAAGTAAGATTGTATTGGCTGTGAGTGCTGGGAACGGAAACCCTGCAGTAACTAGGTCGGTTGATAGCTGTGGTATTGTCAGCGTGCTACCCATTAACTGCACTGCAGAAAGGACCTTCGTAGCTCAAGCAAGTGTTGACTAGTAGTAGCAATGATCAGTATCTGCAGTCTGTCTCCTTCTGTGCCATTGCCAACCCATATGATGTATTTTTAACCTTTTTTTTTTTTTTTTCCTGCCAAGCACCTCCCCTCCTTTCTTCTTCTCTCAGTCTGTTTTCATAAGGCTGCCTAATCTACAGAATCCCCTGCTCAGGGATTAATCCACAAATGTAGTAGCTAGTTTCATTATTTGGACAAGCACCAGGGCAGCACTGAGGTGAATGTTGTGTCTTTGCAAGTAAAAGGGAACAAACCAAACATCAGGGAGCTGCTTGCCTGAGCTGCTCCGTCACCCAAGACTGCAGCAGCAACACGTTATTTAATCCTGGGGCAAATCCAGCTTGTTACTTTATGGTAGCAGCTTCCAAATATATTCTTTTTGGCCTTTAGAAACTTGTTCTGGTGACGTTCCTACTGTTTTCATTAAATAATTACCTGCTAGCTAAAGGAACCACTTAATCTGCTAAGAGCTGAAGGCTTGTCTGTTCATGATGTGTTTGTCTATTGTCTTTTGCTTACGCATACTGAATTGACCCATGTCGATTCTGTACCAACTTGAGATAACTGGCTGGAATTACTGGCTAAATAATGGATAGGCACACTTCTGTCACACAGTACGTTCACAGAGCTATGTAACATCACAGACTACTGCTGGTACGTGTTTAATCTCTGTTTTGTACATCTTTGGAGAGCTGAGTTCAGAGACTGCTTTGCACCCTGCCCTGGCCTCCTTACCTCTTCATCCTGTTACCCATTGATCCTGCTCCCTGCTTAAATGTTGATCTGTAGTCCACACCAGACCATTTTCACCTGTCTCTTCCTGAAACCAGCATCTCATCATCATGGCATTTCAGTACTGTAAGGCTTGCCCATGCCAGGTGAATCTGCCCAGGCTGGCCAGGGGTCCTGGGTTCTGTCTTGGAGAGTGAAAGATTCAGGCAATCCCTGGGAAAAGCCACGGACATCGGGCCATGATTACGAGAAGGGCTGGAAGAACTCACACCTGGGACATCCACCAACAGTGGATCAAGTACGAGAAGCTAAGGCATTCTTAAAACAAAAGCAGAAACATAGAAACCTGTTTCTGACAGTTCTTGTTACTTGTTTTGCTTCCCATGGTCCTTGTACTTCAGCTAACAGAGCCCTTATGAACCTAGCAAGTCTAAGAGGGACCAGCAAAGAAACACGGGAGCATGTGGCTGCAGTTGTACTCCCTCTTCTGAATGAGAACCACCTTCCAACTCAAAACCTGCTCCTCGAGCCTTCTCATATCCCTCCCTCGGGGCAACTGCAGTTGTTCCAAGTCAGCAAACCACCATGGTTTTGTGAGGTCGGCCTGTCTCATCCCCTCACTCCTGAAAAGCACTTCTGATTTTTGGAGTATCACAATGTTGCTCTGCTAGCGCCGCATTTATTTTCACAGCTTTTGCTCTGAGACTGTTTTTGCTTGTATTTTAAGTCACTGGGATGTTTCTAAAATAACTGCTGCTTCCATGTATTGTTTCCTTAGGGGTAGTGGGATAGTTAGGCATTGTACTAACAATGCAGATGAGTGATTCCAAACTGTGCCTTCGCATTGTATAAAAGAGAGGTCCCAGCTGACCAAACTATAAATGCCAGATTATTTGGGTTCAGTATTCAAAGTCTGGTTGTTATCCTAATCCATATTACTCCCATGTGTATTATTGGATATAGAGGTCAGTAAGCCTTAACCCTGACGTGTGGATGGGCCAGTTGAGCTTGAGAAATCTTTGATCCCCGGCTCATAGGCTTTTGAGGGAGTGGTGGAGGAAAACTACTATTTAAATAGGTGTTTATTCTGTTTGAAGACGCTGAATTGCATTCTGGGGGTGCAGTATGGTCACTCCCAAAGCTGCAGGCAGAAGAAACTGAGACATCATTTAGCGCTGTATTTTAAGACCTTATAGCCCAAGATGAGATGCACCCAAATGAAACTGGAAGGGCTGAAGCCTGGGGATGGCGCTGAAGGTAAGACGCTTAAGAAATGCAGTAGGTGCGGGCCATGATAGTTGATGAGTGCTGTAACCAGCCTTCCCCATTCAGAATAATCTTTTCCTCCTCCCTGGAAGAAGGGTGTTCTTTCCTCGACACCATACACTGCTACAGGCTTTTCCTGAGAACAGAGAAGCGCTTGTCCTTTCCTCCCCTCAAAATAATCAGTTTTTGAAACAAAATAGCAGCAGTTATTCCCATTCCCTGTTGTACACAAACAGGGAAAGAAATGTGATTCTTCAAAGTTAGTTTCTACCAGAAGTGCCCCATTTCCTTTTCACTTAGTCCTGAATTGCTCTCTAAAAGATTTTGCCAGTGTTACTCACAAAGAGGTTTTGTCATCAGCATCAGACTCCTTCCTGCTTCAGTTTATGTAAGTAACAAGGTGCTTGGGTCACTTGTCTCGCGCTGGCTGCCGTGCCACCCATTTGAATTTAAAAGCATCTTTTCTGTATTATTAGTTAATGGCTGTTTATGCACAAATAATTCTTCCTCTAAGTAAATTATACCTTTGACCTCCATAAGCGGACATAAGGAACTGGGCCCATGCTAGGCGAAATAGAGGCCTGTTTTCCTCAGTGATATTTTGATCTTGTATTCTTCATGCACCTCCACTTTCTGCTGCAGCCAGGCTCTCGTGTCCAGCATGCCAAGGCAAGAAACACAGCCTCGGTAACAAGTAACAGTGCTATAGTTCAGGCACTTGTTCCACAGCTTGGTAAACCTGACCACAAAAGTAGCTCTTAAAGAAGAGCTGTGCTGCTTGGCAAGAGCTGGGAAACGGAGGGAATTGCCATTTATAGTGAATTACGTGGAGGTCTGTGTTTTAGCACGTGTGTTTTAGTACATTTGATGTTAATGAATGGTAGGGACATCGGCTGGACGGAAACTTCAGTTCTTGAGTCTATTCATAGAATATGCTAAGTGGCCTTGTGAAATACTGACAGTGTGACCCCAAACCATGGGAAATAAACCTAGTCTCAGATCTTACTGAAGTCTAAACCAATGCTGACTTCTATTTTTCATTAAGGCCTGTCGATCTCAGCCAGTTCTGTGCACACATACCTAACTGATGAGTTCACACCCCGAGTGACGCTCCACAGCTGTGACTGAATTTTACTTCAGTTTTTGGACCACCTGAAGCTTAGAAATGCTGGCCCCAGAATCAGCGTGGTCCTTACGTTCCTTGTGATGGGCTTTTGCTAGTTTGCAACACAGATTTCCTTCTCAGGTTGTAAAGACTCTCAACCTATTACTTGGGAAGATCGTAAGAGGAAAAGCCAGTGCAACGATCTGTGTGCTCTGTATCCACACTTGCTGACTAACCTCAGGCTCCTTTGTTTCCTTCTCTGCAGGACTAAGTCTATCAGACTAGAAACCTGCATGGACCCAAAACAAAAGAAAATGTTCAAGTGAAGCCCAATCTAAACAGGCTGAAGCCAAATGAGATTTTTTTGCCACAGATGGTAAGAGGGGAAGGGAGCAGGACACTTCACAAGAGGCAGTAGACGTTTGGTGTGGTGCACACAGCAGCTCACAGAAACAGTCATTTCTTTTGATCACCATACAACATAGTTCCTGCTCCTGGCTGACGTGAGGTCGTTTGCTAGCTTGTCTATTTATCTGAAAAATAAGGATGCTGTTGGAAAATATTGCTACTCTAGGATCATGAGTTTTTCACTGGAAACCCAAAATTTATGTAATTAATTCTTGTGTCTCCTTTCCATGACATAATGAAGGGCAGAATCAGTCGGCTCCCTGGCAGTCGACTGCTGAAAGCTCAGCCTTGCTCAGTCAGGGGGAAAGGAGCAAACTGGAAAGAAGAAGAAACGTACATGTTTTCAATAAATAAATACCTAATTTCTGGTCAAAGTGCAATTTGACCTAATACACCTCCACACACGTGCTCTCTTTTACAAAGCCAGTACATACGTCTGTCTGATTTCCAGTTTATTTTTTCCTCCACAGCTATTTTCTTTAAACTTTCAGTGTGATGGTGAGAAGAATGGCAAGCATCTGATGAACCTGAAAATTAGTTTAAAAAAATTGATTATTGCGCTTAGCTAGTTCTGTGTCATTGTTACTGCAGCTGAAGTTTCAGCAAGTTTTAAAATACTGTTAAAAATGGAGATTTTGCAATTTTTCAGCAGGGTGTCTTAATTGTCTCTTTTGCAAGGAATCTAAACCTGTGTGAAACTGGTCTTTAGGTAGCGTCGTTAGACAGCTTTCAAGACAATTCAACATTAGTTATATGGTAAAGGTCTTTAATCTTAACTCTGAATGGTGTGAGCTGGGGAGCTTGGGAAGGTGAATGAGCCCTATTTCACAGCTTCCAGCTACCTGCAGCCTGGGGAGGAATTAAGCTGACATAATCTTAGCTAAGTAGCTGAGCAGGTGGAAAAATATTTATCTGAGCAGAGATTAGTCTGCAGAAATGTACATTTTGCTAATTATTACCAGTAGTAAAATTTGTTACTGCATTTTACATAACTGAATTATGAATGGCCTAAAGTTAGAAACAGTGTAGGTGAGTTGTTAATATCCTTATGCAAATAAAGGTATTGTGTGAAGTGCAATGATTTAAAATATAAAAAGAGGAAGTGATGAAAAAGTTGTAGTATTTCCTGATGAGGAAGGGAAATTATCTGAGTATGCCTTCACTGCCTGTGTACCAAATCTGAAGGTGTTAGGAACCAGTGTCTTTGCTCGTTTGTTTTTCAAGCTGATCAGGGCAATCAGTTTACCGCAGCCATTAACTTTCTGTCTATGAATACAGCAGATTTCCAGCCAGAAAAGCTCATGACAATTTTCTAGACCAAGCCCTCCTTCTAGGCCAGGCAGCCCCACGGGAAGACGTGCGCCAGGCTCAGCTCTCCCGGGCTCCCGGGGAGCGAGGGCTCCAGCCCGCTCTCCACGCTGGTCTCCGGCACCGCGTGGGCTCCCACCGAGCACCGAGACTCCCGAACGCTTTAGGTCCGCTCGCCGGCAGGCCGGTAAGCCGGGGTTTACCTAGGCCAGGAGCGTGCAGGGGAAGCTCGGAGAGCAGGAGGCAAGCTGCGCTTACGCAGCTCGCAGGCCCCGCTTCGCCGGCAGCGCTGACGTGCCCTGGGAGGCCGAAGCATCGCCGCTGCAGACCTTAGCTGGCAGGGGCGACGAGCCCGGGGAGGTGCTGTGGAAGCTCCTCGGTAGCTGCCGGGCGCGGGGCTGTGCAATCCGTCAGGGAAGCTGTCTGGAATGTAGGGCATTGGGACAGCTGCACCAGGCCAGGAGAGGAGCTCGGCGACGCTGCAACGCTTTGATTTTGGAAACTGTGACTTGTGCTGGCTGGTATCAGGGCCGGGAGGTGGAGCCCAGCTCACCGGCTGCGTTAAGTGTTACTGAGTGTCAGGGAGGCAGCCGAGGTGCATCGGGCTGCGCCTGAAATGTTGGAGGTGTGACACTGGAGAAAGAGGGGACCAAAGCCAATTTAGCCTCCAGAAAGAAGGTAACTTTTAAAAGTTTGTCGCTTCTAATTTTAGAGTTTTAACTTTAGAAATGATACTTTAATTTTCCTGCCAATCAATATTGATTTAAAAGGAAAGTAATTTTCCCAGTAAAAGAGAAAGGAGAATTTTATTATTCCAGTTCAATTTCCATTATATCTGCCCCAGAGAAAGACAGAAGAGCTTCAGAATTTCATACTCTTTTTAGTGTGTTAGAAGAAAGATGGGCATTATTAGGTTTATTTAACTTCAGGAAAAAAAAAATATAAATATAGCAAACATCTAAAGAAATGAGACATGTATTTGCCTTTTTATTGCTTCCTGCCTACCATAATGACCTGTCCCTCATTTCAGTTCTCCTCCCCTTTTAAAATTACAAAATATTGTCTCCCATACATAAAAGTGTTAATAAGAAAGGCCAAGAAATCCTATCATACCATACGGAGTATTTTACATCTTCCATTTTTTCTTCAGGGTTCAGTACCATATCGATATATGCCAGAAAAGTCTAGTAGCTGGCCATGACATGACAAAACAATCTGTTTATTATCAGAAGCTCAACGACTAACCAATCTTAGCTTTACTATCATTTCTGTCTAATGATACTGCTTATGAATAGATGGGAAGGGAAGGCTTAGGATCAAAGAGTAAACCACAGATTTCACAATGTTTCCTTGGCAAAACAACGTGTTGATTTAGCTACTGCACTGGAATCTGCAGACCTTCATTAAGTCTGTTTTTTCCTGGGATTACTTTGGCTACCATTTTCTTTCCTGTCTTTGTATGACAAATCTTTGTCCAAGGCCGGTGATCTGCACTTGCTTTAGCCTGTCTTAGCATTTTAATAGAGCTGAGAGCTTTTCTTAGGGAAGCACGCAACTCTTTTCCATAGGAGTGTTTCATGTCCAGAAACAGTTCCATTTTAGAGCTCAGACAGGTGCTCAAAAGCCTGTTTGCAAAGGAGGGGGTGACCGGGATGTTGGGCTGGGCTGGGCTGGGATTTTGGGTGCCGCTCCAAAGCAGCTGTTTCCACATCCCTCCCCAACCATCCATGCCCAAGGCAGCCACCACTTTCGGACAAGGCAGCAGCATTCAGTCTGGGAATGCTGGGCTGGTGAGTCCCACCAGTGATTTCTGGATAGTAGGGGGCTTTTTTCTGTGCTGCTCTGCTGGGTGCAGGAAGCCTGAGATTTGAGGATGGACTTGCCAGTTGTCCTTCTGGCATCCCATGAGTCCTCCATCCTTTGAGAGCCAAGTCCTGTCAGTCAGCTTGGAGAGAAATTGCTTTGCACCACAGTGCCTGTAACGGAGAAGCAGCTGCATTTAGTTTAGATATAAGAAAGAAATTCTTCCCTGTGCGGGGGGTGAGGCGCTGGCCCAGGGTGCTCAGAGCAGCTGTGGCTGCCCCCTCCCTGGAAGGGTTCAAGGCCAGGTTGGACGGGGCTGGGAGCCCCCTGGGCTGGGGGAAGGGGGCCCTGCCCGGGGCAGGGGGGTTGGGACTGGACAATCTTTAAGGTCCCTTCCAACCCAAACCGTTCTGTGATTCTGTGTGTCTTACAAAGCAGGTGCTGTGCCATTCAGCACATCTGGCTGCAAGCAGAGGAGGAAGAAATGATGGAGCTCCTGGTGAACTAACTCTTCCTGGACTAACTTTACCTGATAAAGCTTTGTTGATGACCAAAGTGAAGGGTTACCCAAAATTACAAGATGGCAAAAGTCACCTAGAGATTTGCCCAGGCATCACCCCTAAGGCACAGCAGCAGCACACCAGTGTGAGGACCTCCTCAGCATGCAGGATGGCTGGTCCTGCAGCTGGAAGCTTGCTGTCCCACAGTCACTATTAAGGGTAGCAAGGGGATTAGTCCAAGCTAACCAATTTGTAAACTTAAGATCTATTCCTCATCCTATTTCCAGAGGGGTGTATCCAGCACCAGAAGTAGCTGGTGGCATGGATCTGCAAGCATGGAGGTCACTGGTAGCTTTGCAAGTCTGAGATTCCCAAATCCTGGAGAGTGGCATGCACATGCCAATTCAAAATCATGTTTATTTGAAATCTGTCTTGTTTTCTGCTTCACTGGCGGACAAAGCTTTTCACAGTTGCTTGCGATGGAGGAAGGATTTATTTAACTTGTGAAATGACTGAAGGTCTCAGAGCTGAAGGGTGCAATGCTCCTGCCTATTAATTGGTCCTGGCATTGGCAAACAGTTTGCGGAGAGAGCTATTAAGTGTGGCTGAAGGGCAGAGCTGGAGTTCTGCAGTAGGGTGCTCTGCGCTGGCATGGCATGAAGGGAAGGCCTGTGGTGGAGGGATGTGTGAAAAAACACTCTGAGAAAATACTTAATGCGAACAATTGTGAGGCTGTGGTTGGGCTTGAGGTTACGGGGCTGGGTGGGAACATGGTGATAACACCAGATCAGCTCGGGAAACTGTTTTTGCAGGTACCTACCTCACTTTTGATAGGTTAGTGACTGCATGTGTTGTCTGTCTGCCATTCTGCAACAGCTACTCCCTTCAAGTCTTCACCTGTGTGGCCAACAAGAGCTCAAATAACTTTTATTTCTTTGCTTCTTATTTCACCCTGAAGAGAAGAACCAGACAAACATCAGCAGACTCTATCTCCCTTGGCTAGGCACTGGTTTCATGGTGTCTCAATACTGGAAGTGCTGTAAAAAAATAAATAGTTCAGTGTTTATAGCAGCAGTGATGCAATGTTCATTCTTCTCAGCTCTGCAATTCCACTCCCAGAGTCGTCTCCCAGTCTTGGGAGATGGGAGATACTGGGCAGAAAAATTTAGACATATACTTTCTGCACAGGAGCACTATAGCCATGGGCCTTGTTTTGAAGTGCTTACAGTGGTGAATGGCTACTGGGATGAGCGGGAAGAGGCGGGATTTGCATGGGCTAGGAACATGGGCTGGCCAAGTGAGGACTGGAGTGTACAGGGGGATATGCAATACTAATTGCAAGGCTGAATTAGTAAACATGTTATGGATGTTTTGCCAGGTGGCTTTTGTGCATAAATCAGGTACTCACTCTCTGTAATCCCGGTGTCTCCCCGGCAGAGGAGGAGCGAGCACTGAGCGTGCAGGCGGTGGGACAGTCCCCAGCCCCAGCACTGGGCGTGCGGGGACGAGCACGGGGTTTGGCTGTAGAAGATGCCTCATTTCATTCCCCGTGCCAGGGCCTGCACTCATCCTGCTGCCTCGCTGCTGCAGCCGGACACCCAGGGAGGCATTGCCAGCCTGAGCAAAGGGTTAGGACCTGCAGCACGTGGAGCCAGACAAAAGGGGGATCTACAGATTCAGCCAGGAGGCAGTGAAAGTGGAAAAGATGAAGAAGAGGTGTCTGGGGAGAGGGAGCACTGGTTTGCCAGGGCCCTTTGCTATTCAAGAGCCAGCGCAGCAATCAGCGTTGCAGATGGCATTTCCTGGCGTTACTGCCATTTCAAAAAGGTGATGGGAAGAGGAGAGGCTGAAAGGGACCGGTCCTGGAAAAGTGCCTTCCACCCTAAACGCTTGTACCTGCTGATTATCCCAGCAGACCAGCTCAAGTCACTGTGACCCACAGGGCTTTTAGCAGGATGGATGATGGTGAGAGTCTATTCAAAGCTGAGGGAGGGATTTTAGCAAGTTTTGGTGTGTTCTCTGTATTTCTTTGAGAGGTCTTTTATCACGTGAAGAGACTTTGCTGTACTTTCATCCTCATCCTCGTCTAAATCCAGCCTCTTCTTTTTAATGCTATTTCCATATACTCCTTTCCGTTTTACTTACTACACCTTAGCACTTTTTCCCGGCATACTCAAAAACCAAATTCCTCTATAGTTACTGGACTCACTCTTGTGCTTTTCCTCACAAATTTCTATTACTGTCATCCTTCCTTTTGCTCAGTGCTACTGTTTGTAATTCTGCTGAATGGCCTCTGTCATTACATTTTGTGCCTACTTGCATCAGGATCTGCAATGATGTTGTCACTCAACACCACCTCTTTCCTTTTGAAGCTTTCTGTCCACTAAAACTTTTCCAAGCAACATCAAGATCTGTTCTCCCTCCACGTGCTGAGAAGGATTTGTTTCACCTCTGCTCCATTCGTTTCACGGCTCTTCATAATGTTCCTTATGTTGCTTATTTGTTGTCAGTCATTAGCCTGCACCTTGTCCTCGTCTTAACCCAAATGTATAAATTCTCTCTTTTATCCAGTGGCACAATCCCCATGTTGCATTCAGGGTTTTTAATGTTGTTCACTGCTTAATTTTGCTCTCTTCTCTCTGACCAGCGATCAGGGTAAGGGACGTGGTGCTTACAACTGTCCTTCCCCTTCATATTCTTCAGCTTCTTGCTCACGGGTACTGCAGCTCACCTTCATCTCTTCATTCAGCTATGAGCCCTTCCCCAGACTGGTTAGGGTTAGGCATCCATTAGCAGTAAATAGATACTAAAAGAAATCATGGACTTTCTTTGGTTTTGTTTTCTGTGTGTATGAACTACTTGAAAACCATCTGGGTTTTGCTTAATTTTAGAAAAATCCAGTAAGGAGTTACAACACTCCCCACAGCAGAGGAAAATTCTCAAGGGCTATACTGGCACACAACTTCCCAAAATAGTTAATGACTTTATGTGGAGGAATGCACCTACCCATTTAGGTGGCATGCCACATCGTTGAAATGTGTTTGAAAAGTGCCCGATGGTGGTGGTATTCAACACCACCAGAAAAAAACATGAACACTGGTGGATGCGTGCCAAAATTTTCACACGGGCTTCTAATTTTAGGTTTTAACCATTCCAGTGCCCTGAAGATGCATTCAGAATCTCCAGAAGCACTGACCTCCTCAGCAAATATTGGCCTAAATGCTTTACAAGCACTTTACATTGTTAAAAAAAATATTAACAAAGCTTTATAGAAATGAGTAATCTTTAATAATTGGCTTCAGCTTCTCAGGCAGCATGCAACTGCTTATTTTGAGAGAAATGCTTGTCGCAGCTTGAGAAAGAACAGCCGATGCACCTGCTAGCAGAGGAATGAAGACCAATAGGATGTAGTAGCACCTCAAGTATCCTTAATTTCAGACATCCTCGGTGACGTTGGCTTTAAGAACTGGAAGTGCCTGGATGTGACGGCATGCATACATGTGCACATTATGAAACAATTGATTGCTCAATGAGTATTTTTAATTAGTATTTTCCTTTTAAATGCTCCATTTACCCTCTTCACACAAGGTATTTTTTGCCACGTGCAGTTTTTATTGGAGTAAACATACTCCCTTCAGATAGCTCCTTCAAGACAATTCAGACATATCTTGACCCTCTTTTAATTTTTTTCCTTCCCATGACTCATTGCTTCAATCCTGCTTATGTTTTCTGAACTCTACATCGTCATATTGACCTCAAGAGCTACAGACTCAAAGGACTGGGGCAGACGAGAGGATATATCAGATAAGAGATCTATTTTAAGCAAAACATTTTTCTTAGGTCATATACTTTTTAGATGTAATGCCTTCGTAACAAGTAAGACTTCAGGTTATTAATCTTTTTTATATTCAGTGGGTGAAATCGGTTATTACAACACAACTGTATTATACAAGGTAAACTGTCTGCTGTTTTTCTCTTTGCTGTTTATGTTGTTTGGTGTCCTTCTTGCTTTTCCAGCCAGAGGATAAAAAATTGACTGAATGGTCTCACTTCTAAGTAAATCTGTTAAGCAGTTCTGAGTTTTAGCTCGGCAGGAAAATAGTTGAAGGTTTCAATTCTTTAAAGTCTTTGTGAAAACAATTTACATACCAAAATCAATTGGCATTTTCAGTCTATTTTCAGAAACTTAGCCTTTTAATTAGTAATTCTAACAGTTCTGCAAAGCTGCAATTTACCTGACCCCGGGGAAAAGCAGAGCTCGTTTAGCCTATGAAAATGCGAGACTGGTTTGCTCCAGAGAGGGTCAATCCTGGAGTCCTGAGCACATGCTGCTCTCCTAATAGATTCAGTGAAGGAGCACTGTTAGCTCCTGCAAAGAGCACAAGGCTGCGTGCGCTTCCCGGGGAGGGCCTAAGGAGGCAAAAGGAGGAATATCCTGAGGTCAGAAGACTGCATAGGTTCACTGAAAGGTAAAGATACATGATGCCTGGGAGGGATATCTGACATTTAGGAGAGCACAGTACGTGGCGGCTAACAGGAGAGTTGATATTTCTTCTTTTCCCTCAGCGGTAAGGGGCAGGAGGGAGAAGTCATCCTTCTAGGAAAGAGAACGCAGCCAGTTACCTGGCTACATCAGCTCCACAGGGTTGCATAAGGCCTCATTTAGAGCTGGTAATGAACTTAATTTAAGCATGCAAGTCCCTGCCCTTGCCTCACTACTCTGCATTATGGACCTGCAAGTCTGCTTATGCTAAAGGGCAGAGCAAAAATAAATTTCCATACTGCCAGGCATGTTCCAATCGGGCTGTGTTGAAGCGCGGGCTGGTATCCAAATAGTTTGGATATGAAGTGAATTTGGGCTCCAGGACAGGCCCAGACCTGCTCTTGAAATTGCACGGTGATGACACCAGGGTCCTGCTTTTATATTTGCAGCTGACTGGCTGCCAGCACCGCGACCTCCAGCTGCGACAGCAGTGCTCTTCACATCCCAGCTTAAAACTAACCCTGGCTCTCTGGGGTTAGCGGGGAAAGGGGCACCCGGCTCGTGCTCCTGTGGCACGGGAACTGGCGAAAAGCTGTCGGTTGGAAATTCGGTATTAATTAGGTGAAGCTGTAGCTCAGGTAGACAAAGATGCTCTTTTGATGGATTTCTTTTTTTGCATATTAGTTTCTATTTTGGTCATGTTGACTGAAAAACTAGAGAGAGACCTGGTGTTTTCTTCAGTCTGGGAGGTTTGTGGGGGGATTGTGGTTGGGCTCCCCAGGGCTGGCACAGAGCAGTGTCGCTGTGGAAGGTGCCACCGCTCCCTCCCACCATCCTGCGTGTGCCGGGGACGCGGCTGCGCTCCGGTACACCGGGGTGAGGTGGGGGGAGGCGTGTGTGTGTGCGTGTCCCGGTCCCAGCCAAGCGAGGGCGAACGGCGACAGCTCGCCGTGACCCACGCCGCTACCGGGGGCTCTCCCGTTTGTCTCCGGTTCCTCCCGGGACGCGGCAGCGGAGGGACCCCGGCGCGGCCCGCGGGGTCCTGGCAGCAGGACGCCGGTCTCCGGGCGGTGGTGGGGGCGGCGGGACTACATCTCCCAGGGCCGCCCGGAGCCGCCGTGACATCATGTGCGGTGGCTCGGCGATCACATGCCCCGCCGGCCCCTTTGTTTTGAGCGGCGCTCGCAGCGCGACCGGCGGCGGAGAGGCCCGAGAGCACCGCACCGCTCCGCACCGCTCCGCACCGCTCCGCACCCGGCCCCGGGCGGCAGCTCCCGCGGGGCGCGGCGCAGCGCGGCGGGGGCCCGCTCCCGGCTGTGAGTGCGGGGGGCCGCGGGCGGCGGCGGGCCGGGAGCCCCCGGGGAGGGCGCGGGGTCCCGCCGAGGCGCGACCGGCCGGGGCCGTTAGACGCCGCGGTGGGGGACGGCGCGTCTGCGGCCGGGCCGGGCGGCGCGGGGGAAAGCGCCGCGGCGGTGCCGTGGCGGGGAAGGGCCGTTGGCGGTGCCGGTGCCCCGTGTGTGTTTCCCCCCCCGCCGCCGCCCCGCTGCGTGCTGGGGGCGCCCGGTGCCCCCCAACCCTCCGGCGGCGGTTTCGCAACGCGGGTCGGCCCCGCGACCCCCGGGCGGCGGCAGCGGCGGCAGCGTCGGGGGGGCCCAGCGGCCGCGGATTGGGCGGGCGGGCGGGGGGAGGCGGGGCCGCGGCGCGGGGCCGCGCGGGGATTGGACAGGGCGCCTGGGGCGGGGCTGTCGCCGAGCGGCTCGGGGTGAAGGTGAGCTGGAGGGCGCGCGTGCGCGTGGCGGCGCTGCCGCGTTAGGCCGAGCCGGTGGGGGGAGGCCCGGCGGCCGTTGGCGCTGAGGGGGGAGCAGGATCTGGCAGCGGTGGCCGGGCCGCGGCTCCGGGCGTCCCAGCTCTCCCGGTGTCCGCGGGGCCGGCCCCCCGCCAGCGGCGGCACCCACCGTGCGGGCTTTGCGCGGTTGTGCCCCGTGTCTCGCTGGGTTCGGTACAGACGGTCCCCCCGGGCGGGCAGCCGCGTCCTTCCAGGCGCTGCCATTTTGTGCGGTTGCAGCCGCCGGCAGCCCCGCCAGTAAACACCCGGCCCGCGGGCGTCCCCTCAGCGCCGGCCGCGTCCTTCATCCGTTTGGTTTGCTGGGTTAGCGCTGGCGCTTTTGTTTTTGTGCTTTTTTTTTTTTTTTTTTTTTTTTTTTTTTTTTTTTTTTTAGTTGGGATGACGCTTTGTTTCCTTATGTAGCAAAAAGGGGCAGCAACAACTTGGGAGTGTTGGGGGCTCCGGCCGTGCCTTATGGGCAGTCGCCCCCGGGGCGCGTGTGTGGAGGGAAGCCTGGAGGGGTGCGGACATTAAGGAGCATCCTCGGCCTCGAATTCCCTGACTTATCAAATTTTTCTGGCTGGGGTTTGTTTTGCGTGTTTCGCGTTACCTTGCTCTGTAGGATCCTTGGTAACACCCACGGTTTCAGATGTACACGTTTATGTATTAGCCCAATTTTCACATCGTCACATACTCAAAATTCCCATTCCTTTAGGTAGAAAGTAATCTCACTGGGTTGTGGTGTCAGCTTGGCTCTTCCCACACTGTTGGATTACTGTGATTTGTTTGTTTGTTCGTTTCAAATTTAACAGGCCCTTGGCTGAACCCCCTGGAAGCCCTTGAAACGCCTAATCAGGATGTGTGCAATGACTGGTGCTTTCATTTGGGGTTTTAAGAACAAAATATGAACATGTACAAATGATAGTGAAACCAAGATGGAGGAATGTTGACTTTTTCACAGTCTCTACCCTATAGGTTAACAATAATATGCAGTGCTTTATTGTTTGGTTTTTTTTGTTTTTTTTTTTTTTTTTCCTCTCCCCAGTGGGTGTGTGCCCTTTCAGGTGACCTTTCCACTTACTAAAAGGTTACTTAAGGACTTATGCACGGTTTCAAGGTTTTCCTTTTCGCTGCTTGTTTTTGTGTTGTTTTACTAAATAATCGCAAGTCTCATGTCCAAATCAGTTCCTGTTTTTGCTTGGTGATTTTTGAGGGCACTTAAGGCTTTCTTTTGTGTGTCATTAGCTTGATTACTACTGAATTTTGGCATTCAGAGGATAATGTTTTTGTCAAAATGGTGTCTTATGTTAGAATAAAAAACTTCTACAGTGCAACTAACTGCTTACCATTTAAACTGGCTTGTTCACTTTGAATTCATGTTTATTAGTTATTCAGTATTCTTAAAGACTTAATTCAACTTAAAGATATCTGAATCTTCAATTCCTATTGTAAAACAAGAATAATTTATTGTTTGGTGTTTGTTTTTTTTTTTTGTTTTTTTTTTTTTTTAAGTCCTTTAAAACCAACAACTTTCTAGTCTATTTTTATATCACAAAGAAGGAAAAATAAATGCTGTGTTTGGTTTTTGGTGGGGGAAGGGTTATGCTTTTTTCTTTCCTCTTTCTTCCTTTAAAAGAAACAAGAAAAGAACCCAACACTAGAGCATGTGTTGTGGTTCAGCCAGTGTGTTGCAGTAGGTATAACTGGGAGTTTGTTTTCTCTGACTCCTGTGGTAACCAGGCATCTGAGATGAAGCACATCTGCAAATCACGTTAACTGAAATCACAAATAAAATAACTAGAATTGGCCAAACCCGAGTTGGAGTTCCCATGCTCCAGAATGAAAATACCATTTATTAAGCTTGTTTGCATTACCTCGGGGGTGCTGTTACTAATACCGTACCAGGTAATAGTAGACGTGACACGTCTGCGAGCTCGAGCCGCGCAGGCGGTGTGTGCTGGGGCTGTGCCGGGTGCTCCTGCCCACCACGAGGGCAGCTGCCCAGTCCCAGCGCCTCTGTTTCTCCCTTTACAGACGCTCACCGGTCCGGCCACGCCACTCAAGTGCTGGTGCTGACGTGAGGCAGCAGTGGTGGTCGCGGGCGCAGGGTGGAAGCCACCTCCACCGGCAGCAGCGGCAGAAGCCCAGCTCAGCTTCAGGTACTCCTGAAACTACACCCCGAGGGTGAGCTTTGAAGGTGTTGCTGGGGCACACCTGATGACTAGGTGTTACCGAAGGGCCTCACCCCGACCCTGGCTGCGTGCTTCCTCTGCTGCCTTCTGTCGGTTCTGCTAACGGACCAAAGGAGCTCTGTGACGCAGAAGTGACAGAAAAACAGCTCTACCAGGAAGCTGCTAGCTGTTGCCAGAGCTGCGGATGAAGGGAGAGGGGTAAAATACGTGAGGTGGTTGCAGTGAAGGAAAGAGGAGTCTAGTGCAACATAAAAGTAATTTACATAGGAGGATTTACAGATAGAAGATGCCAAGGCGAACGTTTTATAGACCTCACTTACTGGCCTCTGAATTGGGCTTTGAGTTTATTTCTGAGGAATGTCTTGTGGAGACAAGCCTATGGATAGTATAGATTAAGGAAATAGAGAAACCTGATCTGGTGAAGCCAGCTTAATTTAGAGATGTGCATCTGCAGGTAACATCCATGTTGGAGCCCTGTCTGTATTTGTAAAGCATTTGTAAAACCTGTTGATAGGAAGTGTGACTTGATTTTCCTTTCCAGTTTTTTCAATGGGTAGACTCCCTGGTTTCTTTAAGGTCTGTCCTTGTTGACCCTTGCTCAGGCAAGCAATCTAATGCATTTTGTATTTTTTTAAATAATAATTTTCAGTAGTGCCTTTGGGAAAAATGTATTTTGGTTTTCTTTTCTGCTTCGTTTAAACTTACCGAGGAGATCTCAGTGTTAAATTCTCTAAATGATTGGTACTTTATAATGCAGAGTCTGTAGACGTAAGTACATTTATGTATTCTGAAGTTGCAGACAGGTATCCTCTTGTGTTCGCCCCCTTTGCGTGCTCAGCAGCTCAGCTTCACGCATGGACTCCCCTCTGCCTTTCCAGCTTTGGAGCTGAAATGTGGGGTAGGCAGCTGGAGGTGGTGACATTTTACGACTGCCAGAGCAAGATTTGCAAGAAGGACATATGTAAGCCTGATAGAGCTGAATATGTGGTAGTGTTACTGATAGTCTTATAAAATTACTTTACTTAAGCAAACCTGCAGAAGTAATTAACTGGATAGAACTGAAGCATAGTATATTCAAAAGCAGTCATTTCTGCCATGGAATGCAATTCTTTTTCCTTTCTATTCTCTTATTTGTAGATTTGCAGTATTTATCCCCTTGATTAGTTTTTGCTCCATGGATTATTTTTTTAGTCTCCCATTTCTTTAGACCACTGGGGTATTAAAAAAGAATAAAATAATTTGCTGACCACTAATTTTGTGTTGTTCCAAGCATACAGAAGACATTGCTTCCTTCAGTGAGCAGTCTAAACCCATAGCACTTTTTTCCATTTATTGGTGATTGCATAATATAGTGTCATCTTAAGTCTTAACTTCTCACATAATGAGAAAGATTTAATCTTGAAGCTTTTTGTACTTAGTTGCTGTGTTTTGCCCTTTCATGCAGTATGCCGGTGTCTTGTTTCTGATTTCAGGCTAACTTTGTTTTGGAAAAGCTCCACTGGCTTTAGTGAAATGCCTCTGATTTAAATCTGCAATGCTGGAATCAAGCCTTTAGGGTTTATATTTTCATTCTTATATTTCCCTTTTTTACTGCTGATGCTTCACTTCTGCCCACTTTCTCATGCTGAGTTGTATGGAATTAATTGCACATGAAGTTCAGTGTAAGGGTTGGGGTGTTAGCAACAGAGGTGGTGGTGGTGGTTGTTGTTGATTTTGGTTTTTTTATCCAGCCTGCGTCATTACAGGGTAGAACAGTTGTGAAATGCACTGGATAGAATACCAGCTACAGATTAGACTGTCTATTTATGCCTCCTTAAAATTTCTCTGAAGCAATCAGTTATTAGATAGGCTCATTGCAACTGTGGTTTTCAGGCATCAGTGACAACTGCTTCTATTTTAATTCAAATTAAAATTACCTATTTTGTAGTGTAAACAAGCCATACAGAGAATCTACTTTGTAAATATGTGTAAAAAATTTTGTATGGAAAAATGATAGTTTTAAACCTCTTTTCTCAGCGAGTAAATGCACAACACATATTCTTTTCTTGCTCTTTGTTAAGATGGTGCCTTTTAAAGGTGCTGTAAAAAGCATGTTCATTATGTTCTATATTAAGCGATGATGTAGCCAAACTCAGACTGGGTAATTGCAACTCTGAAGATGTTAGCACGTCAGCAAATGAACTTGCTGTGAGGAGCTGACGTCTACTGACTGTATAAGTGGGGAATGAGGGAAACTGAATATATCCTCTTGGAAGCATGAAAAAAATTCCCATAAACTTCAGAATAATTCAGTGCATGTCCTTCTAGGCATCCAAGTAAGTATTGTGTGTGTTTGGAATGATACCTGTGTCAGACCCAAGAGGGCATTTTGCCCAGCCTCTTGCTGCCCCGGTATATTTTGGTGGACATTCATCCAGTTCATTTTAAAGCTCAGGAGTGGCAAAAAGCCCTATTGCTGCTAGGTTGGTCGATCCTATTACTTCTAATGTGCACTGTCTGCAATGCAAAATCGGCTGCAGTTTTGTCACCTACAAACATTGGCATATGCTAACATCTGAGTACTTGATTTTTTGCAACTTCAGTGCTCTGATAATGTGACTATGTGTTTGCGTGCTGGGAGGAGCATTGTACACTGCATATTTGAAGCTGGAAAGTGTTTGAGTTTTGCTGATAATTATTTGCTAGTAGTACTTTGGAAAGCACAAAATCTCTCTGTCCTCGTAAAGTTGCCCCTGGTTCTTATTTTCAGTAGTTTTACACAAACAAATGTAATTCTTCATTCTGTGTGCTCGCAGTTCACATTGATTTTTAGTTGAATGTTAGATTATCAATGAACTAGTTTTTAGATGCTAGGAACGAACAGGTAAAAATTGATGGTCAGGGTTATTCATTGAGATAACTATTATTAAACCGTTGTATTACCAGACTTCATTATGAGAGACTTCATAATGAAAATGGAGTGATTATGGAATTTTTATTTTGAAAATGTCAGTCTTTTTTTTTTTTTTTCCCCCTTTTTGACTAGTGCTGTTATACTAGTACTTGGAGGCTCCAGCTGAAATCAGGATTACACTGAAGAATGAGAAAAACCCAAGCTCTGGATCTTTATCCAGGAAATCTTTGGCTTCTGTCAGTTGGGTGATTTGCTGGAGCTGAGATCTCTTTTTTTGTGTTTTTTTTTTTTTAATCTTGAACACTAATGCAATTCCAGTGGTGCTGGGACGTTCAGAACTTGCCATCCATGATGCCTGTTCTACGGGTGTATTTTGTATTTATTGTGTAGCAGGTGATGCTGCATTGCCCTGTGCGAGGTGCTCACTGCCACCTTGAGTAAAGGCCAAAAATTGTTCTTAGAGTGACCACACAAGTATCTTGTGTACTTCTCATGATGAAATTAAGAATATACCAGACTGAATACTGAAGTGTTTTAATTTTTCAGACCGTAGCACTGCGAAGGAGGAACTCTACAAATTTTTCTCAATGACTCTATAGCCAACTGATGTAACAATGGTACTAATATTGGGACGCAGACTGAATAGAGAGGATAGTGGGATACGAGATTCCCCTGCAACCAAGCGGAAAGTTTTTGAAATGGACCCAAAATCATTGTCTGGCCCTGAGTTTTTTGACTTCTCCTCGGGATCATCGCATGCTGAAAGCATTCTTCAAATCTTCAATGAATTTCGAGACAGCCGGTTGTTCACAGATGTTATTATCTGTGTGGAAGGAAGGGAGTTTCCCTGCCATCGAGCGGTTCTCTCTGCCTGCAGCAGCTACTTCAGAGCTATGTTTTGCAATGATCACAGAGAAAGCAGAGAGATGTTAGTGGAGATCAACGGCATTTTCGCTGAAGCTATGGATTGCTTTTTACAGTATGTATACACCGGCAAGGTGAAAATCACTACAGAGAACGTGCAGTATCTCTTTGAAACATCAAGTCTCTTTCAGATCAGTGTTTTGCGTGACGCCTGCGCCAAGTTCCTGGAAGAACAGCTGGATCCTTGCAATTGCCTGGGAATCCAGCGCTTTGCAGATACTCACTCGCTCAAGACGCTCTTCACCAAGTGCAGGAATTTTGCACTGCAGACATTTGAGGATGTGTCCCAGCATGAAGAATTCCTTGAACTGGGGAAGGATGAGCTTATTGATTACATTTGCAGTGATGAACTGGTGATCAGTAAGGAAGAGATGGTGTTTGAAGCTGTCATGCGCTGGGTGTACCGGGCAGTTGAGTTGCGAAGACCAGTGTTACATGAACTTCTGACGCATGTCAGGCTCCCGTTGTTACACCCAAACTACTTTGTTCAGACTGTGGAAGTGGACCAGCTGATTCAGAATTCCCCAGAGTGCTATCAGCTGCTGCATGAAGCCAGGCGATACCATATCCTCGGAAATGAGATGATGTCTCCCAGAACTAGGCCCCGCAGGTGAGGAAATTTTTTTTTTCCCTTCTTTCTGTAGGAGGACATAGTCCGATGTACAGATGTTTCATATACACATGTCCAGAAAAAAAATCTCTTGCAGATTATTTTATTTTGCATTCTGGAGCCACTACAGCTATACTTATGTATTTCCTCACAACACATGAAGCTCACACATGTACATGAAAATGTACATAAGTGAGGTTTTTTTGCACAGATCACTTAATTACTGTGAAATAAAGGACTGTTCAGGTAAGTGAAGTTATATTACCTTGCAAGTAAAATAGCTTTTAAAGGTTCATGTTTGCTAGTTGAGATCTTAAGTTATTTCGTACAATAGCAGTGCCTTGAAAAGAACTTACTGTGCTATAGCAGGTAAACCATTCCATTTCCCATCCTTCCTTCTGTTTATAATGAAGTCATGCATGTGTACAGCACACTGTAAAGGATGTGGACGGGGATATATATTCAGAGCATTCACATACTACATCACAAATATTTTACAGATGGAGTAGTACGTGGGTTTGTAATAGACAGTAGACAGCAGAACAACAGGTTCTTAACTGTAAAGAAACTAAATCTTGCATTTTTAACTAATTATGAAACAGTTTGTGAAGTATTTCATGCTTATTCTATGACATACTAATAATTCAGAATTACTGCTACTTTAATAATGTGTTACACAAATAGGTGACTGAAGTTGCAAGAAGAAATGAGGAAGAGTCCATTAGTGGCATTTATGAGCAATGGTAGTTACAATTTTTTTCCTGAAAAATATTTTTCCAGTAAAAGCCTTACCTCCACATGATAGTTGGCACGATAGTTTGTTGTTAACTCCAGCGGATTTAAGTTAGAAAATCATGTGTTATATTGAGGTGATGCAATGATCTGGTTTGGACAAACAGATTGTGCTAAGACTTAGTCTTCTTTGTTTACTCTTAGTCATATGCGCTTGCTTTATAGTGACTGTACAGGGAACTATTGTTGGTTTGTGTTTGGTTTTTTTTTTGGCATGTGTTAAAAGCTTGCTTATAGGGGGGGGAAAAAATTCTTGGCAAGCATTTGCATCATTACTGGTTCTCCAGTTTTCAATCCCGCCATGAAAGAAATTCTTGAACTTCTTGCAGCCCTGCTGCCAGGTTTTCTAAGCTGTACACCGCCATGGAGGGTCTTTGGAAACTTTTGGTTCATAGGAGTTTGGAAACTGGTGCGGTGATGGTTTCTGAGGCATTTCATACCCTGAGACTGGGCCAGAGCGGGGGAATTCAGACCAAAGACCTCCTTGTTTTGTGAGCAGTTGGAGGGGGACTGTGTCTTGTGGTAGCTGGTGTGGTGGTGGTTGTGTGTTTATTATGCAATTTGATAAAGAAAGCAAATATGCTCAGACCTAACAGTCTTGTCAAAGTGTACAGTGTGTATGGACTTGAGAATCTGAACAGCCTCAGTGTAGCGTTCCAGTGTGCAAATGAAGTACCTGGCCTAATACAGGTGATTTTTGAAGGGGGGGGGTGGTGGTGTTGGTTTGGGATTTGTGGGTTTTGTTGGGTTCACTCCTGAGCTTATTAAACTGCACTGTGAATTCAAGTAGGCAGGAACAAGAGAAGTAATTTACAAAGAGAAAAACTGGCTGGCTTCCCAGCAGGAATTTTTTCCCCTTTTCTATATTACATTCAGGGAATAGTTCTTTGTCATTTTGTTTCTGTTGGCTATAGCAAAAAGAGATTATGTTTTAAAACAAATACCAGGTCTCTCTTCCCTCATATTTTCATCATGGCTTTTCTGGGCATTTTGGAAGGGTCTGGGGAGGAGAGGGTGCTGGAGAGCTCTTTTCCGTCTTTCTTGCCTTTGTCAAATTTCTTTTTTTTATATAAACTGTTTCTAAAAGGAGACAGGCTGCAAGATCAAAAATTCCCATGCCAGTGTTTTTACTGAAACTTCTGGAAATTAATTGTGATTCCTTGTATGGGTATGTATGCATCTACGGGTGAAGTGGGTTCTATCCATATTTTTAAAAGAACAGCGTGGGTTGCAATTTGCAGTGGATTTTTTTCCTTTTTGAAGCCAATGAAGAGTTACCTGAGGTTAATAAAAGTTTAAAATGTGGCATAATGGCTTCCTGCTTGTTCTTTTGCCACTAGGCATTGTTGACAAATGCAGAAGGTCTTTTTGAAAGACCTTTTCAGTTATGTACTTGCAATGACATAGTGACATCTTGAGGTTGTCTCTCACGCTCCTTGTCAGTCTTTGTCCCCTGCTGGCTGTGTTGCCCAGCACATCTCCAAGCTGAGGTCAAGCAGTCAGCAATAATACATTTCTGTATGCAAACCAAAACAAGCTCTTCCTACTGTATGCTTTGAATTACTTTCAGCATTTCATGTACCTGTGGGTTCTTCAATCACACAGTTTCTATTAAGCTGTCTGGTGACAATACATGGGTGTTCTCTTTAACTAGTTAGAAGTTAGTACATTTACACATTTTAACACATCCTTTTTGGTTGCCTTTAGAAAACTTTAATGCAGTGCCTTATTTTTCCCCCAAGGTGATGAGTTTTTATTTCACTTCACATTTATCATACCATTTACTACCCAAAAGTGAATTAAAGGGGTGGCAGGGGGGAACCAGTGATTTACCGGAATTCCTGTCATTTGTCTCCCAAACTTAACGTGTTGAATGTAATCAGATTGCATTCAGTGCTACTGAAAGTTCTTCTGTCCAGCTGACGCTGTGCTGGTTGGTGTTCTCACCTCGCCTGGAGGTCTGTGTGTAACTTGGGACCCCGTGGAAACCTGCTCTTGGGAATGCATGGGCTTATATGACAGTGCTGCTTGCCTTCCAGTCCCCCTTTTCTATTTTGTGCACCTCCTCCTGACAGGAGGGTGTCTCCTGGAATCTTTCTAGTGCCTGTTTTAGCTCACCTCTGTTATTTTGATCACACTGTTTCTTCTGAGGGCTATAAGAAAGACTTTCTGTACCTCTGAGATCACAGCTTTTTCTAATCTCCATTCAAATATGTCCTTACTTCTTTTCTGGAATTAGCCTTTGCCTGTATGTTCTTTTTGTGTACTCGCACATTTTATTTATTTTTTTTTTAAGCTGATGTGCCCTCCATCACTTGCAAAAAATCTTTTGGAACTAACTTTAAAACTTGCACAGTGCAAGACTCTTTCAAGAAAATATAACAAAAAATATTTCTTAACTAAAGAAAGGATATAGTTATATAGGTTACAGTTATATAGGTAAATGTTGGGAAAATTTTTGGTTTTCTTTGAATTGGAAATACTGTATTAAACTAGTACTTTCTCTAAAGAGCAAAACTCCATCGTAGCAATTCATGAAGAGCTCTCTCCAATCAAAGATTTTTGGTTCAGTTAGTTTCAAAATAAAGATTGATAATCTGGTACAATAGGCTTTTCAGTAAGTGGAGGCCTTGATTCTAATCTAGAAAGTAATCACTGGACTAACCTCTTGTACATACAGTTAGGTGATGTATTTAGGCTTGCTTCTAAGGCAAATTATGAGATGAGCATCTTGCTTTTAAGGAAATTCTCTTCCTGGGTAATGCTTTGCTGGCACAGGAACTTCCCCTCTCTTACCCTGTGAGAGATTCTTTTCAGAGTTGTTCCTCAAAAAAGCAAAAAACAGTAACAGTAAATACATACAAACCAGGAACAATCATGACTTCAAAGCTGAGCAGCTGAAGAGAGTGTTTCTTCTGACTAGTTCAGGTGAGTAAGCATGCTTCCTCAGATACGTATCTTCATTATATAATCTTATAGTACATTATCATTTAGCATTGCCTTTGCCTATTTAGAATGTTCTGAGTAGAAATATATCTGGTATATTTTAAGTTGTGGTGTGTGGCAAGGAGATAGAAGGGCTAACTAGATTTATTCCTGGCGTTTCAAAATGGGGAATTCGTCACCAAGCTTTATAAGTTAATATGTGCTTAAGTGCACATGTTAGGGAGTTTGGGGACAGATCATGCAACTTTTATCTCAAATGCAGTTGTGAGTCTTTTTTTGAGAGGACTGTAGTACTCAGTGATGGTATGAATGGGATCAGAGTTAAAGCACAACACAACAAAAAGGCTTACCAAAAATAAACTCAATCTTGCATTCAGTTTTACTTAATTAGTAGATAAGAGTCCTTGAAATAGCTATCAGTGCAAAATTCTTTAATTTAAAAATGCCCTGAAAAGAAAGGATTTTGACACATGTTTACAGGAAATTATAAATTTGTAAAGAGGAATAAAAGTTGGTCATAATTTGTTTTACATGTTGAAGATGGTTGGTTGATTCTCCACATTCAAATGTGGATTAACATATAATGAGTTTTGTTATTGCTGTGAATATAGAGTATGTATAACGAAGAAACATCAAGTTAGTAGAAGGAGAATGAGTGTGTGGGATAGAATTTCAAAGCTTACTTGTGTACTTTGCAGACTGTCTAATGCTTAATTTTTTCACACTGAGTTTTCATTTTTGTTTTAGTCTTTAATTTTTCCTTCAGCATTCCTTAATATTTCCTTCTATCACTACACTTGTTTCTCACTTTTTTGACTGTGCATTGGCTCTAATGTCTCTTTCTTTCCCCTTATTCTGGTGACTGTATGCTTTCAGCTTTTTTTTTTTTTTTTTTTTTCAGCGAATAACCTAAAAGATTTAAAACTTTTTAAATATTTAAGCAATGTAAAGTACTATGAATTTTGAAAAATTGGGGGACAACATGGGGACCGGTTACATTGTGAAACAGATTGCTCATATCATTGTCTCGGGTCTTGCTTGAACTGTTTGATACCTCTACATACATAGTCAAAGCAAAACTCTTATTAGAGTAAGGGCTTTCTGTATTTTTTAATTATTTGATTTTACATGGAATATTGTGCAGTGCAACTCCACCCCTTACACAGAGCAGAACACCTGTTGGTGTGGCAACCTGCTGTGTAATGAGATGGCTGGAAACAGTGAAAACCTCTAACTTTGCTCGATGACTTTCTTCTTTTTTTCCTTTGCTGTATATTTTAAGTAGCAAATTTTCTGATTTTAACACAGATTTGAAGACAATATTGTTTGGCCTCCATGTACTAATAAATACCTTCTACACCTTAGTTTTCTGTGTTCACTTTTTTAGATCAACTGGTTATTCTGAGGTGATAGTTGTTGTTGGAGGCTGTGAACGAGTTGGAGGGTTTAATTTGCCATACACTGAGTGCTACGATCCTGTAACAGGAGAGTGGAAGTCGCTGGCTAAACTTCCAGAGTTTACCAAGTCTGAGTATGCAGTGTGTGCTCTGCGGAATGATATCCTTGTTTCAGGTGAATAATCCTAAAAAATTTAAGACTTCTTTATTTTCTTTGCTGGTCGGGGTTTTTTGTTTGTTTTATATAAAGCAGTGTGACAGATCTTTGACCTGTGAACTTCCAGCTCAACTGAAAGTTGCTTTCTGATGTAAATGGTGAACACCAGTTCCAAACCAATCTTACTGTGGACAAAAGTGTTTTCTGGGATTTTTGTTTAGTATTGATCAGCAGTTTTTTACAGCTGAATCCAAGATATCAATTGTATTTAAAGAGACTTGCTTATGCTCGTTATGTACGCTGCTTTAAAATTTATTAGTGACCTGCTTGCAGCAACAGTTGGAAAAATTACAAGCAAAAAGTCCCAAGCAGTGTTTTTTCCAGCAGCATTTTCTCTGCTACAAAATGTGCTGTGTGCTGGGTAAAACCACCAGTTGCCTAGGAGCAGCGCAGCGCTGGTACGCTGCTGGTGACTTGCTTCTATCATATGGCTGCCTAGACTCCAAAAGAAAAACAGTTAAAGCTTCTCATCATGGGAGTGTAAAATGGAAACAATTCCTTTTGGCACCTGAGTTGGGGATCCATTTATACGAGCCTTTTATAGTGAAATGAGCAATAGCTACAGGTTTTTAAACACCTCTCATACAGTCTTTTAGCAAGGGTAAATTGTAGGGTACAGCTGATGATTTAGACACCAAGCCCCATGTGTTAGTTTAACCAAAGAAATTGTCTCCTCAGATGTATAGTACCTATGTCATTTGAGCAAAATGTAAAACAAAGGAGATGGATACTTGACCCAAATGGAGGAACAGCTAGTGTTAGGGATGTGCCATGAGGCCTGTAAACAGTTAAGATTTTGAGTGTCTCATCCAGGTAGTGACGCTAAATGAAATCTGAGGAGCATGGGCAAAAGCCATTACAATGCACTGCAATCTAGAGAAATAATTGAATGTCATCTCAGCATGTTACTGGGAAAGACATACCTCAGTAAAATAACTTACTGTATGTAGTTGTGTTTGAAATCCACTAAAACTGACTTCCTCATTCTTATGTATAAATATAGATAGATCTTTATTTCACCTAAAAAGCCTATAAGGTTTTTATTGCCCACTGCAGAGGAGCATGTTAATTATTAACATTTCTCATTCAATAATAAATTTATTCAGATTGGCATATTTTTGTTTTTAAAGGTGGAAGAATCAATAGCCGGGATGTTTGGATTTATAACTCTCAACTTAACATTTGGATCAGAGTTGCCTCCTTAAATAAAGGCAGATGGCGTCATAAAATGGCTGTTCTTCTTGGTAAAGTAAGAGAAGTATATTTATAGGTTTTTGTGTAGTGGGGATGCTTGCTGTCTGTAGGAAAACAGTAGAGAAATAAAAATCATGTTACCTCTCAGTTGTGGGGCTTTTTTTGCATATTTTTTTTTATCATTGAAGTGTCTTATCTGCAAGAAGCAATTCTGTGGGAAGCAAAGGAGCATCTGGATTTGCCTGTGCTTCAAAAGTGCTGTCAAAAGTTTAACAATTTCTGCAGTTCTTAACAGAAACTGGTGCTGCTCTGAATGCCAGCTCTGTGCTCTTTTAATTAATGTTTTATATTGAAATTAACCATATATATGCTGTGGGGAAATGGGAGGTTTTGCTGTATTTTGAAGGCATTAACGTAAAATCAGTAGTTGGGATCAACTGCCCATGGGGACTTGATTGATGAAGGTTAGGGAAGATACGCCTGTAGTATCCCTTGGACTTCTTAGAGATGAGACTTGCAGCTGGAGCAGAGGGAAGAAGATAGACAAAAATAATAATGAGCTCTGCTTGTTAAATATGAGGGAGGCAAGAATTAAAGAGAAGTTTACAAACTGAGAGGAAGAAATACTTTTGTAAACAAGTAGGAAAAAAGCAAAACAGAAAAACAAAGGTAAATTCGGATGGATTTTTGCTGTTGCTGAATGTAATCTGTAAAAAGAGAAATGCAGAGGAGTGCCTTTTTTAACAACTGCCGTTCAGATAGGAAGTTTCTCAGTATTAATAATACTATGCTTTGGACGTGTGTTTGCAGTGTCATTCCACATGTGACTGAATGGAACTCTCCAGGAAAGCTCTACCTATTATTTTTAGACCATATCCTTCTCTTCCTGCGTATAAATTAAAAATATGGGGAAAATATCCCTTTACAAACCTAGCAAATTAGGATTCTTGCACCTGTAATTTCATATTTAAATGTAATAACCACTCTAAAAAGGAAATGATGATAGTTTTTCCCACTTTGCATAGGTCTATGTTGTTGGAGGATATGATGGGCAAAACCGCCTCAGCAGTGTGGAGTGTTACGATTCGTTTTCTAATCGATGGACAGAGGTGGCTCCCCTGAAAGAAGCTGTGAGCTCTCCAGCCGTCACCAGCTGTGTTGGCAAACTGTTTGTGATCGGGGGTGGTCCTGATGACAACACATGTTCTGACAAGGTCAGTTACTTGTATTTGATTGCATCTTCTATCCAGTGGAAACAGTGTTGCTGGTTAAAAAACAGATCATACTGAGATCTGGTTTAACTTTTTTGCTGAATGGAGGGTGGAATTACTATAACAGGAAAAATACAGAGTAGAAAACATTGACTCAAACACTGTTCCTGTGGTCTTTCCCATGGACACTGTCAGTGGTTTCACAGGCTCTGTGTATTCTTAAACCTGTTAGGAAAGTAATGTTGAATATAGTGCAGACATAGACAATTTATGAATCTGTATTTATATTGACTTCATTTTCTTGGTGAGATACTGCTCACCAGATATTGTTGTTTTGGCTCTTCTTGTATAACCTGTGTAGGTGTGCCAGGTTATTTCAATTAGGCTTTTAATCTGAAATGCATGTATTTATTTTCAGGTTCAGTCTTATGATCCTGATACTAATTCGTGGTTGCTCCGTGCAACTATTCCTATCGCAAAAAGATGTATTACGGCTGTGTCCTTAAACAATCTGATCTATGTTGCTGGTGGGCTTACCAAAGCAATCTACTGCTATGATCCGGCTGAGGACTACTGGATGCATGTACAGAACACATTCAGCAGACAGGTAATTAACATGAGAAGTCCTGTAGACATCTGAAAGGTGTTTTGTTTTTTTTTTTTTACGTTAATATCTTGGCATGAAATGAGGGTACACTTAGCCCTATTTAAATTTCATCTCTGATTCCATTCTTGATTTATTTCATCTATATAATTCAAAACCTTACAGAAGAGGAAGTTTCTAAACCAGTAGCTTTTCAGCTGAGTGTTGCTGTTAGCCAGTCCAGACTTTCTGTTTGAGGGCAGTTACTGTTGGAAAATGGAGTAACAATATAATAGATGATGCTTTAATTGTATAGAAATTGATCTCTGAACAAGTTCTGCTGCATGCTTTAATTTAGACTGAAGATAATAATTTCCTTAGAATTGATTAAAGCTTTTCAATATAACAATACTGAAGTCTGTTTTTACAGTGTGGGGAAAAAAAAAAAAACCACTGTGTAGCACAAAAAGTGTCTGACTTAAGCAGTGAGAGCTGCATCACTTCCACGTATGGGACATTGAGCAGAATTTCAATGTGTCCCCCTCTGTAGTAAAGTAAAAAATTTTTCCGATGTTTTTAAAACATCAGTCACATACTCTACGGTATCTACCTTAACAGACATTTGTTCTTTTTCTTGGCCTTCCCTCCATTTCTCTGTTTTGATCTGTGTCCTCTATTTAACTGAATATTTTTTCCATGCCTGCTTTTAAGAAAGAAATAAAATCACACCTCTCTTTGTTTCAAGTAAGACATAGCGCTGTCTTTTTCTGACGCACTCTTTTATTAGTCATGGGTTTTTTCCTCTCACCTTTTTACATCCCTCTTCATTATCTGCTACTCCTCTAAGGTGCTTCTCCTTGTTCCCATTTTTTGCATTAATAGTACCTACTGTGGTCCCTCTTCTGAAAACCTTTGTTCTCTCTTCCTTTCCTTGTCTCAGATGTTTAAATGGTAAGTACAGTGTTCAGCTGTATTCCATTGTTATATCCCTTGTCTGAGCTATGTGTAGTGAGGGCTTAGACCTGAAATAATCTTTTCTGTAGGATTGTGATGCTGCTTTCCCCACTAATTGTGCTTTCTGCATTGGCCGTTTCAGGAGGGAATAGTATAGGCCACTCTGTTTACAAAGGGTAGTCACAATGCTGTCCTTCTGCACCGGGGTAGACACGCAGGAATTGAGGTCCTGTTTTTTAAATAATCATGTATTCCTTTGTGTATCTTGAAACAGGAGAACTGTGGCATGTCTGTGTGTAATGGAAAAATCTATATCCTTGGTGGAAGACGAGAAAACGGTGAAGCCACAGACACTATTCTTTGTTATGACCCTGCAACGGGCATTATCACAGGAGTAGCAGCCATGCCCAGGCCAGTATCGTATCACGGCTGCGTGACGATTCATAGATATAATGAAAAAGGCTTTAAACTGTAATTTTTTTCTTGAAAAAAGAAGATGATGGCATGAATGAATCCAGTGGTCTGCCGCAAGACGGGCTTTTTAAAGATTCCTGAAGTGGGAAAATGCCTTTTCCCTGCCTAAGTGTCATATGAAAATTATATCCGGTGCCTTTAGAAAAAGGGTTAATTTAACTTACAAACCAAGTCTACAAATCTATCCAGTAACCAGAGTTCAGCTGTATCTGCTGTGGGCTCTGATACGGGAGCAGTAATAGTACCTTGTACTAGTGTTCAGAAAGTTTGTCCTATATGTGATTAGTAATTAAAATCTTGGAAGCTTTTTGGGGAAAGTGCCTTCTCAAGCATTTGTGCCTGTGTCCTAAGAAGCAATATCTGCAAGGTGTTTCAGGTTCTGCTAACTGGAAAAATACATAGGCAAGTAAATTCCAAAGAATCATCTAGGATAATTTACCTACAATTTAAAAAAGCTTATATAATTATAATTCATATGCACAATATTCTTACAAGCAGATCACTTACCATAACCCAAGTAGATTTTATGTCAAATTATACATGGTTTGGAATTAAAAAAAAACCAAAACAAACAAAAAAAAACCAACAAACAAAACACAAACCAAATCAGCTACACAGGAAAAATATTAGAATATTAGAGGAATTCTTTTTTCTGAAGGAGATATTGGTTGTTTAGTGAGCCACTGCAACACGCTGTGGGAACCACTGTGTACCTTAACACTATGGACCTTATACATAGTGTTGCTAAATGTTCATGAGAAGTACAGTGCTACATGACATGGTAAACTAGTGAACACTGGGGTGTAGGCATGCCTCTCTAAAGCAAATTTTGAATCCCAGTTTTTCACTTGAATGGTATGGCTGAAGTATGAAAGTGACTGGGTTCACTTTTTGCTCACTGCAAGTATCTCTGAACTACTCAAGGAATAAAAGATAATGAACTCTGGATTCTCCCACTTTTCTGAATTGCATTATAAATTACCTGATGATAAAGGTAGGGACTTGGGCTGCACCCTACAATTTCTAAATTGATCTTTTGGATATCTCATCTGCAGAGATGGCAGAGTACCTGCCAAATGTTTCTTCGCCTTTCTTCAGACAATCACTTACTCTAGCACAGTTAAACTACTGTATAAGCTGCTTGGCCATAGATAAAGAAGTTCTGGAAAGGTCCCTCCTGTCATCAGAAAACTATCTGTGGACCTGTCCATGCAGCCATACGAGGTAGCTCCCACATAACATGTTTTGGATAATTTTCAAGCCTAGGAAGCGCCTGTATTTTTGACCCCTTTTTTTTTTTTTTTTTTTTTTTTTAAGCCTTTCCTAGATTTTTGTACTAGGTCTCTATTTCCAGTATACAGTTACATAGTTGAGACACAAGTTCATAAGAACTGAAATAGCACTTGAGAGTGGGAAAATTAATAGGATTGTCTGTGTACCAATTTCCAGTTAATCACCAAAAACCTCAGGAACTGCCTTTCAAAGGAATTCTGAGGACAGTAGCCAGGCGGGAAGTTGGTCAGTGCCAGGGCAGGAAAAAAAATAAGGTCCCTGCAGAGACAGCTCTGGCCTCGGGGTTCTGGTCTCCGTGCTTGCTCAGGAGGGTGAAAACAAGCACCATCTCTGGAACGTCGTTTGTTCCACTGGACTTTCTTTATCTGTTTTCGCAGAGTATTTCTTCATGAGATGGAAATTCTGACCCTCAGTGAAGCTATGCCAAACTGGGAGTCATCATTTTCAGTAACATGTGGTCATCACTTTTAAAGAGCACTGGGAGCTGCACTTTGATGCATTAACTTGTAACCTCAGGAAAAGATGCAAATTTCAGTTTCTGGCTGAATACCAAACACTGCTTTGTATATGTTAAGAATACTGATAAAAATACAAATCTCTACGTATCAGTGATGTAATTAGGAAGTTAGTCCCAGAGCATGTATGCTCAGATTGCCCTAAAAAGCAAGTCCCTCTGTAATGTAAGACAAATTAATCAGATAAATTAATCCTTTTCCAAGTTTCTTGTATTTTCTACTCACCAAGTGTTACTTTGGAAAGGTAATTTCAGCACCTGTGTATAAGGTCTGTTGATAGCAATGGTAATTGCCCAGTAACTGATACTACATACAAACACTGTATATAATTTGTGCCATCGTTGTAAATGAAAATGTAAAAAATGATAGGAGCACTTCATTACAGATGCAATTTGAGAAATATTCTCCTTTCCTTTGATTTCCATCTTGTTTGCATTAAGACTTGTAATGTTGATTGTCATGCTAAACTGTTTTTAAACACACTTTACTCTGTAGGTGTAGAACAATGTTGTTTATATATAGGTATCTTTTAATCTGTGTTTATAATACTGCACTAATCTGTAAATAACGATACTGCTTTCTGTGATTTTGAAGATTCATTTTATAGTTTAGTTGTCTTATCCTAACAATTTATGTATTGTTACCTATTATTTTGAAAATGACAGTGTTTAATGAACCAGTAAATGCAGAAATGTAAAAGAAAACTTCTGCTTGTAGTTCTCGAACCTGTATTCAACGCTGAACAGTTACATGTGTGGAGCATTGCTAAAACGGCAGCTACTGATGCAATGATTTCCTTAAAACAAGCAGTGAATGGGGTTTTTTTTTGCTTGTTAACTCTAAATAATTTGCACTTACGGCCTGCTCTAACAATTACTTGTAGATGTACTAGGAAAGAACAATTCAACTTTGGTTTAATGACAATGTACCATTTTTCTAGAAGGATGCATTATTTGGATGTTGCATTCCTGAGCCACCTGTTCTCCGATGCATTTCACTTGGGCATAGATTAATTTAAACTCTCACTGTTAGGCATATCTAGCTGCTTGCAGTTTATGGGCTTGAGTAGCAACCTGGTGTTTGGTTTTGGTTTTGAGGGTTTTTTTGTCTCAGCTAGGAGAGAAAATTATTAATGGTAATAGGTTTGGTAGCTCTAAATTAGACACCTGCACAAATACGTAACTTCAGTCTAACCATGCATGGGAAGAGGGCTCAAGTATCTCCAAAGTCACTTCTAAAAACTAAATTCTAAGAGTTGTCTAATATTTCGTTCCACTAAACAGAAAATTGCCTTTTAAGTATTTCACTCTTTAAAAGAAATGAGAGTAAATATTTTCCTTTTCCATATTGATGTCCATGATGAGTTACTTCCTGTTTTCAGCAACGTGATGTTAATTGAAAAGAAAGTTGATGCTTCCTTGCAGCCTGGCTTCTAGAAGGTTCTGAATAGATAATTTTAGTACTGCATTATAGTGCAGCCTCTAGCCTGCCACTTTTATATACAGCATGCATTCCCTCATTTTACAGCCATCAAGCATGTAACAGTGCCTGGTAATCATTTAGTTTTACCTGTAGGCTCACTTCTTGATAGAGCTTAAGGTAGGTATAATTTGTGGAATCTCTTCCATTTGTACCATCAGATGATTCATTTTATACTACATGCCTGGTGTGCATTGTGAGGATTAGACACTGTGCTTTCCACTCTAGCACCAAGGGTCCAGAGTCGCACTGTTATTTTTTATTATTTTAATTGGAACCAATGCAGTTCCCATCAAAGATTGCTTTTGTTTCTACTCTCTGAAGCACAGATATCTTTAATGCAGATTATGTTGATATGGATTCTTACCATAATGTACTCCAAGCTTTTTAAACAGTATTATTAACACTGCAAGTTTGAGAGATAGGCTGATGATGCATGAAGAAGGGGTGCTCACCTTGACAGAGGTTCTGAGGAAGCTTTGGTCACTTATGCTTCAGAGCAAGGATACTGTGGACTGCTCCTGCTACTTCTTCAAAATAGTTGAGTTCACCATATTATCTTTGATAATTACTCAATTTTTCCTGCTTTTGTTTTATTTGAGCTGCCAGGACAAAACAAGCAGTCCCGCTCCCTGTGACTTCAGGTTTCCCTCCTGCCCAAGGCCTGGTGGTGTGCTGGAGCTGTCACTCTTAGTGGGTAGGCAGAGCTGTGAAATTTGTCCAGCTCCAAGGAGAGAAATGAGAAAAACTTATTGGGGTGGGGTGAGAGATGGCAGGAGGGGAGGTGTTTGGGGGTTTGGCTGCACTTGCTGAAACCAAGGTACTCTGGCTGCTTATAAGTTTGCAATTCCAGATGCTGAAACTGAGAGGGTAAAAATATTTCACGTTTTGTCAACTCACTAAACTCAGTTGGAGCAATAAAGATATATATATATGGTCATGGTCTTCTAGTGGCAATGTTCAAGAAAGCCAAAGGTTCATTTTTCCTAATTGCCCATCTAAGTAAGTAAATGTGGGGTTTTTCTCCACCACTAAAAATGGCAAAAGCCAATTCAAGAGTATTAAGAAACTCACAAGACTTGATCACTGTGAAGCAAAATGAATGTTTTCATCCGAACGTAGTCTTGTGCGCACAAGAAAGTACAAATGAAACGGGTGGTTGTGCCTGGTTAAAAAATGTGAGTGACACATATCCAGAAAAGCAGTCTATAAGATGAGATTTTTAAGCAGAAATTTGCCATCTGGTTGGAGGCCAAGCAGTGATGTCTGGGTTGGTTTTTTTTTTTTAAATGTCTAGCACACAAGTTTCCTCAGCGTTGAATTATTTGAGGTGGCATTACTGAAAATGGATCTCACTGTCAGTGTATGATGATTGTCAGCTCTGTGAGCGTTGCCACAGAAAGGTGAGCAGCCTCCTAACCATCCCCAAACCAGCTGTGTGAATCACACGCGCTCTGCCCGCGGGCCTTGTCTCCGCTGTATTCCATAACTAATGTTACACTTAAGTTCATGTTACTCAAAGTATATAGCCCTGGTAACATTACTGTCTAAGGACTCCATTTACAGGAACATTTATTTTTTTTTTACTGTAGTGCTCCAGTCTATGCTCATATGTTTATGTGTGCACATATGTGTGTGTGAATAATTTCATGATCGTTTTCTGATAGTGCTGTTATAAGTAATGCACATAAAAGCTTCTGTGTATGGCATGTTGATAATGTAATTATGGCTTCCTTTGTATTATTAGTTCCAAAGAAAATAATGTGTGTTAATTTTGAAAATACCTGTGCCTTGAATTCACCTATATTTTTATCTATTGAGACAAAGATCTTAGATTACTTCTCCCAGTTTATTAGGATCGGTCTTACTGTCCAGATGGTTGATGTCCTTCTAAGAGAAACGAATCTTGTCATTCATTAACTAGGATAGTTAAACCTCTTGTTTAGAATGTGCCTAGAATGCTTCCATTATTACAGTTCTGTGGCAGATGTAATGTAAGGAAATCCAGTGGGTTTTCCATTTTTTTTGTTTCCAGCACTCCTCAGTGACAAAGGATTTTAATCTTCGACTTCCTGCCCTTAACATACGCAGGCTCTTGTTTTAGTCAGTAGCCTCTGTGATATTTCTGAATGCTCCGATTTGCCAGTCATGAACCTCTTGTTCAATATATGTAATATGAAGCAATAATATGGTGCAGCATGGCAATAAACAAATCAAGAGACTTGAATGTAATGTACTATTGCTAATTTCATCTTTGTAAGTGCTGGACCTATGAGGCATTCTCCTTTTGGTGCACCTGTAGCAATTTGGAGTCAGATTAATAGGAGCTACTTGGTCATGGAAAGAGAATTTACCTCCTGAACTGTTATTCTTACGATATTTTATCTTCACCTGAAATCATGTTTTGATTTTCCTTTTTTTTTGCTGAGGAAAACAGCAGTTCATGTTACTCCTTGCCAGTTCCTTTATTTACTGAAACATAAAAGGCATAGTTCTGTGAAGAGCTGATCTTGTCTTCAAGAACAACCTGGTGCAGCACAAATGACATTTGAACAAAAAAAGTGCAGACCACTTACTGTGTGCCAGAGTCAATGTAATGTTATCTTGCATATAACATTAAGGTCTTCAAATTGTGCTGACAGTAGAAAAGTGATTTTGTAATGTAGCACAATTGCAATAACACCTGTTATATTTAAATATATTTCTTGCATAATTCTTTGAAAGTTTTTTAAAGTTCAATGTACCTAATAAACATTTGCCTTTTGAATAGTTCACTGTGTTTTATTTAGTTTATGAGAAGTTCCAGGGTGGGGCTTGATGGTGCACAGAGGAAACTCCTTCCTTTTTTTCCCAGGTGATTTAACTTGTTGGATTCTGCCCCTTTGCAGTCTCTGTATCTATCCAGCGATCCATTCTTCTGTCTCCCAGTCCAGGTGTTTTTCCCCGCTCATCTTTGTCTTTGTTATGGAAATTACTATTGACATAAATAAAGGCAAGCTGGAGGCTGTGCAGAAGAGTAAACTTAAAACTGGAAAAATGATAAAGCAGGAGGGTGGGATGTGAAATACTGGTTAGTCTTGAGTACTGCAATGGGAAAAGAATGGGAATGGACTTGGAAGACAAAACCAGCACGGGAAATCAGGAAAAGGTAACGTAATTCTAGGAAGGTGACTGGCAACAACACAGGTTGGAAAGTATCCTCTAGCAAGCTTATTCTCCTAAAATTAGCTACTTGGCCATCTTGAGGTCCCACTTGCAGATGGCAGACGAAGGGTTCAGACTGTGATGGAGTGGTACTACTGCAGTTGAATCGATACAAAGAAAGCAGTTGGTTTAATACCCCATTTTTTACAGATTACACCCATCTTTCACGGATTTTCTAGAGGAATAAACTAGCTGTACTCCTGGTTGCTGCTTCCCTGTAATGTGCATTCTGGATCTCAGACTTGGAACTTGCCCTTCATGTAACCCTAGTCTTGCCTTCTTCCCCAAAACATTTCTTTTCGATATCATGGCAAACAAATACAGCTTCTATGGCTTTGCCTTGTAGCCTGCTGAGATCTGATCTGTAGCATACATCTGTTCCCTGGGTGGCACGTTCAGATGTGGGGTGCTCTGGATATACCAAAATAAATCCCAAGGCACTGGGACCCTGATGTTCAGTATACTCTGTGTCTCTCTGACTGAGAAGTAAGTATAAGGAAAGAGCAGCTCTTTGTAGAAATGGTGCTAGACATAACTTAAATGGACATAATACTGCAGCATCTGTCACATTTTTTTTTTCTGCAGCTTTGAGATGCAGAAAACTGAAGTAGCTGCACTAGTTACAACAGCTTAGAACCTGCCCCCACAGAGATGAGAGTCTCAATGTTGCAGGAGTGAGGTAGGTAGTCATTTTCAAATACCTTCTATCATTAAATAAAACTTGGCAAGCCAACAGAGTCTGCTGCAGTTCTAGAGTGTGGCAAGGCTCATTTACAGCAAGCAAGTGGCTCTTGCTGTGGTGCCAGAAGTAAGTTACAACCAAGTTCAATGCTTGCAGAAGTTCACTTTCCTGAAAGAAGTAATGTTGCCTGAAATAGAATCCACAGACTGCAAAGCAATGGAAATATTTTTGAGGGTTGGAAGCCCATCTTAAGATATTTTAAGTCTTAAGCATAGTCAACTGGCAGCAATGTTTTAACAACAGCCTCTTTCCATTAAGCAGGAAAAGGGAAGAAAATAAAATTGAACTACGCTATCTATGTACCTTTTGTGAGATGAGCATGATACAAATTCCAGTATAAGAACAGTCTCTGTTGTTTTTCCATAGATCACATTTGTTGCTTGGTAAGAAATCAGAAAACTGTTGTAGTAGTGGTCCTGAAATGGAAAAGAAAAAAAAAAAAAAAAAAGGACTTGAAGGGCTAAGCCTTGAACATTCAGCATGTGCTTGCTAATTAGTGGCCTTGTAAATAAATTTGCAAATACATGTATGAGCAGGACATTGATTTATGCTGGATAGCAGCTCACTGCATGAACCATGGGACTACCACAGACCAAAGCACTGTGCGCCATTAGCTGCACCTGGCAGAGGTGTTACAGTCTGGCCAAAACCAAACACAACCGGTGGTATTAACTACACTGATTTGGACAGTCTTAGCTCTGATGTCAGAGACTATGAAGTACAGCAAGTAGTAAGCCTGCTATAAGCCATTTTTGAAGCTTGTCTTCAGTGAGATCAGTGCAAAACCCTTCAGTGGACCTTGTGTGCGCAAGGGGTGAGGGCAGGCCAGGGCCACCATCCCAGGCGTGAGGTGACGCAGTGCTCCTCTGCTCGTGGTGGGCCGTTGGAACTTTACATCTTGCTCAGACCCTGCCTCGTTTCTTGGGGTTTAGTTTCTGCTTTTTTGTGGGTTTCGTTGTTGTTTTTGTTTGTTTGTTTGGGGTTTGGTTTGGTTTGTGCTGTTTTTTTTTTTTTCCTAATCATCCTCCTTTCACTGAGCATCTTCTGCATTATGGTGTCTTCCTCCAATGAGGTGGCTTCACGCAGAAAGTCAGAATTAGGCCAATACATTAATATATCTAAACAGGAACATAACAGCATCGCTAACCTCGGGGGTTTTTTTCTGGCGCTGAGGGGAAATTATAGCCCCCACACCGCTCGTTCCCCACACCCAGCGCCGGAGAGAGGCGCTGTCGGGCCCCCACTGAGGCGGCGGCAGCTCCAGCTCGGGGCCCTTCCCCGCTCCCCCCTCACCCGGAAACCCTACCGGGCCTGCCCTCCTCCTCCTCCTCCTCCTCCTCCTCCTCCTCCCGCCGCGGCAGCACCTTCCCGCGGCGGCAGGTGCGGGACCCCCACCAGGGCGGCCGCCGGCTCCGTCCCGCCCCTTCGCCGCTGTCCGCCTGCGCGGGCCCCGCCCCGGCGGCTGACGGGCAGCCAGGCGCACGGCCCTGCGCTCATGGCGGCGGCGGCGGCAGCGGCGGCGGCTGCTGCTGCTGCTGCTGCGGGCCGGGGCGGCGGGGGCCGGCGCTGAGCGCCCCGGGGGCGGCGGGCGGGGGCGGGCGGCGCGCGGCGGAGCGCGGGTGAGCGGCGGCGGGGCGGGCAAGGGAACGGGGCGGGGGGGGAGGGGTGGTGGGTGGTGTGAGGGGAAGGGGGGGAGGAGCGCGCGGCCGCCTCGGCTTTGTGTGCGCGGGCGGGGGGAGGGGGAGCGGCGCGGCGCACGTGCGCCCGGCCGCCGCGCGGGCCCGCCTCCCCAGCCCTCAGGCCGCCGCGGGCTCTGGGGCCGCCGTCCCTCGCCGAAACGGCGCCCGGGCCCGGGAGCGGTGTCCCGGCGGCGGGAGCGGTGGCCCGGCGGCAGGCGCGGGGTCGCGTCGGGGCACCGGCGCCTCGACGCTTGGGGTGCGGGGGGTTGGAGCTCCCGCCTCGGCGGTGCCGAGCGATCCCCCCCACCCCAGCGCCTGCCCGCGCTGAGGGACCCCCCCGCGCACCCCACGCCTCGGCGGGCGGCGGTTTGCCGTGGCAGCACCGCCCCGGCTGCGCTTCGGGGAGCGGGAAGCGGCTGAAGGTCCCGGGCCGAGCGGAACGGGACCGGCTCCGAGCTGTGCAGCTGTGGGCTGGTCTCTAGCAACTGGGGAAGGGAGGAAGGAAGGAAGCGTCCCGGCTCTTTCAGGAGCCGCAGCGCAGGCTGCCCCACGGGCGGGGGCTGAAGCCTGCCCAGAAGGTTGCTGTGGGTGAAGTTAGTGCTCTTATTTTACCTCGCAGGGGAGAGAACATGTCTGGGATCAAGAGAGTGATCGCAGAGAAGGACCCTGACTACGAGGAGATCACCGTCACGCATCCCAGCAAGCGTCACAAAGCAGCCGAGCAGTCAGGTAGGAGGGAGATGCCTGAGCTGGAGGGATCTGCCAGGTGGAACTAGAAACGCCGTGGATGCGCGTGGTGTCTGCGGACAGGCCGGGAAAGGGCTGGGGGGTAGGAGCCTGAGGGGCCGAAGGGCTGAAACGGAGCAGGAGCAGGGGCGGTAGCGACACCGCTGTACGGCCAAATAAAGGTGCGGCTGTTGTCATACGTGGAGCTGTCCCTGCCCGCTCCCTGCAAGGCGTGAGGATGTGATGCACGACAGCAGCTAGAGCCTGAGCTCTCCCAGGCCCCAGCCGTGTGCGTTGGTTCCTGTTGCTGGCTGAATTATTTGCCATTGCATCTTCCCAGCAGTTTCCTATGCTGAGTTGGTCTCCAGCCTTGTACCTCCGTTTTGCAGTCGAAGTCTGCTTCCAGAAAGATTGGCAGTTTGTTTACATTTTGGGGGATACAGGTCGCAGTACAGCATGGCAGTGGGGGAAGAAATACATGATGCTGCAGTGGGGGGAAAAAAAAATCCACGACCCTGTGGTGGGTAGATCTTGGAAGATGACAAATGTTTGCAAGAGTAGGTGGGTGAAGTGAAGCGGAGCACTGTAGAAGAGATAAGTGAGGGAGAATGAAGGGACTTTGAAAAATGCAGAGGAGAGGTAGGACAAGCAGCCACCTGACTGAAGGAAAGGTGGATAAAGAAGTGTAGTGGAGAGAGGAGCTGGATGAGTAGGTTTGCATTTGGCACGCTCAGATAATGCTTGCTTTGGGAACCAGCCTGTTGGCTGGGTGCCTGGGACAGGTTGCAGTTGTCTCTGGGCAAATGAGTGCGGAGCTTCTTGCCCCTGGGACAGGGAGTAGGCTAGTGATTTTTGGCATAAGACAGCTAGTGAGAGGATCACCATGGGAGGAGCTGACGAACAAGGAGGTGAGAAAGCTGAAGCTGGCTGCAGGATCTGAAGAAGATCCAGGAACAGAGCAGGATTCTGGAGCTGCTGGTTGGAGAGGGACTGATGAGCTCTTTGGATGATGTTTTGGAGGACAGCGTGCAGCCGGACAGCTCTGAGGGGGCTGATCTCCCCAGTGGGGTGTGTTGCCGGGCAGGTCCTGTCTGCCGGGTGGGTTCGGGGCCCGGGCAGCGGGAGCTGGCCACGGCAGAAGAGCGTCACTGGTCCCAGCTGCCTGCCCTGCCTGGCTGCCAGGAGTTGCCTCCCTCTGCACTGATGTGTCCCAGGGACTGCAGGGGGGTTTATAAGCTGCTTCTGAATCAACTTTTCAGATGATCTTAATAATTAGCAGGCAAAGTCTCAGGGCCTTGGAAAACTGTCCAAGCCAAAGTGAACTTTCTGCTCAGTTGATTCCTCCGAATTGTCTCTTTCTTCCTCTTGTGGAATATCTCCAACTTTTCATACAAGCGTTCTTCAAGTACACAAATTTCACTAACACAATCTTAATTAGGAACTGTGGTTGATGCTAAACTGGGAAAAATATGAAAATAAAGTGTTGTTAAAAGCTTCTGTAATATAACCAAAAATCCTAAAGTGCTTTAATTGTCATAATGCTGGTGTTGCATGACCTCAGTCTTGGGAAGAGATGCAATTGTCCCTGTCTGAACTGTACATCTTATAACTTAATCTGTTTAGGTTTATTTTAAGTGTAACCTTACATGTGAATTTCCTAGGCATGGTGTTTGTGGCTGGGGGAAGATTGTAGCCCTCTGGTTTTTAATTTTGCATTACTCCTACAGGTTCAACCATAATTCTGTTTTAAATGTAGGCTTGAACTATTTCTGGTCCTAGAATATGTACATACGGGCATCTGGAAATAAGTAAAAATATTTAGGATACCCCTGTTGCATATAGAAGCATCAGTTGCCTTAGTCCAGCTTGTAGGTACCAGATCAGACAGTAAAATCACATATGCTAGCTGGGACATACGAGCAAAGTTTTGACTTGCTTTTGATTTCTTTACTCTTGCTTTTGGGATGTTAGAAACCCCTTCAAACAGATAAGTACCCTTTAGTAAAGCAAATGCTTCCTCTGAAGCTCAAAGCAGAGTCTTGGTGCTGTTGCCTCCTATTCCACATAGGAACGTTTTGAGATTTTTTCAGAGGAACCCAGGCTGTTTCTCTGATCTGCTTTGCAGTGGGGTCACTGTACTTCTGACACAGGCTGGAGGACCTTTTCCAGGCTTTCTTCTAGAAGTACAATTTCTGCTTTTCCAAGTTCTTGCTTAGAACTTGGTAAAAAAAAAAAAAGATGTTGTTTGAACCCCCTTGATATAATGGAGGTGACCTAAAGGAAGGGCAATGTTGAAGTCTATGTAGGTATAGAGCAAGAATTGTTCTTCCTGTATTTATCCATGGTCTAGAAAAACACAGTAAGATGCCAGTTTAGTTCTTAGACATTAATTTGCTGTAAGGTATTCACACAGTTTGAAATATTAAACTACATGCTTTCCACGGAGGTCAATAAACTCCTGCTGAAAGGCTAAAATTTTTTGACTGCTGAGCTGGAAGAGGATTTTGTAGGAGGTAGACCAGCTTTCAATAATGTAGTTTCCTTTGTGGGTAATAAAAGGCTTGTAGGCACTCCAAAGCAGTCTAGACTTCATGCCAGTGCTGAACATATAAAGTATTAGTTTGCCTTATTACTGCTGCATGATGTGTAAATTTCCTGGATATGAATCGGGCCAGAGAGAGCAGAAAAATGTACATGGTGTTCCAGCATACTCCTGCGCAATCGCAGCGGTAACTGCGCTTGGCCATAGCACATTTGAGTTTTCCTTTTACTGTTTACAGCTTTACTGAGACAGAAGTAAACAAACTGGTTCTGTTTTTCCCATCTTCTGTTATTTGTCATCTCAGACCTAAAAAGGAAAAAATAGCTCTCCACATAAGCCAGCTTTTAAAGATAGATACATGTGGTTTTTGTTAAGACAAATTACTTTCTTTTTCAGAAAAATGATCCTTCCCTTTTTTTTGTGTGTGTGTGTGTGTGCTGAACTTATCCCTTCACTTCTCACTCCATAATGATTTCTGATGTTTATGTTTTCAAATAAAGCCTCAAAAATAGAAATGTAAGTACTTTCTTCTTTATTTTCCATGTGTGGCCTTATACAGCTCGAGATGTTGCTGTGCAGAAGATTGAGACAATTATAAAAGAACAGTTTGCTGTCGAAATGAAGAGTAAAGAACATGAAATTGAAGTTATAGATCAGGTATGAAAGTTTTGTTCTTAAAAATACATAAGATCCTGGTGTATTGGGGTTTGGGGATATTGCTGCAGTTGTTATCCTTTACTAAACGTTACCTCTTCTTTTTGTAGCGCCTGATTGAAGCAAGAAGGATGATGGATAAGCTGCGTGCCTGCATTGTGGCTAACTATTACGCCTCTGCTGGTCTCCTTAAAGCTGGAGAGGTAAAAATTACTTTGGGAATAATAAGACTTTAGGGAATATTTGCAAAAGAAGATGTGTAGTTCACTGGCTGTTCAGCTAATACTTGGTTTTGAGATGTGATTTTCTGAAATGGTGGAATACAAACTGCAAATGGAGTGGCAGTGGCAGAAGAGACCTGGACATCACCACCTACACCTCTGGTACTCGGCAAAGACAAGTCTTCAGGGAGCTGTTGAGAAGCCGTTCGGCAGCCTTTCATTCTGTTTTTTGAAATATTCTGCATTTTTGTTTTTCATTAGTTCTTGCATGAGAGCACCTTGCTTGTCACAGACTGCACGGTTTGTCCTTGCAAAGCCCTGAAAAGTGGGGAACGTGTTTTCCTGTTTCACAGGAGGAGAGTGGAAGCAGATGGGTTTTGGAACTTCTCAGGAAGAAAAAAATAAAATCAAGATTTCTTGAGGCTCTGGCAGTGCCATGAAACCTTCCTCCCTTTACCCTGGCAGCCAGTCTGTTAATTGTTTGGTGAACAGACTGATGGCAGCAGTAAACCAGGAGGTAAATCAAGCAGCTATCACAGAGAGATTAAAAATTCACAAAGAGATTAAAAAACCCCCAAACCCTATTAGTTAAACCCCAGTTCTGTCCTTAATGGGCTGGTAATTGCAGGGTGTGCATGACTTATGCGGGCTCCCAATTGACATGTAGTTCACTACCAGTGTAGTTATTTAGTTACCATCTTTTCAGTTCAGAGAGTTGATCTACTTTCCAGTAAAGATCTGAGCTGATTTTTGGAAGCTGTAGATGGGTGCTGCAAACCTGCATTTTTTTCTCTAGTCCCATGAGAATTTCTATTCCAAGCAATGGCCTGCACTGCTACTCCTGGTTTTCCTGTTTTGATTTCCAGAGCACTTGGAGTGGGGTGAAAACAAAAAGGTTCAGCTTGCTTTTCCCTCCCCACTGAACTTGAGGTGAGCAACTGGAGTTGAAAAAGGTTATGGTAGTATTGGGAGGCTTGGAGATCCTTCCTCCCCCCTTGATTTTTGTGTAGGCGGCTGAAGCATGTGAACTAGGTTCTGATCTTTGAAAGTGCTTTTATCCAACGTCGTCATGTGTCATCAAGAGCTGTATTGTCCCCTGTTCTTTCCTTGGTCTGCCACACAGGGTGTTTGTTTTTTCCTTTCTGATTTTCACATTTGCCAGAAATAACAACTTTTGTAATTGTTTCGAAGTATTCACAAAACTTACTGGTGCATCCTTTTTTGTTTAGTTTTCCTGTAGTTTTTATGGGCCTATGGTTAGTGTAGCTGTATCTTCGATTGCATTTTTATTTCTTTTTATAAATTCTGATTTGCATGCAGACTAAATCAGTTCTCTTTGTATTTTGAAATCATTACTGTTTTCAGTTCTCTCCATTGTCTGTTTTTAATGTGTGGTTAATGTATGTTTGACTTGGCAGTGAATGATTGTCTTGTTTCTGCTTCTGCTAGAATGGGAGTCTTTGTAGTTTAATTCAGAACTTCTAGGAAGATGATTTGCAAATTCCTAACCTGTTCTCATAAATACAAACAAGTCTTCAGCCCAGTGCTGCTAGGTTTTGAGGCTTATGATTACAGTTTATTACATTTTCCCACAAATCAGTGGACAAGGTGTTGGTCATTTTACTTGACTAGAGGTTTTTTAAAAAAAAAAGCTCTTGGTGGTAGTTTGGTTCGGGTTTGTTGTTTGTTGTTTTTTTTTTTTTTTTTTTTTTTGTCATGTTGTGTGTCCTTGCCATTGGATATATGGATATAAGACTCTTAAGTAGGTAATTGAGAGTTGGTAATTGCTTTGCTCATGTACCTTATGGACAATTGGAAGGAAAGCTCTCAACTGAACCTTTAATGTCCAAGGTGGGACAGTGTTTAACTACTCTCCTGCTACCACCTCTCAATGGCAGTTCTCCTGCTCCATAGTGGTGCTGGTGTTTGTCCCAGTGCCACCCCCTCCATCACATTGGCAGAATTTTGGATCAAGGAGTTTGTGTGGATTAAAAATAACCCTGCAAAGGAAAAATACAAACAAAAATGACAGCAAAAATCCCAAATCAGTTTCTTGATTTGTTTTCCTTTGTGACACTCCCCCACCCCCCACTCCATGAATAACTGTGCCAGCCTGGCTGATCCGGGTGGTTCGGGCAGGGAAGAAAGCCTCTTTCAGCTGTGAGAAAAGCTGTCAGTGCAACTCTAGTGTGAGTCTATGGCTTCAGGAGCTGGAGTGAGCCTATCTGTCCTGGCAGAGGGGTGTTTCTGCTGACTTGATGCATCATTAAACCAAGATGACAGGGAGGACTGGTGGCTGGGAGGAGAAGTGGCCAAAGGACACTTGCTTTGAGTGATGGGTGCTTTCCTTGCTACTTCTCAGGTTAAAAGTAAATGCAGGAAGGGGGGCAGGGGGAAGGGCCTTTGTCACAGTAATGAAAAAACAGAAGAGATTTAAACACTCCCACTCCCTGTCGTCCCCCTTGCAGGTTTAGGAAGATCTAAGATTAGCTCTAAGATAACCATTTTGAGGAAGGTTTGCAAGCATGCCTAAGCACATTATTCTTTATCCTCTGTTAAGCTTTGGGAGCAGACAGGGTGCTAATATGTGTAGCTTGACTCATAGGCATTGACAAGACTGCCAGTGAGTATCAAAACTAAAGATCCTGATGCATTTATGTACCCTGCTTGCCTGCAAGAATCGGGCAGCTGTGGCCTTGCTGTGTATGGTAAAAGACTGTAGGTGTCTGCACAGGAAGCGAAGATGTTATTTTCAAAGTGACATTATAGGTATTTGAGTAGGCTGCAGTCTTCCTTTCCAAAACCAGGTGGGTTTCTGAGATCAAAAGGTCTAAAGGAACAGATTCAATTTGGGGTACTGTTCCTGTAGAGCCATTTTATGCTTTTATCTACTGTGGCATATGTTTTTCCTGTAGAGCAGCTGATTAAATATTTGCTCTTTCTTCATACATTGACTTATTCTCTCTGGCACAGCTTTGTTTTTATCTGGACTGCAGGGAAATAGTGACTGGGTCTGCCTGACCTCTTTGTTGCAGGGGACCAGGTCATGTGATGCAACAATTCTTAATCACCCTTCAATCAAGAAATTCTTGGAATCACCCTCTAGATCATCCTCTCCTGCTAACCAGGGCTCAGACACTCCATCTGCCAACCACTCCGAGAGCGACTCGCTCTCTCAGCACAATGACTTTCTCTTGGACAAAGACAATGGCAACTTGGACGCAGACGAGCGGCTGACAAACAGCCTGGACCAGAGACAGAGCAGAAATACTGGCCGGGTAAAGTAAAACTCGAGTGGTGGTCAAGTTGTTGGAGGTGTGTGCTCTGTCTGGACTCAGTGCTGGCACCAGGAACTCTTCATGTTTTCACCCACCTTGCTGAAGATCTGTTTCTTACCCTCTCCAACTGCTTGCTCCCACTCTCTCAGCCTGGCTTTGCTGTAAGGCTAACTGAATTGTATGTAACTTGGGTAACTCCTCTGAACTCTGTCTTGCCCAACAGAGAGATCAGCCGGGCAGTGGTGATAGCGTTTGTGTTAGCACAGCTGTCTGCTGCTGTCTGGGTTGATAGCCTCTAGGGTAGGAGGTGTTTCACAGCTGGAGCAAAGGGGTTTGCTGTGCAGACAGAAGTCAGGTCAGGAAGGGGCAGAACCTGGAGAGAAGAGCAAGATGTGTTATGCCCAGCAGTGTTTTTAAGAAGTAATGCTGCTGCCTGGCCCTGGGTGCCCGTGGGGGGACTGCATTGCTTAGAGTGGTTGAACCGCTGGAGTTTGGGGTTTGGCCTCCTAAGCAGCCTGTGGTGAAAACATAGTGACACCAGTGGATTCTCACCCTGGGAGCGTGAGCTGGCAGAGCCTGAGTGCGTAGTGTGAGTTGTTTTTCTCTTGGTGGCTCTGCTTGCTGTTGTGCTAACATCACTGCTGAACCGAACCAAACTGACCCAGGTTAAAAATACCTTCTTTCATTGTTCCCCCATACTTTCTTCTGGATTATTTTTGACCTGGATTCGTTCTCTTCATGGCTCATCTTGCAGCTACAGAGATGCTTTACCTGTCGGCTGCAGTTAGCTCCACCGGGGAGGCTCTCTCACTGCCTGCAGGTGAAATGAGCTGTAGTTGGTGAGATAAAACTTTGGTTTCTTTTCAGTTCCTTTAAGCTGTCAGGCCTGCCAGAGTAGTACAGCCTCTAACCCAAACCAGGGATGGATATATGTCATTGCATATGACTGCATTCTGCAAGCAAACAAGTTGCAGTAATACGTAGCAGAAGTAGCGACAGTTCTGCCTCGGTTGAGCAGCATGACACCCTTGATAACAGGGCTGCAGTTTGCTGAAACCCCTCCTAGGGTCCGTAGCAGAAGGCAGATATACAGTATATAATGTGGACCCACCTATATTGTAAACCGCCAGACCAATATAACTTGTTTCTGCACTGGGGGCATTGCTGGAGCAGTTGCATTGCTTGGGTGTAGCCTGTTGGCACATTTCTGACCAATGTAGCCCATGGCACGGAGGTGGCTGAGGGAGCGATGAGGAATGGGAGCCATCCCAGCCTTCTGTGGCTCCTTGCTTCAGTTTGGAGCATCGCTGACTTGGCAGAGGAGGTGTAGCAGTTCCTAGTGAGTCCACTGTTCCCCATGCTGGCCCTCGTTTTGATGAGTGCTCAGTAGAGTATGCTCCAGGAAGCTGCAGCATCAACTCTGTTGTTCGTGAGAGGATGGCTGTCCCTTATTCTCTGGACAGCCACTGTAACCAACAGAGTTGTAGAAAGGCGTCTCACAACAGTGCAGCCTGTGTTGGCACTGTGGGAGGTCATGTCATCATTTTACTAGGCAGTCTTGGCCACTGCTTAATAGCTGAGGTTGTGTTATAAGGTTGCTTAAGCTGGATTTATTATGCACAAGTACTGCAGTGGATTTGTAGGCTTATCTAGATGTCAGGGACATGGTATGGCTGACTGCTATCCCTGTTAAGTGGGAGCTGAATTCTTGTCTCAAGCTCAGCCTCAATTCTTTACTGAGAAGCAACTCTGGAGTCCCTCAAAGCAGTGTAGTCTGGGAATGAGAAAGATTTAGATTTTCAGAAGCCACTCGCGGGAGATTCAGCTTTGTTTCTGATTAGTGACCAACATGATGTCACTCGAGCAGCGCTTGATTTTTTTCAGATAGTGCAGTGGCAGTGCTTTTGAAACCCAAGCTGAAGTCATGGCTCAGATTCATGGTATGTCACATAATGTATGCTCAGTTAAGCTATGCAGTGTACACTTGGCTAGGTCGTATATCATTGTTGCGTGCCTGAGTTGCTTAAGCGTGCCTAGATAGCAATTTAAGTATTTTTAGGGATGATTCATTGTTGGTTTCTCATTTAACTATGCAGGTTTACTTTTTTTAACAACTCCTTATTTTTCTAGTGCCAAACAAAATTATGTGTAAGAGGAATGTTTGGTTTTTTTGTTTGCCTTTTTTTCTTCCCCTACCCTCAGGACAGTTCGGGTGTTTCAAGCTCTCAAAAGCCAGGACAACGAAATGCCGGACTGTCAAATGATGAAACTTCACGGCTTTATGTGAAGAAAACGATTGTTGTTGGCAACGTCTCCAAGTTAGTATCTAGAGTCTGAGGGGGATGGTCCTTTATTTCAGGATTAGATGGAATAGGAGGTTAAAATTAGGAGACAAATAAAGTTGCTAGGCTATCACAACATGGCATATTGCCCTTGAATAATCACTGTACCCAAGACTGCCCTCCTCTAGTGTCTGCACAAGTGTTACTGTGTTTCAGTAGTTGCGGTGTCCATAGGGACAGTGTATTTTTTTAAAAAGCAAAAAAACAAACCAAATCAGCAGAATGAGGAAAATTGTGAAAGTCTAGCATAGTCTGAAGAAATTACTTTGTACAGTTTTTATAATTTTTTTCCCAAAAAATTTAAAAACAGGTAGATATACATAACTTTGGAACTTTGAGGAAGTTAGTGAAGAAAGGCATTCATTTTAGGAAACTATGTACAAGTCCAGGTTTTAATTCTACCCTCACAGTACTTAAGTCAGTCTTCTTGCATAGAAAGTAGCAAACATTTGCTGACAAGACTTACGGTGTTAGAATTGTCTTGAAAATCTACACAAGCCTGGACCCAGAACCAAGTATTGACTGTGAAGTTTCTTAAAAATTTAAAAGAAGAATTGTTATTTTTTGTATTTCTGGTAGCAGAGTTGCTGATGTTGTGTTCTGGTGCAGTTTTGCTTCCTGATACCTCAAAATAAGATGGGGAAAAGGATTTGACAGTAGTTGTATGTTAAAATTAAGTATTCCTAATTAAAAACCAAATGTTTAAATGGATTAATATCATATAGCAGTTGTGCACTAAAATAGAGGAAATGTGTTGGAGGCGTAGAGTAGGTCATGGTACCTGCATCTGTTTCTGTCTGAATAATGAGTAACAAGTAGAACTATACAGGGCACAAGGTTCACATAGGCATTTTACCATCCCAAATTTTTTTGCTTAATCTTTTCCAAAATACTTTTTGTGATATTTACCTATTTGGGATTTTTATCTTGTTTTTGTTTTTTGCTTTCTTTGCCAGGTACATTCCCCCCGACAAGAGAGAAGAAAACGATCAGTCGACCCATAAATGGATGGTGTATGTCCGAGGCTCTCGGAGAGAACCCAGCATAAATCATTTTGTCAAGAAAGTTTGGTTCTTCCTCCATCCCAGTTACAAACCTAATGACCTGGTGGAAGTGAGGTAATAAGGAATTATTCCAGTCACTATTCCAGTCTTTATGCTTGCCAGGCTTACAGTGCCAAGTTTCTTAAAGTTAGCAACTTTTTTTCCTGTTTTTAGTGTTCCATGTCTGTCCTTAACCTCTGTCTTGGCTTGACTTACTCCAAAATAATAGTAAAAATAAATTAGTTTTTATGTAGCAAATGTGCCAAACAGGTTGTTTGTTGGGTGGTGGGTTTTTCCGTTTGTTTTTTTAATTTCCTACTGAGATAAAGAATTCAGTAGTTGTATTTCATGTTATTCATACATGTTTGTGCATCTTCTGTATGTGTTACAGTGCTGTGCAGGTTAAACTTCTGTCGATAAAAGAGGTGTTTTCTACCTCCCATCCATTTATGTGGAAAAGGAGTCTCGGAAAGCTGTTGTGCCCATAGTTGTAATGATACATGTGTTTTTGGGCAAGAAATTGTATCCTTCTCCCAAATACTTATTCACTGTAGTGAGGCCAGTGGCATTGGCTTCATGCTTCATCAGTGTAATGGTGCTGGTGCTACAGAAACAGGGCAGCTTCTCTGTCCTCCTTCAAACCTGTATCCAGAGCTGTGACCCTGATGGGATGAGTGGGCTCAGTTCTCTGTTGATTGCTTCAGGGAAATGCTCTGTCAGTCTTTCATTCTTGCTCCTTTGGATAGGACAGCAGGAGGATGCCTTGAAACTACTTTGTTTCTTCCCAAAGAAATTGTTCCCCGCAGGACACTCAGCTGCCTCCTGGGGAGGCTGCCTACTTACAGAAGGGCAACTTAGTTTTGGCAAAATTAAACTACTTGAAAGGCAACTCCAGAAAGACTTACCTGAGATAAAACGTGTTGGTATGGCTCACTAATGTTTCTGAGAATGCAACCCTGAGCAGGACGAGAGCAAATTCCCTTGTATTTCTTATATAACATACTAAATTACACTTGACTGCTGTCTTTTTGTGCCTTTCTCAGTTTCCAGTATCTGATGTCAGTGCTATTTGTCTTCTGTTTTAATCCCGTCTGGTTAATTGATCTCTTGTCACACAGTCCCAGTCATCATAGTGAACATTAATGTTCTGGACTAAAAATAGCCTTTGAGTCTCTTGCATTTTGTTTTGAAAACTGCATTTGGGATTGAACAATAGCAGCAAGCTGAAATACAAAGAAAGTAATGATAAATGTTAGAGATAAATACACCCTTCTTTTTCAGCTTGGAGAATGCTAGTGTTGAGTTAGCTTTTCCTTGCTGTCTGTATGTTGTTCTCTGGGTGTTATATGAAGCATGTGCCTTCTTGCTACTAGATAGTGAATAGCAGAAGGTGATGGCAAAATGCTGTGTTAGAAGCTCACCTTGTATCTGTGTTCTAGGAGCTGACTTGTAGTTTTTATTTGGCATTACACAACCTTTTTTTTTTTTTCTTCTTAAAGGATGTTTGTTTTCTCACTTCTCATATCAGCAGTGTTTCACCATTTTCTTCCCTGTCTCCTTGTGGAAAATAAAAGTATGTTTTCATCTGTCCAAAGCCATCAAATTCTCATTTTTGTGATTGCATTCTCTCAGTGGTCAATAGCAGGCCTGAAGATAGCTTTAGTTGTCAGCTAGAAAGCAGTCTCTGGTTTTCTGAAAAAAGAGGTAGGTGAAATCTATACCACTTCTGCATCCAGAACGTGAATCACCATTTGTTTCCAGAGAACCTCCATTTCACCTGACCAGGAGAGGCTGGGGAGAATTTCCTGTGAGAGTCCAGATACACTTCAAGGATAGCCAGAACAAGAGGATCGATATCATACACAATTTGAAGGTATTTGAACAAAGTATTTGAGAGAAAGGCAGCAACTAAATGATCTCTCCTGCATAATCTAGAAATGGCTCCACTTGTGTGTTTCTGCCTCTCCCTGTTGGGTATATGTCCTGCTGGTTATTTGCATGTGAATAGCTGAGCTGGAGAATCAAAAAATATCCAGGAAAGTCTCTTACCTTTACTATATCGGAGTCGGGTCAGTAGCCAAGAAACACAGCCTTGCAGAAACTGGAACTGATTCTGCACCCAGCAGCAAAGCATTTACCTGTTGTTTCCCTACAGTCTGAGATTTTTGTCATGCTCTTACCAGCTGTAACTTGCCAGGGTGCTGCAGGGCTATCTTTCTGCTGGTAAAGTGATTGCTATGTGTGTTCTGTTCCTTCAGCACTTGTGCGAATTAGCTAGAGATTATCTCTGTTGTTAGAGTGGGTGGAGAAGGGCTCTGATTCCATACTCATCCCCTGTGCCTTTTGAAGAGAGCCTTCTTTTTCACCTCATTCACCTGTCCTGTGACACTCGATAGGATTTATAGTATGCAGCAGTCCTGGGAAAGTAGGCCATTGCTCTTGTTTTCATTTTAATTAGTAGTACCTAGTGTTAGTGGAATTAAGTCCTGAGCTGGTTTGGTTTCTTGTTTCTTTGAGCAGCATGATTAGTTTTATTTAAACTTCCTGCATTAATGAATTTCATGCTAATGTAGGTACCTCATTGCAACCCCAAATATAAACAGTACAGAAGGTTACAAGTGTTCCCCTGGAATTTAGGGACATTTAATGCAGATGATGAGTAAAATATACTTGGAGAGCTATCACTTGAGGGGAAATTGGTAACAGATGGATGTTGTGCAGTGAAGGAAGCCCAGCCTACAGATGAAAACTGACCCAGTCCGTGGCACACAAGAAATCAAATCAGCAAATCTTTGCTGTTTGTGTACTGAGCCTGTGGCTGCTGTGAGGTGACAAGGGTGAGCTGGGCCCTCTTCCGTGGCTGGTGGCCTGTCTGCCCCTGAGCGCCAGGGCAGTCTGAGCCTGTCAAACCCAGCTTCTCTCTGTGGGTATCTTAATGCCTCTGGGATTTTCTGCCTTGTGTCAGCTGATACTTAATGTGAACAGTTATTAAACCAAGTACTATAGTGCGAACATAGTCTGTTTGCTGGTCAGTTTCAATTTCTTCTGAGTTTTTTCTCATTATTATTTCCTTATATTGACATCAGGAATAAAAAAGGACATTCCTGGAAGACTCCTCTTAGGCTGAAATACTTTCCCATTTCCTTCATTTTGGTCATGGTTGACTTTTTTGCAGAAAAGGGGGTACTTAAAGTACGCACATTTCTGACCTTGTGGTCTCCAAAAAATTGGATGTGCTGCTGCTGCTCAACTTACATAGTTTTGACTCCTTCCAGAGAAACTGTATTGTAAATTCTAGCTAATATACTGCTTTTCCTTGGTTAATATGAATATATTGTATTGTTTTACTCAGTTGGACAGAACCTACACAGGCCTACAGACACTTGGTGCAGAAACGGTGAGTCAACAGGTCGTGGGATGGATGTTGTACTTTAATTCCTTTAAGGATGTTTATAAAGAAAAAGATAAATGGTACTAATCAGACCCATTTGGTTTCACAATTTCTGGAATGTAGATTTTGCTCTCTTGTTAAATTAAATGGTTATGACACCTTGTCACTACTCATGACAACAGTCATTTTTACCCCTTTCTAGTTCAGGGGAGACTGTTTCCAGCTCTTTCATAGAGAACTTAACTAGTACTACATTTTTAATTTTTATTTTTTTGTGGAGCTTCTGGTACCAAATGTCTTGATTTGCATTCTGATGTGCTGTGGATCTCATACATAAAGGAGTTAAGTTAAAGGGAACACCCAACTGTCCTGCTGAAATTTTGCAGTATGTTAAGTACTAAGTTTCCACATCTGTCAGGATTGAGTATCTTCATGGAAAATGAACTCTTAAAACTTAAAATAAAATAAATTAATAACTCATAGTTTGCTATATCCCTAAAGTTTTGGGGGGGTGTTGTATTATTTTCCCCTTGTACTGTAGTGAATGGAAATTTTTATGGTGAAATTGCATTACATCAGCTTTTCAGTCTGTGGAGGAAACATTAATGTGAGATGTCTATTGTGGTTAAAGAGCACTTTTGAAGAGCAGATAACATGGTGTGTTTCTAAGGGCCTTGTCAAAAAAGCCAGAAAAGGCAAGCAGCGGTTTTGTGCCTGTCCCTAAGGGGGTATGCAGTCCTTAGTGGGGTGCTTGGAGCTGGGTTCTGTGTTATTCCCAGTGTTCACTATTCATGTTTCCCCACGGACTGAGATGAGCTATTTTACCATGGGGGTTAAATGTTGGAAGATTTTTGTCTTGGCTCTGGTGCTGCTGGACTTCTGGGAAGTGTCCCTGCAATGAGTGGAAATGTTATGCAGAGGTGAGGGGAGGAGAGGTTTCTAGACATTCACTTTTCACATCTTTACCTAGCTGCTGAGTATTAATGTCATCCTTTCTCCTATTTCTGGAAGGTAGTGGATGTGGAACTACATAGGCATTCCCTTGGTGAGGAGTATCTCTTCCCCCAGTCTTCAGAGTCTGACCTTTCTGACGTTCCTACATCTTTACCGCTGCCATTGAGTATCCCAGCACCAGTCAAAGCTTCTTCACCAATTAAGCAGTTGCGGGACTCCAGCCCAGATGCTTCTGTGGACAAAGGTAAAGTGAATGGGTGTTGGTGAAGTTCGAGTTCTTGGAACGTCAGCTCTTCTGGATACTTTCTCTTAATTGCTCTTGTGCCTTAAAGTTTGCCAGTGCTACCTGCTCCTTGATCACCCCAGATGATCATTTCCTCAGTGTACTATGACGTAATTCTGAAATTGTTACAATTTATTTATTTTTTGGGGGGTTGTGTTTTAGGTGTTTTTTTAATCTGGAGTTTGTTGAGTGGGCTCTGTTTTGCTGAAGGTAGTGAATATGGAGCTTTATGCAGCAGATGCAGTTGGAAAAAAAGTTGTTGAATAGCTTGTAGTTTTGTTCTTGGCAGACTGTTTTCAGAGGGTTTTTTAGGTTTCTGAATGTTTAGGGGACTGTGTATACATTTAAGGAATTGGTGTAGTGGTGTATTCAGTTAAATACGTTGGTGCCTAACATGAGTTGGCTGTGGGAGAACAAAAATGACTGCATAACTGTGGTGTTGAAAATAGAGAGTGAAGAAGACTTAGTGTATGTTTGTCTGAGGGATGGCATCTGTGCATGTCATCATCTCCTTCTCACCTGCCCCAGTAAGATCAGGAAATGCAGTACCCGTGGCAGTGGGGCCGCAGTTGGTGCCTTAAGATCATTTGAATAGCACGAAACAAGCTAGTGCTGGCCTCTTGGGCACAATGCCATGATTTTGAGTTTGCATGAAGTAGGGAAAACTGTGCCTCTGTTAGCATTTAGCTTTATTTTCTGAAACGTATGGTGTCAAGGCTTACATGACACACTTTGGTAAACCAGGCTGAGAAACAAGGGTGTCTTTTATGGTTTGCACATTTTAGAGTGAGAAACCTGCTGGAAACAGCAACTTTATGCTTCAAAATACGGTCGCATGCAGCATCATCTGATGCCTTTCTTGATTGTTTTTCCTGACACTCCTGTGTTCAAGGAATTGGCTTTAAGCTGGTGTCTTGCCTGGTGCTCTTTGTGGTAGGTGCCGTAATGCCACTGGCAGTGTTCTGGCTCAGCAAGAAGAATCTCCACTGTTTAAATGCGGTGTTTTCTTGTGGCCAAAAAAAGGAGAAACGCAACCAAATTTTAAATGCACAGGCTTTTTAATCAAACAGGAAGATATGCAGCACCTTTTAGGTGAGCAGTGCTACAGCCAACAGGAAGGAAATAAACCTGCTTTTGTTACACTGACAGGCAGTGGCTTCTCTCATCAGCTCCAGGTTAACTGATCTCCTTCTACATCAGATAAGGTGGATTCCTTAACATGGGTCAAAAGGCAGTAGGTGATCTACTTGTGCTCTTACTCCAAAAAATGCACTGCAAGATTCTCTGCAAAGGAGATCCAGCCTTAGTCCTGTGGAACCGAAACCGAGGAGACTTGAAACTACCAGCAGCTTTTGGTCAATGGAAGGGTCGTTCCAAGGAAATATGTAAGAAGTGGCTGATCACCTGCCACAGCTGAACAGCCTGTGCCCGGTAGCATTTTATTCTTCTTTTCAGAGACAAATTCAACAGGCTTGCTCAGGAGGAACCTCCTACCCCACTTTCTCCCCATTCAACGCTGCTCACCAGTTGCTTTTCCTTCCTTCCTTCGAGAGTGTGTTTGTTGTACCTTTTGTTTGTGTAGAGAAGCACCGTAAGGAATTGGGTATCTCAGCCTAAGAACTATTTCTCTTCTTTTCCCTGTTTTAATCAGGATTCCCTGGGAATGCTGAAACCGAAAGACATGCCACGTTTTATTCCCTGCCATCTTCGATAGAACGGACTCCCACCAAGTTAGCCACACAGAAAGTTGCCTTTGGCTCTCACGGAAATTCAGCCTTTCAACCCATTGCAGCTAGCTGTAAAATAGTGCCTCAAGGTCAGAGTCCAAGCCCTGCAGAGTCACCAGGAAAATCCTTCCAGCCTATCACCATGAGTTGCAAGATTGTATCAGGTGAATGTTAGTTTACTTATCCCAGTGCTTCACCCTGGAAAACAAGAGAGTGAACCCGTTGGACTTGTTTTGTGTTCTTCCCCTGATTTCCTGCCAATCTTTGAACATTGGGCAGTAGGAAACTCTAGAATAAGGAGCTAAACACACTTCTTAATGTTCAAGGAAAAAAAATACAAGTGTGAAATGCTTCACATCAGATCAAAAGCAGGATGAGAGCTGTTCTCTCCCTGTTCTTGAATGCTTTTAAGTATGAAAAAGATAGTCTTTAACTGGACTGCTACCCACAGAAAGGTCCAGGCAAGGACACATCTTCCGTGTTGGGTATTTGTATGTGGGAAGAAGCCATCCTTCTCCCTCCCACTTTCAGACAGCTGGGATGGATTAAGAAGAAAATTTTTCTCCTGATTATTGGGCAAATAATTAGGTTCAACCTTGTAGACTCAAATGGTCCATCTTGGACTTGCAATATCTCCTCAGATGGAACAGCTTTGGTCTTCCTCTTCCAGAAGTCCACCCTCTGTTGGATTAAATTGTCAGCTGACTGCATTGAGCAATGTGATACTCTTTTAATAGCTTCTGAACCAAACATGGTCAAGGTGCTGTTTACTCATTTCACTTATAGTCCTTTCCCTGCCCGGGCATGTTGCCATCCGCTGGATGATGTTTTACATCAGAAAGTTTTAATGTGCAGCTCACCGTGTCACATGTGAAGCTGAAAGATGACCTGTTACATCCCTTCAATTTCTGGTGTTGAGAGTAGAGAGGATTAAGCACCAGCTATCAGTATGTGTGATTTCTGATGATCTGCTCCCAGATAATTTTCCTCAAGTGTGTCTGGTTTGTTGTTTTTTTAAATTAAATTTCATTTTTGTTCCTTGACATCTTAAAACTGTACTCGGACTGATTTACATCTGAACCTATGACAAGTGCTTTCTTCTCTCTTAATAAGCTCTTCTCTTGATCTTCTTTTCCCAAGGCTTCCCAGAAAGCAAGAATTACAGGGGCCATCCTGTCTTTCTTAAGATCCTTGGACTGTTCTCTGTTGATCTTTGCTATTTAAATGTTTCCCTGCTAAATATTTTCCCAAGGTTCTGCTGTCTGCCAAGAAGTGTCACCCCTTTTAAATTTCAAAAGCAGTTTATAAGACATGGGGATTTTATTTGACCAGCATTTATGTTCCATTTTAATTGTCAGTCATTGCCAAGAAAGCAGATTAACAGGCAGTTAAAACTTAGTGTGCTTGCTGCTATCTCTTTTCTCTGATCATTTCTTTGCCTGTCCTTTTCTCTGCATTTCTTGTTTACCCCCTCATGCAGCTTTATTCTTCTCTAGTTTTAATCTGTCCTGGTCCTGTTGCCCAGAAGTTGCGCATTTTACAGTTTGCTTTAAAGGACTTCTGCTGTAGTGAGAGTAGCGAAGAGACAGGAGCATCCATGCCTGTCTGATGGCTGCTGTATCACACAGCCTTTTTATGTGAACTGTTCGGTTCCTGGCTCCGAATGCCTGTACTGCGGGCTCCACGGGGGAAAGAGAGGGCCTGTCAAGGAGCTCAGCTCTCTTTCTTCATCTCCTTGGGTGGACTGGTCTTGGCAGTGAAAATGGTGTAGGTAATGTTCCTCAGGTTTCAGGGGAGGACCAGATGTCTTCTCAAAGTCCCTCTGAACCCTGCATGTCCTGGTAGGCAGAGGGTGTCCAGGGTAGATATGAGCCATATTGCTTTTCATGCCTTTTCCTTTCCTTCTGTCTCCTCTTTCCTTCTCCAAGTCATGTGATCTCACTCAGGCTGGGAAATGCATCCTCAAGAAATGTTCCTTCTCTAAGCCATTTTAAAAAGTACTACTATTGCTGTGTTTTTATGTTCTTGCAACATTTACAAGATAGAAGCATTGGACTTTTTTTCTTAAGGTTCTCCAATATCAACCCCTAGTCCATCTCCGCTACCTCGTACCCCAACCTCCACTCCGGTGCACATGAAGCAAGGCTCTGCTAGCTCAGTCATTAATAATCCGTATATTATTGTGGACAAGCCTGGACAGATGGTTGGAGCAGCAGCCACAAGCACAGGTGTGTAGTGTGATCACAGAAGGCAGTGGCTTAGTCTTACGCATTCAAGTTTATTCCCCCTTTAAAATGATTAGTATAATAACAGTATTTCAGCTTGTAAAGGTGGAAGAGTACTTGACAGAGGGAGGTACTGTTGGTTTGCACAAATGACCTGTGTTAACATGGGTAAGGGTGTCTCAGACTTTAACATAACCTCCTTTAGGAAACAGCATGTAGTGCAAGGCTAAATTGAATTCCACGGATACCTCTTCAAAAAGAGCCTGTTCACTGCAGACAGAAAGGGAAGGGGAGAAGGTAATGAAGGCTGTGGTGCTCAGATTTAGACAGAAACAGTGCACAGGTGGTTGGGTGAAAACTGTATCACAGATGTGGACAAAATGCATGGAGAGCTTGCAGTGACTTGCAGATCAGTCTTAGGTCCCAGTGTACAGTGATCTAGATGTGTGGAAATGCGTAGCCCTGGTTTACCAGGAGAACAGTCGTGATGGTTTTTATTACTGCTCAAGTTCTAGCTGGTCTGATTCCAGCTGGTTTGGATTCCTCTAACTGGATTCCCTTGGTGCTTCAGTGGTGACATATCCGTGGGGCCAAGGGGGAAGACTGAACTGCAGGAGACGGGTGATGAGTATGGGAGACAATTTGTAATCTTTGTGTAGGGGCTGGAGGAGTGGTCACTCAAAAGTCATTTGTTTGTTGTGATTTGTGGCTAAGAACCACTGTCTATAAAAACACACTTGTTTGTACGTGTGTACTTACCAACACCTCAGAAAGATGCTCAGAGTCATGTGGTCAAGTGCAGCATCCATGTAACACATGAACTGTTTGCTGAGCGTGGTTGGAAAGTGCAAAAATTCTCCTCTTAATAACAGTTCCTCCTTTTATCTGAGGCAACACAGCTGTCATGTTCATTTTAACCTCATCTCAGAAGGTAAAGTATGTTTTGGGGCTTTCTTGATAACAATGAAGCTGTTTCACAAATAGGGTGGGGTTGGGTTTTTTTGTTTGGTTGGGGGTTTTCTGCCTTTTTTCTTTTCTGTTTCTTCTTTGCCTCCAGCCTGACTGTCTACTCTGTATACGTGGTTTGTCATGGTTTGGATAACTTTTGTGTTCTCCTAGTAGAGATTTGTACACGGAGGGTAGGATCTGTAGTTGCACCAGATGGTTTGGACATGCAAGCCTTAACACTGTTAAAGGTGCAGTTTACCACCATATTAGTGTGATGTAAGTACAGACCAGCCTGGAAGAAACTGCCTGCTGCCTCTCCCTCCCCTGTGCTCCTGCCGCTTCCCCTGTCTCCTGCACAACTCCAGTTGGATCAGTGGCAGAGCAGAAAATTAATGCCCTCTCCTCCCCAAATTGAGCTTTGTTGTCAGATAGCCTCGTTGCTGGACCTGTATGAAGGAGCAAGAAGGAATGTGAAACTGGCTTTTTGGCAACAGCAGCCAGGCTGGATTGAGAGTAACATGATACTACAGACAGTCACTAGGGTGTTTTTGATAGGACTGCAGATCATATTTTAAAAAGGGGTGAAATCTTTATGCTCTGGGAAAGCCAGCCTTCCTAAACCCCATTATTTCGAGAAGCAGCTGCTCATTTACTTTTAAATTCAAATGCAGATTGTAGTACAACTGTATGAGAGACTCTTGCCGTGTTTTCATGTGTGTAATCCGTGGCTTTGGCACCTCTTGAGCAAATGAAACTAACAAACCAAACCAACAGCAGTAACACTGCTGCTGCTGAGCAACCAAGTGTTGTGTACACACTGATAATGCAGGGTAAGTGTACCACTGAACCCCCATCCAGCTCGGGGTGGGGGGGTCTGGAGGGAGCTGTGGCACATGTATCCAGATGATAATTTTTCAAGAGCAGCCTTCTGCAGGCAGAGGACCTTACGTCCTCATTCCTTATTTCTGTTTCTTCCTTTACCCTACTCACTCTGTCCCTTCCTCTTGTTTCTCTTTTCTTTGTCTCCCTCCTTTTCTGGCCTTCCTTTTCCTTCCCACTCCAGCCTCCTCCAAGCCTTCCCCCGGTGCCAGTGTCTGAGGCTAGTATAGGTTCAGAGGGCTTCTGGGCAGTGGAGGACATCACATCTGCAGCAGCAGGTTCTGACTGGCAGCTCATTTACTGTCTTAATTTCATATATATATGCACCTGCAGCCGCCCAGGAAGGTGCCTGACCATTTGGCTGCGGCAAGTGGAACTGTGGGTGGAGGGTACCTCCTCTGAGGTGTGGATTCTTCAGGTGGAAATTCGGTAGTGGGTTTGTTTTGTGCTCATGCCAACTCTCACTGATGTACTTCATGGAGAATACAGAGTTGAAATTAGGAGAGGTTTCATGTGTTCAGTGGCACTGCTCCCTGGCCCTCACCCAACATCTGCTTTCTTTCCCAATACGCAGGGAGCCCAACCAGCAAACTGACCAGTGTTTGTCAGGCCTCTCATGGAACTGCATCTCCTGTATCAAAGACCCAAGGGAGTAGTTTTGTCACCTCAGCTGTCAAGGTAATGTTCTCATTAGATGTGTACTTTCCATTTAAAATCCAGCTTCCTATTAAATGGGGCTTTTTTGTATTATAAATTCTGCATTTCAGGCAAGTTCTTTTGGTTGTCATTTCATATGAAGGTTTACAGTGTCTAACAAATGGAGCTGTATGAGAACATGGTTATACAAGAGGATAGTGTCACTTCATGCAGCTCTAATTAGACTTGCCTACACCTCTGTTAAAGGCGCTGCTCTTTTGCTTTTCTACAAGGAAATCCATGGAAGGCATAGCTCTCAAAATGTCTTATCTTTCAAAAAAGCTTTTCTGTAGCTGACTTTGATCTTCTTCACTTTGTTAGTGATGGTATATGATTAAACCAGAGGTGCGTACCTCAAAACCTTCATTCTGTTTGTTATTTTTGTACAGCAGCTGCTCCTAGCAGCCTCAAAAGAGCTCATTTAGTGGTTTTTATGACTGTCTGCATTTAGAAAAATGTTTGTGTAAACAGTGGAGTAACCAAATGTGTAAACAAACAGTGATAAATCGGGTTCATGCTTCTGATCTGCAAAGCCCAAAAGGTACGGAGCTCAAGTGTCTCACAAAATCTCTCCCACATCTTGTGCTTGGAAAGATATTTCTGGCAGGGAAGTGGCATCAGTGAGTCTCTTCCTGAAAGCAGCTGGTGGGTGTGCTGCTGAAAGCAGGAGCATTTCCCTGTCTCCAAGTCACAAGAATATTAATGCAGGATATGGAGAGCAGGGGGAAGGCTTGCCAGTCAGCCTGCAGAGAGCAAATCACTTCACATTTGGAACTGAAATCCTTCCTATGTCTGTTCTGGAAAAAGTGTTGAAGATTGCTGTCTGAAGCAATTAGTTTGGAATAGCATTTGAAGTGTCAGGTGTGCAGCTAGCAATTCAGCTTTTAAGAGCCTGTCCGCTCAGATGGATTTCACTTAATTCTGTTGAAAACCATTCATTAGTCTTTTTATTTTTCACTGATTTGGGACAGTTCCTTATGAAAGGTTCTCAGTGAGACAAAGTAGGCACATGTCATTAGTAACAGTTGAATTCTGTACTTGCAGGGCAAAGTTAAAAACTTAAAATATTTCAAAAATGCATATAAAAATCATAGCTCCGTAAACAGAAATGTATTTTGATTTGTCTTCTGGTTGGTGGGAAAGCTGTAATTTTGTGGTTTCTTTAAAGAGGAGGGAGTGTCTGATAGTTCAGTGTGGTGTTACAGATTGTGCTTAACTCACCACTTGTCATCTCTTCACTAGATGCTAGTTTCCTCTGCATTTTTTTAATGACTTAAGGCTGTTTCCTCAGGCATTTTAAAATGACCAATATACAGGCTGCTGTTGAGAAGAATGGTTATGCCTCTAGCCTTGTCTTCACACCTCCCCCTGTTTGCTACCAGTTATATGGTGATGTGGTGAACCAGAGCAGACAACCAATCTGGTTGAAAACTAATCTGTTTTCAGCCATATGTATCAGTACAAGGAAGGAGGCAGAAGTATTAGGTTAGAGTCTGAGGGTTTGCTTTCTGGTCATGTCCCACACTTGGGTTGGATCAAGTGATTGCTAAACCATGGCTTTGGAGTTCATATTGATTGTAAAAGAGTGCCGTTATCTTACTTAAACAAAACAGAGCCATAATAAACTTCCTCAGATGCCTTTGAATTCTCTACCAGCCTCAGATGGAGAAATGCTGAGTGCATGATTTCGCAGGTGTGAAAATGTTTTTTACTCTGTTTAGTTACGTAGCCTCACTGTTCCTGCCAAATGGTGAGTTCTTCCTGGAAAGACTGTGCCATCACATTTTTCTAGTTACAGGAGAGCAAAAATTCATCTGCGAGAACTTTGCTTGCAGACTTGAACACTTTCTTCCCCTACGTAACTTGTTTCTTCTTAGATTGTCCTATCTCTCTGAGACTGTGTATAGAATCACAGAATGGTTGAGGTTGGCAGGGACTTCTGGAGATCAACACAGGGTCAGCTAGAGCAGGTTGCTCAGGAATGTGTGCAGTTGAGTTTTGAGCATCTCCAAGGCTGGAGAGTCCACAGCCTCTCTGGATAGCTTGTTCCAGGGTTTGATCACTATTAAATTTGGGGAAAAAAAGAAAAAATCTTTTCTCGTAATTAAACAGAACTTCCTGTATTTCAGTTTTTCAATTTCTGCCCATTGACTCTTGTCCTTTCATTGGATACTATTGAGCGTTGTGTGGCTTCATCTTCTTTACACCTTCCTATCTGGTATTTGTACACATTGATAAGATCCCTCCTCAGCCTACTTGAATTTTACAGCTCTGAAATGCTTTATATAAAAAGCTGGTCAGGGAACATGAGTTGATGTCTTTCAACTGTGTATGATATGGTAAGAAACAGATTCTGCTGTTGGAGATGTAACTTTCCAAATAAAATTTGCTTTGTAGGTTGTATTAAGTGTTACATTCCTTTTACTTAAGTGTTAACTGATTTTGGAAATGTCTTGTACAGGTGATTTGGCCTGCCCAGATGGTCCGTGCTACCCTTTCTTAGCAGTCACTTGTTTTATTTCATGTATTGATCATTTCACTGATTCTTACACCATGTCTTCCTATTCACAGCAGGAGGATTCTCTGTTTGCCACCATGCCACCCCTTTGTCCCATTGGGAGTCACTCCAAGGTGCAAAGCCCCAAATCAGTCACTGGAGGACTTGGAGCTTTTACAAAGGTATTCCTCTTGGCTTTTGTGCCAGGACAAGGAGCCCCACAGTGCCATTTTATGCTGATTTGTGCCACAAACCATGTAACTTCCAGTGCATGTAAAACTGTTACTGGAACCAATATGTCTTGCTGCCATAGGCTCTCTAGCACTTCTCAAAAATGTATCTTATTTCTTTTGTTTGCCTGTGGCTCTGCTGTACCCATGATCCTTCTTTTTATCTGCTCTTTTACCCTTGTTTTTCTTTGAATCACTGTCATATTGAGGTTGGTATTTTAAAAGCTGTGTTTAGAGTGATACAGTAAAAGTAAACTGCAGTAGATCTGTCTGAAGCTTCTTAAAAAATGATTCAGTGATTTTTGACTCTCAGGTGTTACCACTTCTGAGTATGTTTCTTTAAATGTTACCATCTAGAATTTAAAATTGTTTCTGGCAATATTAGGTGATTCAAGTAAAAGGTGAAAGAATGCTTCCCACCAGTTACAGTACTTAACAGCGATCTAACGCAAAAAAAAACCCAGCCTTTCTTGACTCATGGCTCTTAGGGATTAGATTTAGGGCCTGTCCCAGAGAAACAAAACGTACACAGGAGAATAATGTCAGATACAATAATCTACATTATCTATAGCTATAATATTGGTGGTAATTGTGCAGGATAGGAAAAAAAAAAAAAAAAAAAGGAGGTTTAGAGCATGTTCTGAACAGGAGGGTGCTTAGAAATTTGAAACCTTAGTGTTGTGGCTCCATGCTGAGGTTCAGGGCCTGAAGAAGTCAGGTCTGGACAAGTCCACTGTTAGTGTGACTAGTAGTTTTATCATTACTAGGAATTTCTGTGATTCTGTAATTTCTATGAGCACTTCTCAAATCTGGAGCACTTTGTAAATACAGACACCCCCCCACACACACTCGTGTGTTGGGAGTAGCCCTCACCTTGGAGCTGAGTTAGAGAGACCACTTGGTGGTAAGAACCACATCTGAGTTTACTGATTGTTGCCTGCCCTTTCCTGCAGACAGGCTGTTCCAGAAATGATCCCAAGTGATTTAAGGTGTTTGCTTGTCTTACTATTTCTTCCTATTTAAAAGGTGATAATAAAGCAGGAGCCAGGAGAGCTTCCCCAGCAACCTCAGCTACCAGCGACAGGGACAGGGACAACCACCCAGACCTCTGTGCAGCAGTATGTCACTGTAAAAGGGAGCCACATGCTAGCCTTGTCACCACAGAAGCCGGTCGTGAGCACAGGCGAGGGGACGGTGCAGCCGAAGGTATGAGGCGCTTGGGCATCCTTGGTGCGGTGTAAACTGTCTTGGTCTTATTGGAACACTTCATGCTTCTCTCAGGGGCATAGGGTTGCTTCTGTCTTGGACCCAAGCAGCAGCAGCATGGTTAGCTGGTTTCCCCATGCGCTCAGAGTAGCTCATATCATGTTCACTTTGAGAAAGGAGCAGGGTGAGCAGGCACTGTTGCGTTCCATTGTGTACAGGGAACACCTCCCACTTCTGTCGAACCCATTGCAACAGTGGGGTTGCCAGAAAATTGGCTGCCGTCATCTGCTCATGCTGAAGCTCATCCAGGTCTTTCTGTAAGAGGAGGCAAATGCTTTCCTCAGACTGCAGGCCTGCAACAAAAAAGAACAGGACAAATGGGGGATGGGGTGGAGGCTGAGCCAGAACTAGCATTAGGTGGAATCAGTCCTACTTGAGTGGCAACTCAAGTGTTTTATTGTAGGAATCAGTGCCAATGCAGTGCTGCTATGACAGGAGTGATGCAGCTTCTGAGAGAGCATGGTAACTGTGCAGTGACAAGATGACAAAAGTGTCAGAAATTGTCTCCATTCTTTCCTGTTTCCATTGTGGATAGAGTCAAATCATATGCCAAGCACAAGAGACTACATACGGAGCTTTCACTTTTGCATAAATAAATTTATATTTACATTTACAACACTTCATTTTCCTTTTTACTGCCTTATTTGCCTGTTTGAGCAGGTATGCAAACTCATGTTTCCCTGCAGTTATTGTTACCACATAAAATTGAAGCGCTTTGTGGGCTCTGCTTTGAGGCCACAGTTTTCCCAGGGAGTTTGTTCCCATGACTGTGTTGAAACTAAATTTCTGGATCTCTGTGCTTTGCCAAGGCAAGCTTTATCTTCAGCTGGAATTAAGCCATTGCTTATATATCAGAAAAAAATGGAAGTGCCCTGTAATTTGAATGTACTTAATCTCTTGTGGGTGCTCTGAAATCCCGGTTGTGTTTAACAGTTTATCGTTTTACTTGGGATTGGCCTCTTGCCAATTTCATTTTGTTTCTGAATGAATAGCTTTTATACGTGACTAGACACGTATAAAATGTCCTGAAATGTCTAGAGATAGAGGTAGCGTACTAGCTAGAATTCACATGATTGCTCTTGCTAGCAGCACGTCATCCAGTGCTTATTTGTTGCAGGTTGTTGGCGTTCCAGTTGGTTCTGCTTTGCAGTCGACAGTGAAACAAGCGGTGGCTATAAGTGGTGGCCAGATACTTGTGGCAAAATCTAGTTCTTCAGTAGCAAAGGCTGTTGGTCCAAAGCAGGTTGTGACTCAAGGTGTAGCCAAAGCCATCGTGAGTGGAGGCGGAGGGACAATTGTTGCTCAGCCTGTGCAGACCATTACAAAGGCCCAAGTTTCTTCCACAGGTGCTCAGAAAAGTACATCTCAAGGCTCAGGTAGAGTAATTTTACACCTTGTTAATAGCTCATGATGGGTAGACTTTGCGGCTCAGTAATGATTTCTTCAACTAACTATGTGTGATTGAAAAACTTCAAAATTAGTAGAGAATTCTGTAGGGAAATTCGGGCTAACTGAGATTAGTAATAAAGAAAATGTTAACTCATTATCTGTAAGGGGGAAGAGGGAGCACAAGTACTTTAGAACATGCAGTGTTCTGTGAGTGGAGATCGGACAGATATGCTGGGGAATGTTCTGGAGACCTAGCAGACTTTCATGGAGCCAGGCCTCACATTTTTGCCCAGCATTGTGGTCCTTAGATGTTCAAAGGGCTCCACATAAATCCAACCAACAAGAGCCAACTGTCCTTATTTCATCTCCACATCTTCCCCAGCGCTTACAGTTGCAGGAGTATGGGTGGAATCATCCCACCTGCTTCTGCACACAGCTGGCTTTAGCTGAGTGTGTTAGCTCAGGCTCTGACTGAAAAGTCTTCTGTGGCCTCTGGATTGGAGTAAGACCCCATGGCTGTGCTGCTTTGGCCTGCAGCTGTAAGTGGTACTGCACGCAGAGAGAGGTTTTTTGTTTTTTGTTTTTTTCAGACCTATTTAAAAAGTGTCTCTGCATCACTGGTAAAGTTAATCTGTGGTTAGGCCAGCTATGTATGGATTATCGAAGGCTAGCTGCATGTCATTCCTAGTACTTTCAACTTGTGCAGATTTCAATGCATACTGCTTTCTGCAAGCAGTAGTTTTATTTTTTTTTGTTCTTCCTTTCTAGTGATGGCTACACTGCAGTTACCAGCCACCAACTTGGCAAACCTGGCAAACTTACCACCAGGCACTAAACTGTATCTCACCACCAACAGCAAGAATCCTTCTGGGAAAGGGAAACTGCTTCTGATACCCCAAGGAGCCATACTGCGAGCCACAAATAATGCCAGTTAGTCTTGCAGGGAAATCTAATGAGTTAAATAATGTAATCACTGCATAATTAATATGTTTGGTATTTTTGCTATAAAGCGTCCTGGTACTGTGGAAGTCAGTAATGGGATGGGGTTTCTTTGTTCACAACAACACAGTATGTGGTGCTTTTTAAGACCTGGATCTCACAAGTGTCTTCTATTTTAGGTGCAGCTGCTTTTCATGCAGTGCTCTCATTGTCTTTCTCTTTGTGCTGAAAGCAGAAAGCGTAATTTTCCTCAAAATTCTGTGAAGGGTTATCTTTAACTCTTCCTTGTGATCTGTAGGAAGAGACGACTGCATTTTCACGATGTAGAACTGAGATGGATTTGAATATAGTTGTGAAAGCTATTAATAAGTAATGGAATGACACCCTGGAGAAGCTAGAAATATAAGAAACTTAACTTCGAAAAGGCAAAGATACTGTATCTGGAATGAGGGAAAAAAATAATTTTTAATATTGATACAAGGTTTGGCCCCAAGATGTTGAGACCAACAGAAGCACCTGTTTGTTATTGGGCTTGTGAATCAAACTTGCTGGGACATACATGGAGAATAACATTGCTAAAATAGTTCCAATGGGTGATACTTTGCTTATAGTGTGCTGTTCCTGTAGGGTAAGAATACTGCAGGTTTTGGACTGTGTAGATGAAGAGTTTTGTCATGAGCCTTCTCCAGGATGCTCCTTTTGAGGCTGAGAGTTGGGATGGGAAATGGTTTGGGAGCAAACTTTTTTGCTCCCAGTTCTGATACTGGCAGTGAGAAAGAGGTATTATTCAGTTTAATATACAAGGCTGTAAATACCAGCAACATAGCAGCAGAGTACATGTCACTGAAGAAGTAGGTACTCCTGCTGAAGGTATTTTTGGGCTGTAGAACTTGTGATGGGATCCCTATTGCTTGAGATTGAGAGGCAGCTGGGGCAGTCCAACTTTGACAAGGAAATAATCTCATAGGTGTTGAAGAAGAGCAAATACTTGCAATTTTTATGGCAGAGCCATAAATTCTTTTTTTACCCATTTCTTAATGAGACACTGCAAAAAAGACAGTGTTCAGGCTGTTCCTTCTGGAGGCAGAGCAATATCAAAGTATCACTGCAAATTACCGCTGCTTGGTATCCATGATCTAATATTCCATTAACAAAATTGTACTGGAACAGCCAACAAAAGTAAAATTGGGAAGCCAGTGGGATTCAGAGTGTTTCTAGGCCTTTTGCTGCAGATTCATAATCTGTAAAAGACTGATGAAAAGACTTGATCTGTTGGACAGCATTTTCTTTTGATAGAAAATTTGAAACAGCCTTCAGTGAGCTGTGCTTGTCCACCAGTCCTTATTTCCCCCATAGCTCCTTTCATTCATGGCATTTGCTGAGCTGTAAGAGAACACAGCAGCTCATCTGAACTGTGCTGTACTGGGTAATAATGTTACTCAGCTGCAAAACATGTGACAGCAAATGCCTTGCAAAACCAATTACTTGTCTATACAGGGATATTTAGCAGCTGACAGTGTCTGATCACTGAAGGGTTGAGCCTTTTCTTCTGATTACAGGTCTCCAATCTGGTTCTTCTACGAATAGTGGAGGTGGAGGTGGAGGAACCCAAAGCACAAGCAGTAACTTGTCACAGCACCTCACCTATACATCCTACATCCTGAAGCAGACACCCCAGGTCAGTGACATAAGCATCTCGGTTGAAAAAGATTGACATTTCAGGCTGCTGCAGTGTTAGGTGGATGTCCTGTGGCTCAGCAGTCCATGAAATGTTCTTGGATTATGGGATCTAGATCCTCTCTAACAACCCTTGCATCTCTTCCCTCTGCCAAGCACCTGCTTTACTACTTTGTGTTACTATTGGCACATCTCAGCCCCACACCTCCCCTTGCAGGCTGTGAAAGCAGCACTGAATAAGGCCAGAGTAAGCAGTGGGTGGAGAAGAGACAGTGCCTGGGTGGCAGGGCCGCAAGGGTCACCGAAACAAGAGAGGTGATATGGTGGAGATGATGCTGGAAGAGCATAGTAGGGTACGTACATAGTAGGTTACATAGTAGGGTATGTAAGAGTTGGAGGAAAGCCTGAGAGATGAGAGAATAAAGGAGAGCTGTTAGAGTGAAACAGCAAGGCTGAGTAAGAAAGAAAAATGAGGAAACCTAGGATTGTGTGAAGGGATCCATGTGTGACACTGGGTGAATGAAGCCTCTGAAGGGTAGCAACTGAATACTGATGTGAGGCAGGAAGGGTGGCAAAGTCTGAGGAGGTAGGTTATTAGAATGCACACCTCTGGTTGTCGCTGTGATTTCTGCATGGTGACCTCTGAATATATAGCCTTTGTAGGGGAACTAAATAAGTTTTGAAGCAAGAAGGTGACACAATGTCTCAATTTCTCTTGGTTTTTTTGTGGTTTTGTTTTGCCTAGCCCAACAGAAGCCTTTCTGATCTTGCATACTAAGCAGCATTTGTCACAAAGAGTAAACTTGAAAAGCATGAAGTGTGTTAAATTGTAGTGGATGCCTCTGACAAGACAGGAAACTGTTGGGTTTTTTTCACTCCCTTCCTTGCATCAGAAAGTGTTCTACACTGAGGAGACTGTGTCTAGCTCTTAGTGCAGAAGGATCCCCTGTAATTAGCAGTGCCTTGTCTCAAAGGATGAAATACTGTTGTTGCATTGTATCTACAGGCTTTTATGCTGTAGTGACATTTCCAGCTTTCTGTTGACATCTTAACTGTGTTTCAAAGTGCTGACCTCCCTAACTTATTTCTGGAACAGGGTACCTTTCTGGTCGGCCAGCCTTCTCCTCAGAGTTCTGGAAAGCAGCTGACTCCAGCTTCAGTTGTTCAGGGCAGTGTAGGAGTTGGAGCATCTTCCACACAAGGACAAGCACTAAAAGTGATAACTGGACAGAAAACAGCTCTATTTACACAGGTAACATGCAAATGGGGTATTTCTTCCTTACCAGTTAACACTTTATCAGATAAAGTATAGGAAACACAGCCACACACTGTGAGAGCTTTTCCTTTTGTAGTTGTTTGGTTTGCTTTGCTTTTGTACAGTTACGATCCTGACTGTACTGTGATGAGGATGGCACTTAAGAGCCTACTTTCATATGCAGATATTGGACCAGAGTTTTCCAGCTGTATTTCTGTTCTTGGAGTCGGTTATGTGTAAGCTTAGGTTGAAAAATGTGCTCTGGGACTTCTTATTGAAATTGAATTAGAGAAGTGAAAACAGTCAGGTGCAAAAATGTGCTTAAATATTTGAACCTTAGAAATAGGTGACCCAATAAAGCTCTTAAAATTTTTTGGTTCTGATATCCTTTAAAGGTCCTTCTTTTAAAAACTACCAAGTGGTCCCTATGAAATTCAGAATCCCCAAGTGTACTTGTAACTGATCATCCATAATTCAAGATTGATGGGCATATTGTTGCAAAGTCAGCAGTTTGGTAAAGTTGATTTCTGAGGTGATAATTTTGTTCCACCTATTATTGCCATAATTTGCCTTGTTCAAAAATCTTGAAAATATTTTTCAGTATTCTAAAAAGCATTTGATCTGTTTGTGGTGTTGTTGCGTTTTGTTGGGGGGTTTGAAGTAATTTTTTTTAAAAAATCCAAATAAATACACCTTTTTCCTTACACGGAATTATTTTTCAAAGACTGCACCCAGTGGACAGACGTCGCTTGTGAAAATATCAGATGGGTCTATAAAATCAGTGCCTGCCTCATCCCAGCTCTCCAAACCTGGCACCACTGTGCTGAGAGTATCCGGAGGTGTTATCACCACGGCTGCTGCTCCTGCCATGGCCCTTCCCACAAACGGGGTGGCCCAGGTGAGAAACAACATTTCCAGTATTCTGTAATACAACGTTTGCACTCTAGCAAGTATAATCCTCAGGAAAGGACTTCTGCTGCTTTCTTCCCCTGTTGTTGTTATTCTCAGTCAGCACCAGTGGTGGGTCTGCTTTTGTTTGTGTACCAGGACAGTGAGACAACTCCTTTTTTGTTGGGTTGTTTGCTGTTTGGCATAAAGTAATCTGTGAAGAAACAAGACGAGAAGAGAAACTGAAACTTGTACTTTCTTGCTTTTAATGGTATTATAATTCACGTAGGCAGGGAAGGCTTTATCTGAAATGGCTTTTGCAATTGTAGAGATCAGATTTTTGGGGCTATGCAGCTTTCAAACACCACATCTGCTGCTGGTACAAAAATTCGAAGAAGAATGTGAAATGCCTGGAGCTCTGTATCCAGCAGGCCAGTGGAAGCCAGCAGTAACTAGACTGCAGGTCACTTTTCTGAGATCACAGCCTCTCCACAGTGCTTAGTGCCCAGTCTGCTCTCAGCAGGCTTCAGAGGCCAGCAGTGGCCAGAGTTCATGGTCCTGACTGAGTTCAAAGGATGTCTCTCCTCTCCACCCCAGGGGAGTCGTAACAGTGCAGCCTTGGAACAAGGTGCTTTGGCGTAGAGTGAGGTTGGAAGCAAAACATTTGCCTGTGTGTGGATGCAGCCATGTATCCCATTGGTTCAGGTTGTCCACCTGAAGTGGAGTTGGAGTTCACAAGGTGGGGAGGAGACAGCAAAAAGGAGAGTGTATAATTCACTCCCAGGGTTCCTCTAGCCTTGCTGCTTTGCCTGTGGGGAGGCAAAGATTAAACAAGTGGAGAATTGATTCCATGCTGCCCTCAGAGGGCTGAGTGCTGGGATATGCAGCCTATATAGATGAAGATGCTAAAGTTTGTGTTAAGTGCTACTCACTGTTTTTAGGGCTCTTAGTGAAGCTGCAGAGATAGAAATTTTCCATCCAGCCTCTTTATCCCAAACTTTTTTCCCATTTGTGTACTGATACCTTTGGACTTCTGAGCAGCAGGGAAATATGAGACGTTCCTGGGTCAAATTTCCCATCTGAAGGCCTACCTGCTTACTGAAGTTAAGGGCCCTGGCTCCAGATACTATCAAGGCAGTTGTGGTAGCAGTTCCTGTGTGCACAGTTTCACTTTTTCTGCTCAAAACAGCCTCCATTCTCTGTGTGCCATCATTGGGGGGGGGGACTTTTGGATATGTGCTTCAGAACCTCTTGTTTCTTAATGATTGGTAAATATACATTTGGTTTTGCTACTTCTAGATGTTACCTCATTGTGCTTATTCTTGAGTTATCCATGGCGTGAGGAGTTTGTTATTCCTCTCTGCCTCTTTCTTGCAGCAAGTAGATAATTCAGGTTCCAGCTCATCATCTTCTGGAACTCCTGCAGCAAAGACATCTGGACAGCAACACCAAATCTGTATAAGCCAGAGCCAGTCTACTTCATCAGTAGTGAATAAGACTGCTACTTCCACTGTTGTAAGTGTTGCTTCTCTGATGACTACACCAACGCCTGTGACTGGAAAAGCTGCAGTATCAGGTATTAAGTTCCCTTCATGCCTCTCCTATAGAAAATTAGAAACCAGGTGTGAGTTCTTTAGATGTCTTCACTGTAAATGGAAGAATATAGACTTAACCTGCATTTGTGAATGTGTAAAAGTCAAGTCATGCTTTCTAAAACATCTTATTAGCATAAGATGTTATGGCTGAGCCAAAGAGATGTCTAATTTGGCATCCTGTCACATCAGTGCATTGACTATCTATTACAAATGATAGCACGAGTTGCCCATTGGTGTTGGAGAGGAATTTTAGTTTTCATGCCAGGTTCTCAGAAGATGCATTCTGCCTATTCAAGAGCACAGGGTATTACTGAATGCTGAAACTATGAAGGTATCGGCAATACTACAGACTTACTAGTTTGTGAAAGTGAAACTCCGCTGAAGCCGGAGAAGCTGCATGAGCAGAATTTGTCTCTGAGACTTTGCATCAGCTCTGTTTGGCTTGGAGAGAGATCTTGATTAGGAGAAACTGAAGGCTTTGACGTCAAAATCCATTAAGTACAGTGAAGTACATTGGATCTGGAATGTTTCAAGTTAATAAAGAGGAGGTAATAAAGATGGACTGCCCTTATGTAGAGGGCATTTTTCCTTACTTAGTTTTATTGTCTTCCAGTATCTTTTGTATCATACAGAGCAAATACAGCAGGTTCAATTTGAATATTATGGGTTAAAATTGGAAATTTTCATTTTGACTGATTTACCTGCTAGCACGTTCTGTTCACTTGAAGTGGCTTCTTACTAAGTGGAAACAATAAAAATACAGAAAAGAGAAAATAAATGACACTGAGTTCATCTGACAGTGTCTTTTTAAAGCAGCTCTTCCTGTTTCCTATGTATGCAGTCTTCCAAACTCCTCCTTTTTGATTACTCTGTTTTTCCCAGAGCTTGGAAGTAAGCAACACAGACTGCTGAGACAGCTACAGTTCTGCAATAAGCAGTGGAGTATTTTCCTCTTTGCAAACAAAGCAGCAAGCTGGTTTTGTTTTGTTTTTTTTGTTTTCTTTTGTTTTTGTTTGTTTGTTTTTGTTTTGTTTTTGTAGAAAGTATGCTGTTCTAAATAGCTTTCAGATTAAAACTCTCATTTAGGTATGAGAATGCTACCTAGATTTTGTTTTGTTTTTTGTAACCTAAGGCACTGACTGCATCATGAAAAGCTTTTTCTTCAAGAATCCCAAAAGAAACAGGAGCTGTAAAACATGTTGTTTCAATGTTGAGTTTTTTCAAAAAAAACAAAACAAAAACAAAAACCAAAAAACACCCCAAAATCTGTGTTAGAATTAATGAAGATTTGTATTTTTACAGGCAACTTTTCAAAAAGTATCTCAAATTTTCCCTTGTTTTGCAACAAACAATGTCGCCCACCCATCAGGCTAATAGAGTTAGTTGAAAATGTCCCTTCTTACTTGCCCTGCCATCTGGGTCCCTTGCTGTCCTATCCTGCCACATCTGTGCATCACTCACAAATGGATTGGTAATACTAGGTTAGCCTTCTTGCCTGGAGGTGAAAGCCTAACTGACCAGTGTTATGCATCTTTAAAAACCAAGAGACATCTTCACCAGACCTTGCATGTGTAGTATTTGGAAGGCAACTGTGTTTCTTAAACAATAATAATAAAATATGAGGAGAATGGAAACTTTATCTCAAAACAAATCGTGAGTATAAAATTACCATCGTGAAACTAAGAAGTCTACTGTTGTCAGTGTTCTGAAGTGGAAGGCTATTCAATTTCCACAGTCTGAAGAAAAGTTAGCTATAGATTGAACACAGTTATATTGAAAATAGCCGGTTTACCAGTAGAAAGAATGGACATAGGCCCAGATCATAGTGTTAGAGTGCGGGCTCTGGTGGCCTGGGACATCGTCACTGTGGAGGAGAGAGCTGGTGGACAGATGATGAGTTCTGCTTGTCCATGGCACTACGTCACAGCTTGGAGCCATGCTGATTTCCACCGAAGTCACTGCGTGCTGCCATTCATAATGCTGTTAATATCTGAATGTCCTGCTTGTTCTTTTAGCCTTGACTAAAGTCAGTGATTCAATTCAGTCCCCACTTTAATATGCTTCATAGCTTGATTAGCCATCCTTATGGATGTATTCAGTGCGTGTCACAGAAAGATACAGGACACTCAGTTCAGGTATGTCCTTCATCAGGCTTGCTGCACAGCCTTGGGCTTGTCGCTTAGTTAACATGTGGTTGATTGTGCTCTGCTGACTGCAGTGGATGCTGCTAAGCTGAAACACAGAGGTGTGTGTGGCACTTGGATACCTCAGGGAGAGTGGCTGTGTAAGTACAACAGAGCTGTAGTTCACTGCCTTACCAGGCCCTTGAGCACAAGGTCTTGTTCTGACAAGTGTTTTACTCTGCTGAGCCTGCTTCAGCTGAAAGGTTTGTGTTACATCAACTTTTGTTTAAGATTACTTAGGTAGTTAGGAAACTTGCTTTGCAAATATCAGCGCTGTGCAGCATGTAATACTGTGCACACTGTGGTGCAGCACCCCAGTATTTTAGCAATAATATGTGTCAGTGAAAACTTGTCTGACACTTCACTGACCTGTGGCTTGTTAAGAGGGTGGCAGTGCTAGCTTACATGCCGTCCTAGTTTAGGCAGAAAGGGAGAGGAATAGCTGGAGATAAACTAAATGGTGTATTTTATTTAACATTTTGTCTTCCGTTCTTCTTGCAGGGTTGCTAAAAATCCACTCAAATCAGTCTAGTCCACAGCAGGCTGTTCTGACAGTTCCCAGCCAGCTTAAACAGCTCGGTGTAAACACAGCTTCTGGAGGTGTTCAGACAATACTCATGCCTATGAACAAAGGTAAAGGGCAGAGGAGGATGACAGATGATGTTTGAAAATTTCCTTTGACTCAGGGTAGCTCTTGGTCACTATTGGCATACATGGTCAAAGATAGAGATAGAAGAAAATGTAGCAAGGAAATTCATCCCTAAACTTTGTGCTGCAAAAACACTGTGTTGCTTCTGAACATGGTTATTTGTCAAAGTGTATGAAATTTGATTTTTTTTTTCTTTGCTGTCCGTTTTTTTTTTTTTTTTTTTTTTTTTTTTTTCTCTTTTACCTCTGCAGTGATACAATCACTTTCTACCAGCAAAGTTTCAACTGTTTCAGCTGTCACGGCAGCAAGTACAGTTGTCCCTAGTCCCTCTCCGGCATCCATCACTAAAGGTAACAAGGAATTTCTCAGTAAGAGAAGTAGCAGAAATAAGCTGGTGCTGCTTTATGCAAGTGGCCTGTCTATGAAAGTAGACCCTGTGACTGTGGGTTCCTTTATTTCCATTGTTAGTAGGGTTTAAATCAAGTAAAAATGGTATCTGGGGATTAGGAAATTAACAGTGACTTCCCCATTAACAAATCCCAAAGCACAGGCAAGTACAGAGAGAAATGAGGATGTTCTAGAAAGCTGCCATGAGTACTTGAAACATTCATTGTTTCAACCCATACTTGCAGAAATGCATAGGACAGCATGTATTTAATCACAGTTACTTCTGTCCTCAGAACAGTGACTGGTAAACTGTGCTGGAGAATGCTTTCCAGCAGCACTAGGCATAGACAGCATATGTGTGTGCACATACACGCACAGGAGAAAGATGGACACACAGTGCATCCCAGAATAACACATGGGCCAGAGCTGTGGAACTCGGAGTCCGGTTCTTGCAGAACTGTCACGTGTCTCTCCCGTCCCAGGTGAATGATCACAGACTGTTCTAGGTTGGGAACATCTCTGTCCCTGCTCCTGTCTCACCAGAGTTACATCCTAGACATGAGAAAGTTCACTGATGTCAAAATCAGTGATGTCTTCAAAAAACTTCTCACTTTGAAATGTCAGTTCTTGCTAAAACTGTTCATAGTTTTCCGTCAAGCTCTTTGCTTACAAAAAGGCCAAGGTACATTTGCAGGCAGTTCAGTTTAGATCTGCAGTCATATGCAAAACATCAGCAATTGATTATGGAGATTTTCTAAAAAAGGTGAGATGTGAGCATGTTGAGATTTGGAGGAGAGGAACATGTTCTGGTGGCTTTCTTTCAGCAGAACTGAAGGCCAAATTTATTCATGCTTAACAATCAGAATGCAAATAACAAAATTAAGTGATGTTACACAAGACCCTTAGTCTCACAGGACACTTTATCAAGCTGACTGGTACTTTTTGTCTTTTAAAATGTGTTCTGTTTCTTTGAAGTTAAGATGGAGCCTGATTCAACAGGACAAAACTGCAGTTCTGTGGTGGGTACACAAGAAGGCCAAGCAGCAGTAAAAACAGAGGAGAGCTCTGAACTTGGGAATTACGTTATCAAGTAATTGTTCATTTCTCTTAAGGATTTCTGATCTTTGAAATATGAGGGGGAACGGAGGAGATTCTAGGGATACGTGTAATAGTGTTCAGTTTGAACTAGAAATACATTATAAAATCTTCTCTCCCATATACTGCTGTATCTGTGAAATTGATGGGGTGGCATTTGCTTCAGGCAGTGTTACCACATTTTCTTTGTAAATGGATTTATATGAAGGGCTTGTGAAAAGGAAAATTATTTGAAGATTTGCAGTTGTTTTAGGGTTTGCTAAAATCTCAAGCCACGAAAACCTCTTTATCATCCACTGCTTGTATAATTCCTGTTGCCGTTGTGTGTCCTTACTGAGGTGAAACTGTCCAGTGAAATGCAGGTCAAAGAAGGGGCATCTGAAATTAGTAGAACTGTCTCTCTTCTTGCCCCTCTAGTCTTATTAAGCTCGTATACTTCTGTAATTACTTAGTATGAGGGCTGCCTTCGTTCAGAATTGGAATTAAATAATAAAGATCACTGGGGTGTTTGTTCACTGGATGCAGTGAAATCTGGTGCCTTGTTTGTGATGCTCTTACAAGTACTTGCTAGTGTTTTTTCACCAGAACTCAGTTTGCAAAATTTTCTCTGCTTACTTTTTGTAGTGTGTAGTATGTTTCTTCTACTCTTGATTCCTCCAGTGGTTGACTTTCCCATCTCCATGTTTAGAAAAGTTTTGTTATCCTGACATATCCCTGCAGACATTATCCTGATGGAGAGTATGTGTAGGAGACAGGAATAAATCTTAAGTCACTACACACTGGAAATTATCTTAGTTATAAAATAACTAATGAAAAATACAGTTTTTGGCAGTTAAATACAGTCTGGCTGGTTAAGTAAAATTTATCTAAGCTCCTGTAAGTACAGATTCCCATGCAGTATCCCATGTTCCTACTGGGACAGCCTGCACTAATAGATGCGTCTTATCCCTCAAAATAGTGTTGCAGCTTGTGAGATGATGCAGGGATTTCTTCCAAGCCTGACCAGAAAAGCCCGTCTTCAGTTTCTTCAGCCTGACAGATGCAGCTTTGGATGTGGACACTTCGGCAAGAGGAAGGGCTGTTTGAAATACTTTCTCCAGACTGGGGCATAACAGTTTATCCTCACACTGCTATTGCTATAATGCTTTGGGGCTAGGGACTTCAAACCATGCAGTGACTTTGAAACCTTTTGCATCTGGTCCATTGCTTCCAACAGTATTCTTCATTGTGATTCTTTTTATCTTTTGCAGCGTAGAATATTTGGAGAACATCCAACAGCTTCTAACAGCAATAGTGAAGAAGGTTCCATTAATTGCTGAAAAAAGTAAGCAGTAAATTAAAAGGATTTGCTTTCTATTTTCAGTGTCTCAGCAGAATGCCTTGCATATTCTGTAGCCACAAAAGTTCTTAAAAGGAGGAATGAAATTAAGCCATTCTCCTAGAGAGCTAATTCCAGGGGTTATTCTAAAGATGCTTAGAATTAGATTTTTCCAATAAAGCCAGATATGCTGTCAGCAGTCAATAACTTTCATCTGTTTCTTGGTTAGATGTAGATTCTATTTCCTCACGTAATGGCTGCAGATAGATCTTCTTTACCCTGCTTTGTTCATACTTGATGTGCCTTTTTTTGTTGGTTTTTTGTTCTTTTTTTAATTTAATACCAGAGTTTTAGAAATGCTAGCAAATATGATAACATAGCTCAGCAATGACATGTGTTTGGTATTGGCGTTTTTACTGTTATGTTTTGTTTTAAAACAAAAGGTGGTAGTTTGCAGAGAAACATTTTAGTCTTTTATGGCACTTTGTAAGTGCATACCTCTTATTCATGTACAATGTTGAAAATGTATCAGCTTTCTCTGGTAACTAATGCACTTTGAACAAGTGGTCCTGAAGACTGGGTAGGGCAGACCCTCTCCAGATAAGCGCAGTGAACAAAGTAGGAGTGGGCAGCACAGTAAAGCTTTCATTGCATACAGCGCTCTGGCCTACAGCAGCATTCATGAATCTGGTACTTAGGATTCTTATTCCCTCCTCATGTTTTTGCCAGGAAGCGTCACTGTTGTTTCATTTTTATGCTGTAATTAGTTTGGGTTAAAAAAAAAAAAAAAAAAGAGTATTTCAAAGGAATAGACTTTAACCAAGAGGGATGCTGGTTCTGCATTCAAAAACCACAGTATCTGCTGCATGTATCTGTGCTGTGCTCAGGGAGAGTTAGAGTGTTACAGTCCTTGATCCTGTCTGTGAGCATGAATCACATTACCCTCTTCCTCTACGCTAAATAACATCAATAGAAAAATTTATCTTACTAAAAATTTAATACTGTTTTTTGGCTTTGTGTTTTCTAGATGAAGATGCAAGCTCTTTTTGTGCCAGTTCAGTGGAACAGTATTACAGCTGGAATATTGGGAAGAGGAGGGCAGCTGAGGTAATCCTCTCTTCCTGTGTTTCATAAGCAGTCATTAGGGACACAAGAAGGATTTCTGAATTATGGAACCTTCCTTGTTGGCTGATTTGTTTTCTGAAGCAGTCTGTCACATTTTCGTAAGGAATGCTTCCATCTGCAAGATGCACTGATTTGTGTCCAGGTAGTGATCCAGTTCATTGTTCAGAGACTTTCTCAAGCAAAAGGGACTCTGAAGGTCATTTTTTGGTTGATTTATAGTAAGAAGCATTTAAAAAATGAAAACTTTTGCAAACTGGCCTGTTAGCACTTTATCCATCATTCCTATGTGGCATATTAGGGTCATAGGAATTTTACCCAACATACTTTGTCTATCTTTTCATGGGATTGTGTCTGCTTTCTGTAGGAAGAGAATTGAAGGATCTGACATAAGCAATGCTAGTGCTGAAATAGATTGTCAGTTCACCAAGGATAAATATTTCAGTCAATCTGGACCTTATGTATTGTGGTTGTTATGTTTCCCCCTATTTCTTCATAATTTTGTCATCTTGCTATGGAGTTTTATGGGGAAGGTATTAAAACTGATTAGACCCTCTGCTGTTGCCAACTTAAATAATTAGAGTTTAACCAAAATTTTGAGAAACCTATTTTGCTCTATTGGATTTCTTACACTGTGTCATCTCAGATGTTACTTGAGAGATGATACATTTCAAGTGAAGACAAATGTCTCCCACTGTAAATGTGTGTCCCTTTTTTTTGAGGCTTTGTTTGGATGACAAAGCAGAATTTAAATGGCCTGCCTACAGCTGCCTAATATCAAGATTAGTACTGTCTTCCACATTTGTTTTTCCTCTTCATTCACACTTCTGAGAAAATCATGTTCCTTTTGTTTTCTTTGCAAGCTGGATTATTGTCTAGCCTAAAATGTTTTAGCCAGTGCAATGAGCTTTCCCTTTGGTTTGTCATAGTGGCAACGAGCAATGACAGTGAGAAAAGTCCTACAAGAAATCATAGAGAAGCATCCCAGGTTTCACAATATTACACCCCTGAAAACAAAGCATGTGGTGCACTGGTGTCGATGCCACGGCTACACTCCGCCTGACCCCGAGACCTTGCGGAATGATGAGGACTCAATTGAAGACGTGCTAACGCAGATAGACAGTGAGCCAGGTGAGTATGGAGGGACAGAAAGCTCCTTCTTGCCAAAGATGATGTTAAGTGGCTCAAGACTGTGTGTACGCACACACATGTGCTGCGTCTTCAGGAGAAGAGGATTCTTACTTTCTTTGGTTTTAACCTAATTCACACTGGAATAACAAAAGTTGGAGATTGTAAGGGCAAGCCTACAAGTGAAGTTGTCCCTTGCACTATCAGTCCTGATGCTTTCTGGGGCCTCTTTTGGGTTTTATTGTGCTTAAGGGCCCTTGGAGGCCAAGTGTAGATAAATTTTATGAGATGATTCTTGCCCCACAATGTAATCATTTACAAGTGGACATACAAACTAAGCATAGGGAGTAATGACATTTCTGCCCTTGGGTAAGCTTAGCCTCTGTTGAGACTTAGTGCGAACAGTGTGAGTGAGTTCAGGCATGAAAAAAACCAAACCTAGCCTGGAAGTGGTGGTGTGGAGCTCAGTGAGGGTTCATTTACCTCAAAAAGTGCAGCGAATTGGCCTGTGTGGAGCTTCATGTTTTGTTATTACCAATGCTTCATTATTCCACTAGGCATAGGTCTGGGATCTCCACAACTGGTTTTAGTACGTGTTAAACATACATCTTTAATTTCATTCATTGTTCAAAGTTAAGATCCCTTGTTTTACCCTCAGATAATCTCTTTCCCAAATCTGAATGTTCTTCTGTTCTGCTCATACAAGAGTTTAAGGTATTACACACAAGTGTATGTATATATTCTTTGCTAGGTCTGGCCCTGCATTGCAGTTGTTGAAGGTAGAAAGAAAGCCTACATCCACCTTTTAATATTGCTATCTGAATAACTAGATTTGTGGTTTGTCTTTGAAGAAAGTAATCTGTTTATTGTCTAGATTTCCACTAATGGTTTTACTGGCTCATGTTGAGCATGCAGAGAAGAGGTTACCCTTTTGCAATTTCATTGTGAATCTGTCTTCTGGTTTTTCTTAAAAAGCGTGATAATACTTGTCACAATGTAAAAGATGATTTAGTGCTACATGGTGCCTACATAGTAAAAACTCCATTTCTCCAAGCAAGTTGAAGAGCATCAGGCTGCTTTGCCAGTTGTCAAAAAGCTTCTGTGAGAATGTTTAGGAGACTCGCATTAGCCTGGTTTTGTTTGAAATGCAACCTTCTCAACTGGTATAAGGGCAGATGAGGGAGGGGACCATGAGTGTCATGAAGATATGATTAGAAGATTCTCGGTGACTATTTGTGTTTCTGTTCATCCTTATGTTTGGTAGGAACTACAAAAATAACCTCCAATTACCTTGATTTCTTACCATATTTAGAGTGTGCATCTGTTTATAAACAGCTTTTCATAACCTATCATTTGTTTAATTGATTGCTTCTTTTTCAGAATGCCCTTCATCTTACAGCAGTGGTGAGGAGCTGTGCCGAAAACTAGAGGAACTGCAGCAATTTCTGAAACGAGAACCAGAACACGAAGAGGAAGTAGATGTTCTCAACTTTAGTGAGCCATTAAAAATCAACATTAAGAAAGAACAGGAGGAGAAACAAGAGGAGATGAAGTTCTACTTGGCTTCCTTGCCTGCATCGGAGTTTGTGAGGGACACTGCAGAGAAGGTAATAAGTGAATCATAAAGCTAATAAGAACTGTTGTTAAGCTGGTTAGTACTCTTTCTTTCATCCATATGGGCCTCTGGATGCTTTATGAAAGTTTTTATAAATGCCCTGGTGGAAAAGTTGGGCCTTCTGACTCATGACACTCAGCTGGCCAGTGTTGGCAGGAGAAAGTGCAGCATGTCAGCCAGGAGGTCATTTCAGAGCAGCTGTATTGCAGGGCTTAGTACCAGAAAAATCATCCTGGAAGGCTAGAAGCAAGAGGAAATGAGGGAAGAGTAGCACTAGCACGGAATTATTCCTGTCCCATCATGTGAAAGAATCAGGCTTGTTGCTTGGACTACTGCTGTTTAATAGCCACTCCTGAAAAGGAGTGGTGGTAAAGCTTAGACCACAGCAAAGCTTCTCTACTGCTTGGATATCTTCCCCCTATTCAAATGAAGGTAAAAGAAAGGGAGAGGGGCGTTTTCTGTCACAGCAGCAGAAAGGAAAGAGGAGACTGACTCGGCTTGTAGGAGAAAGCGCTTGCCATTGTACCAGCAGAGACAGGAGCAGCAGGAGGGGTTTGCACGTGGCAGCTGTGGAAGAAAGGAAGGATCTCCATCTCCACCTCAGATGCTGACATCAAGGGACAAAAGTTTGGTTCTGCAGTATATCTAGTCTCTTGCTACATAGGTGACAAGGGCGTGGTCATGATGAGAGTGAGACAGAGGATGAAATGGTCTTTTGATGTGGAACTTTTGTGCCAGGAGTACTGTTTAAAGTGGTTTCGGTTGCCGTAGTTAGGTGCCCAGAAGACAGTGAATGGATGGATTGAATATATGTACAGTTTTAAAATGGATCTTCCATTCTCAATCCAAAGGTACCCAGTGCAGCCTGGCTTTTTCTGAAACAAAAATTAAAACCTGCTTTTGTTTCTTACGTGTTTTAGAGGCATTTCTGCAGGCTGTTCTAATAGTCAAGCTTCACTTTCTCCAGATTGTTTTTTTTAAATGAAGCCTGAGATTATACTGCTTGAAGGTTCTACATTGTCTGCTTGCTTGTTTTTTAACTACCCTTTGTAACAGATTTTTTTTCTGTTAATCTCATTCTCATCTAATCTGTACTATAATGTGGGTTATTTGATGTACTCATGTTTTTTTCTCTCATTTTATAGATAGGGATTTCTTTTCAGCCTGCTGAGGTGCAAAAGAATGTTTATGCATCAGTAATAGAAGATATGATTTTAAAGGTAAGAAATTGCTTCACAGTAAGAACTTTTCTGTAACCATGTTATCCCAGTAATATAGGAAGAAAGACAGAATATCCTTGTTAATACGCATTTATCAAATCAGGAGATGCAGAGTCTGTTGTCTATCTTTGTGCATGTATAGAAAGATACATAGCTGGCCAGAGAGAGTTGTATACTTCTGTGTGTGTTTCCAGCTTTCTAACTGATTTGTTGGCTTGGACACAGAATAGTGATTTGCAGATTCTCACAGCCAGTAAGATACTGACTCATTCTGTAACTTTGAAAGTACCCCTTACTTTGTCCTGCCCTTCAGAACTGGGGGGAAATCTGCTGGAGTTCTGTAAGACCTGATTATTTTATACAAGGTTTGGAAAAAGAGAGACAGTTTCTTAGCAAAGCTTTGAACAGCATGGAGTTGGAGTTCTTGGGTTTGGACTGAAGGGTAACACAGATTATTTTTAGCAGTGGTCTGCTGTATTTCAAGCCAAAGACAATTTTTGAGGTTGTTTATACAGACTGCTGCTTACCAGAAGATGAGTTTTACAAAAGCTAATTGATTCCAGGTTGCACACACATTCGCATGCACGGTTCTGCTGTACTCTGTTACTTACCATAGTTGAACTCAGCTACAGGTACATCCATTTGTAGACACAGATTGTAACCATCAGATTGCTCCATTATTATTGTGGAGTTATGCCAGCTTTCCTGACTGAATGTCCCAGAAACCTCTGCTCTTGTCTTGATACAGGCACAGAAAGCCAAGGGTCTTAATTAGCTTTTGATTTGAACCTTGATTAAGCCAAGCATGTAAGGCATATAGCTGCTGTCTGCTTGCTGTCCATACTGGGAGGTTTTTGTGAAAGTGTCTTGACATAAGCCTGGTGACCCCAGGGGCTGGCTAACAGGCATATACCAGTTCCCAGGAGCATATCTGAAATCTATCATGGACAAAACAAGCTCTGGTGTGTGGGAGAAAGGGGCCTGAAGTGCTCTTTGAAGCACAGGTTCTGGAACGTTGGATCCACCCTGCTGTGCCCATACTGTTCTGCAGGTCCAGAGAGAAACTAGAGTGCAGTTGCAGTCTGAGCTCTGTGCATCTATAGGTCTCTTTCTTTCTGTTAAATATACTCAGTTCTTATTAGTGTGCTAATAAAACTAATTTGGACATCTTGAACTGCAATAAAGGATTGAAGTGAGCCAGAATTTCCATGGCTCTTACACTGATACTCGAGCAAATGGCACATTCCATTCCCCTTTTTGTAATGCCGTCTCCTAATGTCTTTTGTCACAGGCCACTGAACAGCTGATGAGTGACATCCTGCGGCAAGCGCTTGCTGTAGCATATCAGACAGCTCCTCACAACAGGTACAGCAGCTTGTTTCCTTTTGGACCACTTACACCAGCACTAAGGGCTGAACTGCTTGGGGAATTTAGTCAGATTTTGTGTGGCTCAGACCACATGAGTGAGGAAATTTATGAACTATATTCTGGGAAGATCCAAGCCTTATCAGGGGATTTGTCATTTCCTAGCTCCATAGTGGCAAAGGATGGAAACACAGACAATGTTAAAAACTGAGGCAGGATTCTCAGGTGTTGCCACGCTTAAAGGCAGATGACCTGTTTCCACAGAGCCATGTTGGAAGAATTATCTCACTCTTGTCCATCTGAGGTTACTGTGTAGACAAATTACCCATGGCCTGCCAGAACTTAATCGAAATAGCCTCTTTTCTGTTTTACTGATACACTCTTTTCAGGCTGACATACTAAGTGATTTTTATGGTAATGGTTAGGCCACATTTTGATTTCTGTTCAGCAATGTGATTTGGGAGAGCTTGAAATTGGGGAAAAAAAAAAAAAAAAAAAAAAAAAAAAAACCAAACCACACACACACAAAAAAACCCCAGTAAGTAACACTATGAGAAAATGCCTAGATTAAATATTTACTTGTATGCAATATAGAAATATTTAGATAATATATATTAAATATATATATGTTATATATAGAAATACACACATATTGTCTATGCTATAGAAGTTCAAGAATTAATACTTCAGCACTTGATTTTCCTGTCCCAGTGCCCTAGATGTTTCCCCCAGTCATTTGAGAGTGGCTTTTTTCTGCTTTTCCTGTGTTGCTCTAACACTTGTTCTCTTAACCTTTTTTTTTTTTTTTTAAGGATTTTGGTTTGGTTTTGTTTTTTTTTTTTTTTTTTTCCCTGTTAGTAAATTTATTGACTTGCTGCTTTATGGACACCTGTCTTTTAATATATAATAACAGCATCTCCGATGCATTCCGTGCAGGACTCCAAGAGAGATCACAGTGATGAATATTCACAAAGCCATCTGTAATATTCCCTTTCTGGACTTCCTCACAAACAAACATATGAAGATACTAAATGAGGAACAATGAAATAGAACAGAGAAGATGCTACAGGAAAGGTGGATTTATGACTGAGGTTGGGTTGACAAATCCAGTATTTCTATAGGACACTATTACATACATTTATAACATTGGGCTACTAGATTGTTACCTCCAATTAAAGATGCACCTTAATGCAACAAAATGATGCTCTGTTCCAAATCGAGTTGTTAAATGTCAGTGTTTACTTGGTAAGTGTATGTTCAGTGGCTGAACAAACATTGTCAGTTTGCATCAAGTTGCTAGCTGTGAGAGACTCCACAGGCCTGGTCCCTCTGAGACGGCTATATTGGTGCAATTGAACATTTTTTTTAAGAAAGGAATTTGTTTTTTGATGCAGTCTACATACGAGTTGGTGTCCCCATGCAGTGGGCAGAACAGTTGCTTTGACACTCTGAATATGAGAAAATTGAAAGGCAGCTTTTAAAGGTGGGCTGTTTGAGTAGGTGGGTGGGTTGGTTGATTAGGTTTGGGTGTGGGGGAGCAGAAAGCTGATGGCTGCAATAAATTCTGCCAGTCCTGCTTGAGCATGATGTATGTGACTGAGAACACAGCTGGGTACGCTGACCATTAGTTTATGCAGCTAAGTGTCACCTAACCAAATTCCTTGCCTCTCTAAAGGATGTGTCGCCATCTTTCTCGATCACCTCAGAAAGGGTAGACTGGCACATGCTCAATCAAGATGAACAAACCATGGTCAGGCTTGGTAAGATTGGACTGACCACTTGTCCGGCGTGGGAAAGGAGAGGAGCAAGGACAGTATTTGGTGTTTGTGGGCTTAGACTGGCAGAAACCCTTTGCTTGCCCAGTGAGTGCCTCCCCAGGCTGCCAGAAGGTTTGGAGCGTGCTGGAGGGCAGGTGACCAGCTGTGTTGTACAAGTCTTAATGTTCTTATAGCATTCACTAATGATCAGCTTGGATTGTGAAGTGCTGTGGGAGCAGCACCACTTTGGCTTAAGTTCTGCTCAACACAGGCCTGATAAGAACAAAAAATCAGAGGTTTGCTGCTTGTGGGGAGCTCCTCTGATGTCTTGTCTGCAGGAAGAAGTTCTGCTACTAACCCCAGCACTTACCTGTCTCAGGAACATCACTGGTGTAGGAGACATGTCTGCAGCCTGGCTATCAACACCTTCTTCAGTAAGGCTTTGCTGACAACATCCTGACCACCCCACATCCACCACCCCTTTGTCCTGCCCCATGGGTGCTTGCTAGTAGTGTGAGTAAGCCATTGTAAACTTGGTGGGACTCCTGTTGGACTGTCATGCTTTCAGGGTGCTTGTTTTGTGAGGCAGTGCTGTCGTGTGGGTGGAGCATGGGTCAAACAGCCAGAACCTCCAATGTGCTGATCTCAGCTGGGTCTCTGATCTACTGCATGGCCTTTGATTTAATCACTCTGTGCCTCAGTTTCCCCATCTCTGAGCATGGGGAGCAGGATACCTACCTCACAGGGGTGTACTGAGGCCTCGCTCTTGTTGGTGCCGTGCTTTGACAATACAAAGCCTTTTATAAACATTAAACTACAGTTATCTTTCCTGGCCTGGGGTAGGAACAGAAATCTTCAAAACGTTATCTTATGGTGCTTTTTTTGGGGCTAGAAGACAGGTGATGGTAACTCCAGTAGAGTGCAGGAACTGTGGAAGATGGTTTGGTTAGAGGGTGGTTTCAGGCTTCCAAGGAGAGTAGCATAGGTTTGATGCAGTTCTTAACTGAAGGAGGTACTGCGTATCTCAGAAGAGATGCTGCCTGTCTTCTCCACCTTGAATAAAATTGGGTCTGCAGGAAAGCCCCTCTCAGTTCATCAGAGCTAGCAGGGAGTTACAGTTCACTTGAATATAAGAGTGGCAGAACCTGACCCTTGAGTCTAGGAAATGGGACCAGTGGATGAAATCCAAACAGCATTCAGAGGACTTAAATGCCCCTTAGAAAGGGCATTTCGGATGCTCTGGATTCAAAAGATAATCCTGGCTTGTTCGGGTGAGCTGAGTGCAGGATTGCCTGCACTCATAAAGTGCACAGCTTAGCCCTCACAGTTTTTCAGCTGAGGTCAGTGTGAAGGGGTTGAGCAGTGGTGATTCTGTTTGAGCCCAATTTTGAGAGTCAGGAGGAATCCAAATAGCTGGGGAGCTGCAGGCCCCACACTTTGTTTGTAGGCTGTAGTGAACTTGAAGTCCATACTGCTTTCAGGCGCCCCTGTACACAGCTTTTACAAAAGAGAAGGGCATTTTCAAGATACCTGTCACTATCACTATGACAGCCTGCAGGTTGTGTGGGAACAGCCTTTTGGGCAAACTCAGTTGTGCTATGATCTTCTGCAATGACACATGCATTTCCAGCCCCCGTCTCTTGTGGGCTTAGTTTCTGAGATTTTGATACACCCAGAGCAGCTCTTGAGGATGCAAGAGCTCATCTTTGGGCATCTGTTTGCAAATTGTGGCTTCCTTGCCTGTGTACTGCTTTTCTGTGAGGAATGGAGTTTCAGAATGAGTCCTGAACCTGGCCCTGAAGCAGGCAGGCAAATGCCCCTTGTTCTTAATGGGGTTCTTGCAGAGGAGGTGTATTGCTACATTTCTGAGCAACCACAGGTTATTCTCCTAGGAGATGCTATATTAATAATATATAAAGTTTGCTGGAGAAAAATAAACTGTTAAAAGCAGATAAAAAATAACACATTTGTTTAGTCCTTCAGATATAGGAAACGTTTGCAACAAGTTCCTTGAATTTTGAGAAGTGGTGGGAGAAAAATTTGTCCGTGAGAAGTTCCTGTGGGAATTGCTTGGAGATGAGGTAGAGGTGGTGAAATTTCATACACCCAGTGAGGTGTGTGTGGAATGCTACAGATGATACAGTGTGTTGAAATGTTACGGTATATTTCTCTGGCTTTCTAAAGAGTCTTGATACAAGTTAAAGATCTCTTTACAAATATTGCCCCTATTTGTAATGCTGAGTGTTTAAATCCTTCATGTTATCTGTATTATACTGTATAATTGTGTAAGATACGTATGTTTACAATAAATTCTTTTATTAGCTGTGCTAGAATTGTCTTGACTGTGACATGTCACCAAGTCTCTCCAAATCCACAGATTTTTGTGCTCTGTATATTCAGAATGTTTTAGTCAGTTCTGGATAAAAATTGGAATTTGTGGAATTGATCTCAAGGAAAAGGTAATTTTTCCCTTTTATAGTTATTTTAAAAAGCTCTTGGTTTTGGAGGCTGGAGGAAGGGAAGCTCAGCAAGCTCAGCTCCTCCAACTTTCCATCCTCCAGAACAGGCTGTTTAAACAGCAAGTAATTGGTTTGTGTGGAAGATTGAAAAGCGTGGTGGGTTGATGGTGGCTGGCTGCCAGACGCCCACCTAGCCCCTCTCACTCCCCTTCGGCAGAACGGGGGGGATGAAATAAGATTAAAAAGTGTGTGGGTCAAGATAAAAACAGGAACATGGTGTACCAATTACTGTCATAGGCAAAAGAGACTCAACCTGGGGAAAATCAGTTGAACTTCTTGCCAATTAGAATAGAGTTGGATGGTAAGAAACAAAGACAATAAAAAACAAAACACCTTTTCCCCGCCATGCCTTTTTCCTATGAGTTGACTTCAGTCCTTCATTCCTGACTCCCGCCTCCTCTCAGCCTAGGGGAGGTGCAGGGGAGTGGGGGGTTGCCCTTAACAGTCCCTCTTGTCCAGTCCTTCCTCCTCCCCTGCCTAAGCACGCTCTCGCAGGGCTGACACCAGCTCCCTGAGGGGCTCAGCTCCCTCAGCTGCCCTGGGGAGGCCGGAACTGGCTGTGTCCCACCCTGAGGCGGCCGGAACCGGCTGGAACCGGCTGTGTCCCGCCATGAGGGGGCCGGAACTGGCTGTGTCCCGCCATGAGGCGGCCGGAACTGGCTGTGTCCCGCCATGAGGCGGCCGGAACTGGCTGTGCCCCGCCATGAGGCGGCTGGAACCGGCTGGAACCGGCTGTGCCCCGCCATGAGGGGGCCGGAACTGGCTGTGCCCCGCCATGAGGCGGCTGGAACTGGCTGGAACCGGTCGTGCCCAGCACAGGGCAGCCCTGGCCTCGCCTCACAGAGACCCCACAGCCCCACCACCAGCGCCCAGGCACCCAATGCAAAAAGAAATGGAAAAAAATAAGAGAAACTAGTTTCTCTGTTTTCCCCAGGCTCTGGGGAGGAATCGTAGGTGTCTGTGAGAAGACTTAATGCTCTGTTGTCTTTCAAAATACTGCAAAACTCGTTTCTACTAAATCCTACAGAAGTGCCTCATAAATGAGCGCACAGTGCAAGGTCTTTATGCTGCCAGAGCCAAACGAACGACAAGGACGTGGCCAGGGGAGGCTGACTGCGCCCTGGGCTGGGCCCTTGACACTGTGCCCACGATGCCTCCCCTCCTGGCTGCCGCGGCCCTGCCCTTGCCTGTGTGAACACATCTCCGGGACATGGCAGTTAGCTACAGCATGCCCAGGACCAACTGCTTTAGAAATGAAGCTATTTGGAGGTAGAACTAGTGTGGGAGCAAGCAGTGTGTCTGGGTCCCAGGGTGCAGTCTTGGTGACACCAATGCCTGTGCCACCAGGAACAAGGGATCATCCATCCTTCCTGTGCCGTCTCTGCCCTGAAAGCAAACACAGGCTCGCTGGGCTCCATGGCACTGACGTCCATTGGTGACAAACCAGGTTGGTCCTTAGGATCGTACATGACTGCAGTAACCAAGAAAGAGAAAATTGGTGTGAATAAGGCAGAGATGATAGGTTTACATCTGATTGTTCACCCTTCAAGAAATTACTGCAATGCAAAGAGAAATATGCACCTTATGAAAGCGGGCAAATCATTAATGTCCTGCTTGTGAACTTTCCAAGTTCAGGTAACAAGCACTGTTCTGAGTAATGGAGTATTTACCACACCAGAGCCTCACCTGAGAAGTGCAGGTGTTCACAGCTCCCTGGCACAGTGAATGCAGCTGGCACAAAACTCACTCTCAGACTCTCAGGTGCCAGCAAGATGGAATGAAACAAACATGTTCAGTGTCACACTATAGGTGGTAAATTATAATGCTTCAAGTGTAAACCCTTCCTTTTAAAGGGCATTTCTCTGTGTGTCAAATAACCCTTGTTTGCAGTGTGATCCACAGTTGGAAAGCCTTGATGGACTTGAACGTGAACCCAGAGCAATTGGGAAGACAAATATTAGTGTGAGAGCAGCGTTGGAAGCCATCGTGACTCCCTGAAGCCTGCAAAACCTGTGTAGATTTGCCCTCTTCAGAGGAACTTGGTGTGATACCTATCAATTTGGCTAAGGCAGGCACTTTCCATGCAGGTATCTTGCAGACAGCAGCCAGTTGCATTGCCCTCTCCCTTGCAGTGGTAAGTACTTGCTCGGTTTTCTTTCCATTCGTCCCTCCTTTAGTTGGAGCCAAGCAGCCACTCATGAGCCTTTCGCTTTCTCCTGGAAGTCTTGTGAGGCACAGCTGTGAGAGCTGGTATTGGACGGTCTAGGGAAGCTGGTTGTACCTTCAGCACCTTTACTCACTAGAATGTTCTTGGGAACAACTGTAAAGCAGTGGTTGCTGTTAAAATTCAAAGCTAGTGCTGTTTTCCTGTGATCTGTGTGAGATGGCAGAGTGAAACGGAGATGAAACACAAGTTGCCTGTCCCTTTCTGCTAAAAGGGCACACTGGGCACCACTGAAAGGGGGTCTTGAGAGCATGGCATCTGCATCAGAGTAGATCTAGCCTCTGTGTGCCTGTCAGTGAATGTAGCAAATTGGTATCATTAGTTTGTCCCCTTTTCCCTTTCATGTTGATGGGCTGCTTGCTGAACAGTTTGCTTTCCCTTTGAAAATGTCTGGGTAAAGTCCCATAAGTGATTATGAATTCTGCAGAGCGATAGCTTTCCTTCAGAAAGTAGTTGCGCTTTCAAATTGGCGGTCAGGCCACAGCTTGAAATCTGCCTTGGAAGCCATTCTTGCTGGGGTCTGTGCCTTGCAGATGAGCTTGAGGAGTGAGGAATTGACTGCTGATGGCTGTGAGTGCAGTCGGGCATCTCCCCATCACTTTGCTTGGTGTCCTATGCACCCTGCTGTCTTGCCTGTGCAGCTGAGCGAGAGAGAAAATCAGCAACAAATTGTTCTGCAAGGTTGACTACCCGAGGGTTATGCTTCACAACAAAAAAAAAAATCTGGGACAGAACCAATAGCCAAAATACATTTTATTAAATTAAATCCAGTCCATTTGATAAAATACAAGCTTATTATATTACCAGTTTGTTTACAACTGGATTGATTTTTTTTTTTTTAAGAAATGCAGTGAATTGAGAAACTGAATAGACAATTTATCTTTTTTTCATCTTTTTTTTTTTTTTTTTTTTTGCTGTTAATAAAGTCCAGGATTTAAATTAACTTGAATTGTTTGAACAAAACTGTTAAAAACATTATAAAGAGATCAAACAAGCAGATTCAATTCTTAGAAATATCTAACATGCAAAACCTTTAGTTTGAATGTTTCAAATTAATTTTCAGAAAAATGCATCTCCTGAAAAATTATTTTGGCAAGCACTGGTATTACTGCACGTTCCTCTGGGCATTATCGGCAATGCATACGTGTTTGCAGAGTCCCCAGAGTTCATTAAATTTGCCTTAGACTTCAGCTAGTAGGAAGGTTAAGAAAAAAATTCTCCTGCATTATATTTCATTACAGATGAATAAGTATCTGATCAGTGTTCAAGTCTGAGGATAGTTTCCTTTTGTTCTAGCCAGCATATCTGTCTGTTGCAAATACATGTGAAAGTTTTTCAATTTTTTTTCCCCCCAAATAATTAGTAAAACCATGGAATAAGCAGCAGACTAATTATATTGCATAAGTTGTTGAGATGGAAACTGTAAACCCACTACAGTCTTGATGAGCAAAGGCTAAAAAATGTTTTCTTAAAACAAGTGTACTTCAGCAAAAGTTAAATGCACACCAATCTAAAAAAATCAGCTTCAGAACAATGACACTTAAAATGGCATATCTTAAAAATGAAGGATGTCTTACATTCTACATTACATTTTGCTTTAAGAAGTTTTTAAATAACATTTGCTTCTGGTTGTTCCTAGCATTAGCATTACCAATATACAGGCAATAATTTAGGAATTTCAAGGCAATATTTTCCACCTTGCATATGCAAAGAGGTAACATTTATTAAAAGTATAAGCATGTCCTTTTCATTAAAGGATCACAAACTGCTTTAGGTAAAATCTATATACAATACTTACACTCACCCTAACAGCTATACAAATTACATAAATATCTTAGATCTTCTGGAGTCTGGCGGGTGCCTAGCTGACTGTCCATGCAATCCTCTCCGAACTGGGCCGGTGTGTTGCTGTCAGTGTTGTCTCCCAAAGTTGAGTCCCATCTTGCTCCTGCATCAGTTCACAAGTTCTGGAAGTTCAGACCAGCCCCTTTGATGGTTATGGTTTCTGGTGATGGCATTTGATATCCTATATCCAAAACCCCTCAAGGAGCTCAGAAGTCAGCCAGACACTCCCTGTCTTTCACTGGCCTACTTAGAGGGCGCTGCTGAATAAGACTCTTTTTGGTTTTAATTATCCATCCCGCTTGTGATTGTTTTCCCTCCCACCCTGGGTAGTTAAGCGTAGGGATGTTGCCTGCAATGCTGCCTTTGCTGCCCAAAGTCAATCTCCTAATGTGATGCCAGCTGGCATAGTAACGAACCTGCTCCTGGGAAAAACTAGGTCACTCCTTGCAGTGTGTTTGGCCAGTTCTGAACCAAGCGCTTTGCGGTGTGTTAACAGAAAGTGTGTGTGCATATCATTAATTACTGGAGCTGCTTTTGATAATACCAGTTCTTTGATCTTAACACTCCTCATGAAAATTGCATAGTGATACATCTTAGCAGAAACGCTGCGTTTAAGTTGCCTGGGTGTGAGGAGGGTCCAGGTTCACACGTTGAGGATCCGTGACGGCGCCTGGAAAACAGCAGAAGGGTTGGGGGAGAACCTGGTCTTCACCTCTGGGATCTAGTGGGGTGAGGGGGAAGAGAAATGTTAGTGCGGCACAGGGTGTGACTGACTGGAGAGTCTGAGGGGTCTGGAGTGTTGTGGCCTTCTATCTGCTCCCCCCTGTAACGTGCCACTACCCGATAAACCTTAGCTCTCGGCTGGGCATACAGGATGATTCAAGGGCAGGTGTGATGCTGTGCCACCGAGGAGGGGCTTTGTTGTAACCCACCCCTTGGACCCTGAGGTTTGTGGTGTGATGGGGGGTAACCATGGCTGGGCAGGCCTCAGCAGGAGCCAACCTCTGCAAGATAAAAAGCTGCCCTCGCCACAAAGCCCCGCTGGCACATACTCTGCAAATAACCCAACAAATTCACGGCTGGACTGGTGCTGGATTTAAGTGAGGAATTACGGTGGTGTCTGTCTGGTCCTTAACCCTCTGGAGAATACCATCTAGGCCCGTCAGAATGCTCCACTGCAATGCTTTATGGGGCCACAAGCTGTGCGTGCTGTGAACAGAGGCACAGACCTGGAGTATGCAAAGGAGAAAAATTAATTACTGGCCATGCCAGGCTGTGAAACTGCAAGGACTTTAACAAGAATGTAAACTCCTCAGGCCTGGAGGAAAGGTAGAGGTAACAGAGGTTGCGCTCTCTGATGTCTGTGGAGTCAGAATTTCACCCAATATGTAGCTGTTGCAGTTGTAGTGAAGCATGAAGGACACCTGGATGCCTGTGTCTTCCCCAGCGCTTAAAACCCAAGGGATCTGCAACGGGACTGGCCTTAATTGTGCATCCAGCTTCGGACTCTGGGTGAATATGACCATAAAACATGAAAGGGTGGAAAGCTTTGCTGGGTGCTGGGTATTGTGATGGAGTTATCTCAGAAGAGAAACAAGAGCAAAACCACAGGCAAAGATAGTATAGGGAAAGCTATTGATCTGTTTGTGGTTGCATTGTTCTGATTTTTCCATTCCTCTGGGGGTGCATCTGACGTGCTGAGGAACAAGAGGAGCGTCACAAGCGGCCCGTGCACCGCCCAGTAGCTGTGGAGAACCAGCAGCCTGAGCCCTACATGCCGGCTGTCAGGACACAACGTAAATCTGACCCCATCAAAGCCACCGGCTTCAGGCAAGAGGGAAAGTCCAAATAGCCAAGTGTAAACTAGGGAGAGTCTGACTTCTCTTTGAACTGGTGGCTCCTCGGCACCATCTTCTTTCCTGACTACTTTTCCCACGCTGACTGTGAGAGAGGCCGTGGTTGTACCCTGGGATATGGGTTCATCTAGAACACTCTCTTTTGCATTCAATCTGCCAAGTAGGAATACACTGTATTTTGCCTCTCCAGGTTTTAAGGGTTAAATACCATCTTTCCTCGTCCTTGCACCTCAGAACAGCCCAGACTATTCAGAGCAAGGAAGAAGTTTTGGTGAGGTTTGCAAATTCTGTTTTGCCTGAGGTCAACTGTCCCACTTTCACTGGAGCTCGATATACCCATTGTGTGCCTTGTCGCAGCAGTGTGCCAGAAATCCTCTGCGGAGGAGGCACTTGACTGTCTGCTGATTAAACACTTCTTCCTCGCCTCCTCCAAGGCAAAGATTTACTTTTTACATGTGGCCCTGGAGTAGTTGCTATTATCTCTAACGACACAGCATGCTGTGGCTGGGGAATTCAGCCCTGGTCCCATCTCTGCTTTCTCAATCACTCGGTGCAGCCTGTGAACGGCTTTTGTGGTCGGCTGTGAAGCACCATTCTCTTTGGTGATCTAATGCAAAAAGCAGCTAAACCCAGAGCCTTGTCGGTGTGCACTTTCCTTCCTCATGGGGACAGGGAGTATATGGGGCCCCGCCAGCAAAAATACTGAGTACAAAAAGAATGTGTCCTCATGGGATTTTCAGTAACGCTTAGATGTATTTCGCCAACAAGAAAACAATCTTATGCTGGTCTAGAGGGTTGTAGAAACTCGCAGGAAAACCCCAAGGAACTCTCAGAGACTCAAGAGCTGTGCGGCTCGGCTGCTCACCACAGCTACATAATCCTTGGTGTTGGTAGCAGGGACAGCTTCTGCCCTTACCAGCACGGGGAAGTTTTGTCTCGTCAGAGTGGGTGCTGTTCCTCAGGCAGTGATCTGCAAACGTTCCCATGCAAACACCTGTGTCCATGGTTGATGTTAGCATCAGAGGCTGAGTCTCACGCTACAGCCCTATCGCTAGTGCACAGTGACTGCTGCCAGGGTGTGCCGAGGGTGTTGAAAGCACATTATGCAGAGGGCAAGAATGACACACACCTTTTATGTAAGGTATCTAACTGAGGGAATCTTAAATCTTGAACTTCCTGACTGTCATGCTGTTTAAAATCTTGGTATCGGGTTGAATTATGTTAAGTTATGGTATGACATTCTCTAGCATGTCTCTCTGAAAGGAAAGGATGGCCATGTTACCTAATGGGAAGTGATGAAAGAGCAGTAAGTGAGGACATGGCTTTATTTTACATACACCACACCAATAAAAAATGAGGAGTTCCTGATGCGTGCTTTGGGCTTCACTCACATTGACTTTGAGATTTTAAAAAAATGTTAATCACCTTAAAATCTGCTTTGTAGCTTGTCTCTTGAACAAAATGGTCTTCTGGGATAATGAAGCCTTGCTTTGTCTTTATAGGCTTGGATGGTTTTGCTCCAGTCCATGGGCGATACTCTTGCCTGAAATGAGATTGTCAAGACAGAAGAACCCATAAAACACAACATTCACAGGGTACTTCTGCTCAGAGCAGTTGCAAAGGCAGAAGGCAAGGCTGGTTACAGTCAGCTTGTAAGATTGACGTTGTCTAAGGCGTACTGAGAATAAAATAAGAACTGAGCCTAGAGGCCTGCTTCTCAGAAAGCCCAGGCTGAAAGATGCAACAGGGCATAGACTGAGCTAACTGGCTGCCCTGGCTTAACTCTTCTTTTATTCCTGGCAAAATTGTGCTGTCTCCCAGGGGTGCTTGGTGTTTTCCTCCTGGATAAGAAAAATCCAGGGTGACTTTTTGCTTGATAGCTCATTGACCACTTTCAATGCAAAACACTCCTTTGGCTCTTCAGTGACTTAAGAGTGTAAAACATCTTGGTCTGGGGCTGTGAGTGCCTAGCCCTCACGTATGTGGAGGGAGGCTGCTGATGTTCCCTTATGTGGCTTTAGCTCGCCCAACAGCAGGCACATTTGCCATTGTGTGCTGTACTCAGTCTGTGCTGAGGCAGCTCAGTCTGAAATGCATCCGAAGGCAGACACCATCTCAGCTGGCAGATGCTTCTGCTGATGACTTTCCTTGAGGTGGGGGAAGTGCTTTGACTTTGCATGATGATGTCTGAGAGAGACAGCACTTGACTGACTTATTGTTGGAGCAGTAGCATCTGAGAAATGGGTGCAGAAACCGCACTGAGGAAGGGGCAGCACGTGTTTTGAGAGCACTGGAGAGCAGCATGGAGGCGTCTGGCTTAGCTCAGCTGCCGGCTCCCTTCTGCAGCCTTCTCTCTGCCTCTCTGTACCTCTTGTCACAACCAGGACTCACTAATGCCCTCTCCATTAATACTTTCTGGATGCTGCAGTAGCAGCTAGCTGAGCTGGCGTGCCTGCTCTCAGGAGACAGAAGTCTGCTCTCTCTGCGTATGTATCTCTGGCAAGCACTTCAGGCAGCTTCTGTAGCAAAAGTAAAGGCAACTACCCAAGATGTGACAATTTTGTATTTATACTCTGGCATACTTAAATAATAACTGCATTTTACCAGCTGCTTATACACAGGATCAAGGGGTAAGACTGAGTCTTGAGCTATGTCCAGGCTAGGGAAATAGGCTGTGTTTTAATGTTCCGAGCTTGGCTTTGATCACAGCCTTTCTGATTCTCTTTTTTCCCAAGCATGCTGTTTGCTATTTTGATAGTAGCTGCAAACACCTCTTTTAAAAATCTTATTTAAAGTGTATAATTGTGGAGTAGTATTTTTGAATGTGTAGTTTGGTCTTGATCCTTTTAGTATATTACCAAAATACCTACTGCCTGGTTTATGTTTGATTTCTTAACATGGACTCAGCCTTTAAATGCTGCCTCTTTTCTTGGTTGATTTGTAGATACAGGGTATAATCCTGGCCTGTATCTAAGCCAGTGAGAAACCAGGATACTAACAAAATTAATTCCAAAAAATTAAGTAACTTTTTTGACTGAGTTAGCTGCCGGCATGGGCCTCTGTCAGGACAGATGAGATTGGTGCAGGCACAAGGAGATGGGCAGGAGCCCGCAGCTGAGGGTCACAGTAGTTTGTCAGCCTGAGTGAAGGTGGAGTGAGTTCCTAAATCCACATAGTTAGTAGGGGATATTGATTTGTGTAAGATCTTCCTATTGTCAGAAAGGAAAACCAGGCCCCTGTCAGGGCTGTCTCTGCACTGCAAATCTTGCCTATAATCAGTCTGCTCTCGCTGTTCTGAGCTGCCACCTTCCGCCTTCTCGGCATCTTGCTGTTCAAGCTTGCTCAGACAGCGAGTAAGTGCCTGCGCAGCTCTCCTGGTGCTGCTGGTGCAGTTCCTGCTGCTTTTGCAGTTCAGGATAAAGAAGCACCTTTGCAGGAAGGTGATTTTGGCCATGCCATGCCCCAAGAAGGCATTCAGCAGGGAATCCCTGATGCGTGTGAATGCAGTTACCTCTGAGCTCCACTCTGCTGCGCAGCCAGAGGGAGGACACAGAGCTACTGGGCAAAATATCAGCAAAATACTACAAAGTCATCAATTGCGTCCCAGCAATTTCCAGGAACTGGAACCTGCCACCCCACGCACAGCCGGATTGCCCCAAGGATGCTGGTGGCATTGATTCCTGACCATTCAAGCCTCGCGCCGGCTGGTCTCCCCGCTGCATTACGCTGCGACGGAGTACGTCCCCAGCTTTCAATGAATGACTGTGCTGACTATCTCTGCAGCCAGCTCCCTCTCGCTGCTTTGTAGCAGATCATTTGCTGATTTGGCAGGCCCCCAAACACAGCCCTTTTGGATCACAGGACCCTCATTTTGGCTGGGAGCCAAACTGTTCTCCTTTCAGTCTGGATAGCCAGAACTATTTTTGAAGCACCTACATGCAGTGAGGAAATGCTCTGCCTTCACCCACGGAACCAGAAGTGTGAGGGCAGACAGTCACGGCTCAGACCCACAACAGCATTTCTTGTTTGGAATTAGGATCTTCCCCTGGGGGAAGCCAGGACTCCGAGCCACAGGGAAGCGCTGGGCAAAACACAGGTGATTTATCCCCTTGGGGACCTGGGACACTTGAAACAAAACAAGGAATTAAGATTATAACCTCTCATCCAGAAAGTACAGCTAACTAAATTTGCTCTCCCTATCTGCTTGCAGGACACATGCACCGCTGTCCAGCTGTATAGCCAAGAGTCAGAAGGAACATGAGCCCAAATACCAGTTTGGTGACTTGACTAGTAATCAGTCTTGGAGTCACGACTGGAGTCAAACTGCATGAGCTACTCTGAGCCTGGGGAAGAGAAACAACCTGTTTTTAATGTTACTTAGTTTAAAATGTCAAGTGCTAAGATTTAGTGACTGTCTTCCTCCCCCTTGTACTCCCAGGTGCAACATTTGCTCCCAGTGCTTGAGGAAGCCAATGCATCGGGCCCAGCTCAGCCGGTGCATTGCCTCTCCCTCTCTCCTTCCCCCATGATCATCACCGTGGGTGGTGCCTCCTCCAAGATCACACAAGTAGCAGTTGCTAGCAAGAGACCAGCATGGTGGGAGAGGAAATTACAGAAATGGCATGGAGAAGGGGAGAGCCCTGTGTGGTGTGACATCCAGAGGCTGCTGGGAGTGAGCATGAGATACACTGACCGTTACTGCTGGACACAGTCATCTTCATCCTTCATGCTGTACCCCTCTTCCTCCTCCCCTTGTCCCTAGGCAGCATCAGCAGTCAGGTTATTTTGGGGCTGTAAGGGGAAATAGCCTCCAGGCCTGTACCTTGGTGTTCAGGCTCTCTCTAGGTTCTGTTTTATTCTCCACTGTTACAACATAGAGGTGAGATTTTTGATCTCCATAAATAGAAATGATCCAGTGGTACTTATAAGTGAAGTACTAAAGCACTGGGGTTGTGAAAGAAAAAGGCCTCCCGAGTTGTACACAGTCTTTAAAATAGTAGAGATCAAAAGGGAAGGGCTGCTTTTTGTGTACTGCTGTTTCCTTACATCTGACTCCCTCTAGGAAGCAATAAGCAGCAGCTGTTTTTGCAGGTGGTTGCCCCTGTTACTCTGTGGAACTGCTTTGATCACATAAATCATTGCTTTGTCAATTGTTTCTTTGGTCTTTCTCATAATTGGTTAACAGAGCCCAGGGAAAGTTGTTTCTTTTGCAATGTGTCGGGATGTGTCTCCAGGGGAAGGTTAGGATCAATGCAGTGTGGAGAGGGAGATGCTAGTGGCCTGGTGGGACAGCTCAACCCCCCCAGTGGTGATGGGAAAGGGAGCAAGTGGGAGAATATCTTATGTATATCCTAGAAACAACAACAAAAAAAAGCATTGGACTATTAGTTACCAGGAGGTTACTATGAAGCCCAGCTTTGAAGAGAGCTGTTTCAGTGAGCTGGTGCTTGTGTTCCATCTCCCTCCTCGGGTGAGCAGGATCACCTGTCCCAGAGCTGTTGAGCAGCCCAGACAGGGGGTCAGGTGGGGGGATGTTCCCACCGTGATTCACCATGTGGCCTCACAGACATCAGGGCGTGATTTGGGAATGATAGATTCAGGACTGGTCCTTTGGTTCCTTCCAAACAGTGTGCTGCTGCAGCAGCAAAAGATGCTGAGTGCTGCAAGCCACGTGGCTGCTGGCCCAAGTGCTGCCTCCAGCTCTTCCCCCATTTCATGTGCTCCACAAATGTTTTCTGGCCTTGCAGAGAAAGCTGCCTGCGAAATCTTTTTTATTTCACTGACCTAGTGAAAATCTAACCTAGAAATCTTTTTAATTTCACCAAGATGGAGAGCAGTTCTGTTGGGCGTGCGGAGGCAGAGGGTGGAGAAAAATTACTGTGCTGTTTGCAATGCTGGGGCTGCCATCTCCAGCCAGATTTACCTTCAGCATTTATAGAATTCCTTTGCCCCAGTGATGACACCAGTGCCATCACAGTTGCCATTTTAGTACCTCATCTTTATGTCATGGTTTGCTTCAGATGATTAATTATCAGGGGCATTCTGAGCCCTGCATTATAGTCCCATTTCTCATTTAAGAAATTGAGAAAAAGGCTCATTCTGTACAGCTGAACTTAAGTACACTGCCTGAGCTAGTCTGCATTTATTCTTCCACCGCCCTCTTCCTTCTCATAATTCTCCCAGCATGCCAGTGAGAATTAAACAGCATAATGAACATTCATCCCCTTTTCCCTTCAGAAGGAAAGTTGCGTGCACAACTTGGGGGTCTCTGTTATTTTCTTTTCAAAGTGCACACTACCCTAAATGTCTCTTGGGGAAGCCAGACTGGTGTGTGAGGGGTTTGGGCAGGTGTGGAGTGTGAAACGTCTCCCTGTTTGCGATGCAGCGCCTGGCATGGCCAGGCAGCCACCCCTTCAGGTAGGCCAGTTTTGTTTTACTCAGGCAAAGCCAGGCAGCCAGCGGTGCTCTCCCTGAGGATAGGCTGAGTCTGGCTGGGGCAAAGACCTGCACAGATCAGAGTGCTGGGGCATCTCCTGGTCAACA